ATTTTCATTTTCTATTTTCAAGTACATCTCTAAGAACGGTAGTTTACAAACATTCTTTATTGGGACTGGAGCATTGGCTTAGCCCTTGAGAATGCTAAGCCCTTGAGAATGCTTGCTGCTCTTTCAGGGGACTCAGTTCCCAGCACCCAAGTCAGGCAGCTCACAACCTCCAGTTCCAGGGGATCCAAAACCCTCTTCTGGCCTCTGTAGACATCTGCAAACACACAAAGAGACACATAAATAGATAAATACACAAATAAATGTTTTAAAGTCGTTATCAAAATTATGTCCAAAGAGGTTGTAGTAAATAATATTTGGACATTGCACATTTGCATATTTGAAATTATATGCTTAAAGTAAAAACAAATGCTGATGTGTGCTTAGGTTGTATATCTTTCTAAAATATTTCAGTTTAGACTTTATCAGCCAGAACTGCTGAGCGAATATTTTTCTAAGTAAGTGTGTACCTAGGTTGTTTGTGCTTCTGAGGCTATGTCAGAGCTCATTATGCTGGGTGTGGTATATCCTGTATTTTTTATTGTTAATAGGATGGGACAGCAATAACTCTCATCTAGTCATACTTCCATTCTGTTTGATGTTTGTGTCCATATTTTCATAGGTCTATTTTATTGTGTTAAAAAAGTTTAGTACCACACCTTGGGAGTTTGTTTTTTGTCTGACATTTGACAAATAGTCTTTTTAGAGCTTATTATATTTATTTTTAAATCATAGGGTTTTAAGGAAGTACTACTATGAATTAATAAAGTGTTCAGGGCCAGGCATGGTGGCACTAACCTTTTACCTCAGCACTGGGAAACAGGAAGGAGGATCTCTGCAAATTTGAGGCCAGACCAGTCAAGTATGCACAGTGAGACCCGGTCTCAAAATGACAATATAATAATGACAATAACACAATAAAATAATGAAGTAACTTGTGGATCATCCCAAATTATTATCCTTGTGTGGCTTATACACAGGTTACACTTTTCAAAGATTGAAACTAGTTTGATAACTGACAGAAGTTGGTCAAATGTGGTTAGTTTTTTAAAGACTTCAAAGTGTTAAATCTATTACGTTTTCAATTATAAATATCTCTCCTCAGGGATATCATGCTTGTACAGTTCCTTCCTTCTGGTCAGTCCCCTTCTGCCCCAAACACCGTGCTGGAGTTTAACATTGAGCATGTCTTCCACACATTAGTGTTTTATTCTGAGGTCATAAGACAAGCAGAGACTCTGTTTTCCCATCAGTCCGTGTTCTTTCCACCATTGTTTTCGGGGAGACGCTTGTGTTGTCTGTAGACTCCGCTAGTGGAAATGATGTATGCAGTCTTTCTCGAATAACTTGTAAGTGTGTCTCCTGTGATGTCACTCTACTTCAGATTCTTCTAAATAAAGCTAGTTTTTAAGGAGAAGGCCTGATTATTTTAAGTGTTTGAACTTTATCTCTCACTAGGAGGGGTAGGTGTGACGCATTGGCTTTGTGTGAGATAGAGCCAAGGGAGATCAAGCGAAGCTCTGGTCTGGAATTTATGTTGATAGAACTTCTGGTCAGATCCTGGTACACACACACACACACACACACACACACACACACACCAGAACAGAGGGGGAGCTGAAGGCTAAATCTGTGCAACTTCAACATTGTAAGTAATGCAGAAAATACAACTAAATGCCTTACAGGGGAAACACAATGATCACAAAGGTAGTTTGGGGCGGTGGTGGGTGAGGAGAGGCTAGAGAGATGGATAATAGCACTCATTAGCTGCTCTTCCAAAGGTTGGAATTCAAGTTCCAGCACCCACAGGCAACTCACCACCTTCTCTAGGTCCAGGGGATCTGATGCCCTCGTCTGGCCTCTCTGGGCACTGCATGAACTTGGTATGAAGACGTACAACCAAAACACCCAAACACGTAATATACATAGATTTTAAAAGAAACTACTTAGTGGGCATGGTGGCACACACCTTTAATCCCAGCACTTGGGATGCAGAGGAAAAGGCATGCCGATCTCTGTGAGTTCCAGGCCAGCCTTGTCCGGGGCTACAAACATATCATATCTTTTGTTTTAAAATGTTTAAATTTGGCATTGGTGAGTAGGATGTGGGGTCACATAAGTGTAATCCCAGAACTGGTGAGGGTGAGAAGTTGAAACAGGTGGACTGATTTGAAGGCCAGCCTGGGCTACATAATTAGTAGGGTGGGGGGAGAGAGAGAGTTCTCAGCAGATTGGTAGCCTGGGCTATATAGCAAGTTCTAGGTCAGCCTGGGCTAAATGGTGTCACCTTGCCTCCAAAATTAATGAATGAATAGTATTTTTCTTAAGAGTCTTTATATATATATATATATATATATATATATATATATATATATATATATAGTTTATTTGTTATCTGTGTAGAGGTCAGAGAACAATTGTCCATAGTTGGTTTTCTCCTTTCACCATGTGGGCCCTGGGACTTGAACTCAGGTTGTCAGGCTTGGCAGCAAGTTCCTTTACCTGGGCCCTTATGAGTCTTTTTTACTTTCTTTTTTTCAATCATCTACCTAGTGTATAGTGATAATTTACTTGTATTTATTGATCTTTAATATTTTATATAATATTCTGATTATATATATACACACACATATATATGTATGTATGTATGTATGTTTGAGAAACATTTGGATACTTTCCAGGTTTAAAATTTTACATTTATTTTCTGTGTGTGAGTGTTTTGCCTGGTGTCTATGCATTGGCACGAGATGCCCACAGAGGTCAGGAGAAGGCATCCAATCTCTTAGAACGGGGTTACAGACAGTCATGAGCTGCCTGTGTGTGCTGGGAAGTGAGCAGCAAGTACTCTTGACTTGTGAGCCATCTTTCCAGCCCTTAGCAAGGAAATTTTTTCACATAAGGATCTTACCTCTGTCTCAGAGAAGACTGGGTTGTACAGTCTTAAATTCCTTCAGCTTAAGCCAGACTGGGGTGGTGCGGCACACACCTTTAACCCAGCACTTAGGAGGCAGAGGCAGGCAGATCTCTGAATTTGAGGCCACCTTGGTCTACAGAGTGAGTTCCAGGACAGCCAGGGCTACTCAGAGAAACCCTGTCTCAAAAAACTAAAAATGAAAAAAAAAAAAAGAAAAGAAAAGTTCCTCCAGCTTAAAACATTCAATATGCCAAGCGGTCCCTTTTGACGCAGCACGGCATGGGATGGCCAGTGAGATTATTTTGAAAGCACTGGACCTAATTGGAACCTTCCTTCTCTTAGACTGTCCCAAATCCCAACACCCTTTTATCTTCTTGTAGTCAGTGAACTGAACTAATTTGTGCAACTAAGGATGTCTAGTGGGCCTACGTTGAAAAATCCTGAAAAACTAATTCAGATTAAACATTTAACAATATTATGCTTTTTGATAAACATCAGTTCTGTTTCATATTATTTTATTTGAGACAGTCTTATGTGGCCCAGGCTGGCCTCAAATTCAGTATGTGGTAGTAGACGACCTTGAATCTCTGATCTTCCTGCTTCTACTTCTCGAGTTCTAGGATTGTAGGCACACACAGCTACGTCTGGTTGGTGTGGCGCTGGGGAGGGAACCCAGCGCTTTGTATATGCTGAGCAAGCTCTACTAAAAGCTACACCCTCAGCCCAACAATCCTTTTATTATTATTTATTTACTTGGTTTTTTGAGACAGGGTTTTTCTGTGTAGCCCTGGCTGTCCTGGAACTCACTCTGTAGACCATGCTGGCCTGGAACTCAGAGATCTGTCTACTTCTCCCGAGTGCTGGGAGCCACCACAGCTGGTTTTTAGGTTTTATTTTTAGGTGTGTGTGTGTGTGTGTGTGTGTGTGTGTGTGTGTGTGTGTGTGTATACAGTGCCTGCAGAGGCTGGAAGAGACAGAAGAACTTAAGACAACATGGATAGCTGGGCGGTGGTGGTGCACGCCTTTAGTCCCAGCACTTGGAAGGCAGAGGCAGGTGAATCTCTCTGAGTTCCAGACCAGCCTGGTCTACATACAGAGTGAGTTCCAGAACAGCCTCCAAAGCCACAGAGAAACCCTGTCTTGAACTACCCCCCCAAAAAAAATTGGAAATAGTGAAAACATGATTAAAATGGAACAAATCTGCGGGACTTCTAGGTTTCTCAGCTCAGAGGGACAAAAGGATGCTAAGATGCTTCTATTGTCCCAAGGGACCAGAAGTTTCAGATAATGAACTACCTGTCGGCATCAGCAGTGAGGGAAACTGTTAACCCAACTGTTGATAGTAAACTTTCTGCAACGAATTACATTGGAGTTTAAAAGTTTGTGTAAATGCTCTCCAAAAGTTTTTGTTGTTTTTTTAAGTTTAAAATCCAGCTTCCTCTGTGCAAATAACTTTTCGGTTATGTAATTATACTCCAGTAATGTCTATGGAAGTAGTGTAGAAAGAGCACTTGAAATGAATTAAGTATCTCGGTCATTGTTCTGTCAATAAAGTATGTAACAATATGTTTAAATGCTTTGAGTCACAGTGAAGTTACTGTGAGTCATTGGTCCAGGACTCAAATTTTGAAGTCTAGGTCCATTCCCAGATTTGGAGAATACAAATGTGCACACCAGATCTCTCAGGATGTGTGATGGAAACAGCCTCTAAACAGAAACATCACACGATGCTCTTTTGAAACAAGAGTTTTGTGTTTATCAGAGTAGCCTCCAACTGAAGTCTCCTGCCTCATTCTCCCCAAGTGCTGAGATTACGGGTCACCGCACTGCTAAAGTCCAGCAAATGACTAGAGAAAACCAAACGTCTGGACTCTAAAAGTGCATGGGTGTCCCAATGCACACATTTCAGCTGTTGACCCATGTCCCTCTGAATTCTAAAGCCCCAAGCGTTTTCTTTTCCAGCGTGAGTAACCCCAAGGCTTGCCCCGCCTCTCCCAGGGAATACATCACAGTTTCTCTTTCAACAAAATCCACTTTAAAATTACTTTTATTTAATTAATCTGTGTTTGCATGTGAGTACAGTGTCCTGGGTTAGTCAGAAACGGGTATCAATTGGAGCTAAAGGCGTTTGTGAGCAACCCAACCCGGGTGCGGTGAACCGAACTCGGATCCTCTCGAGAGCAGAGCATTCGCAGCGCATGCTCTTGACCCTCCAGTCGTCTTATCTCCGTCTTAAGGACAGGTCAGGCTCTACTTCCTCCTCATTCTCTCTGGCTAAGAGGCAGCCGGGACCCAGATGCTCCAAACCCAAGAATGACCTGAGCGCACGAGGTACGCGGACAAGCCTCGAGCCTCTTCCGCTGACCCGGAAGGACCTGGAAGTGCCCGAAGGGCCGGAAGTGATGGCAGCCGCGGTCTCTGCTTTCCTAGCAACCGTGCCGGCTTCTTAGCGACGCAAGGTGGCTCCCGCGTCCCCGGTGCAGCCATGCCGGTGCGGGTGAGCGAGTTCAGCTGGCAGCAGACACCGGCCGCGATCTTCCTGTCGCTGCCTCTGCGTGGCGTGTGCGTGCGCGATGCCGACGTGTTCTGCGGGGAAAGTTACCTGAAGGTGGGCGGGGCGGAGTATACTGTATTGTGTCCGTTGCGTTTGCTTTTTCATATTTTATTTACATTTTTTATTTTTAATTACATTTTTGTGATGCTAGGGATCAAACCCAGCCTCCTGTGGATGCCACGCCACTGAGCTACATTTCCAGCTAATGTGCGTTATGTGTGTATATGTATGTGTGTGAATGAATGTTTGCATGTTTGTGTGTGCACCAGGTGTATGCAGTGTCTGCCAAGGTCAGAAGAGGGCGCCAGATCTCTTGGGACTGGAGTTACAGATGGTTATGAGCCACGATAACAAATCTAAAGCCAGGTGGTAGTATCCTATGCCTTTAATCCCAACACTGGGGAAGTAGAGACAGGGGGATCTCTATGAGTTCCAGGCCAACCTGGTCTACATAGTGAGTGCCAGCCAAGGCTACACAGAAAAACCCTTTCTTAAATAAACACACAAATGAATAACTGTAGGCATTTCGGGCGGATCCGGTGGGACACATATTCTGGCACTCGGGAGTCACAGAATACTGAGTGTTACACAGCTCAGGTGGAAAGGTATCCTGGAGCTCGGGAGCCAAGGACTACCACAGGCCTCAGTAAGCATAGCAGTTTACAGCCCTGCCTCAGGGAAAGGCTTCCCAGTGTATCAGCTCTGCTCCAGCAGGACAGGCTCTTCCAGCTGGGGATGTTCGCCCAGTGTAGCAGTTTTGCTCCGGCAGGAGAAGGTTTCCCGTTGGAAGTTGCTACAGTTCAGCTCTGTTCCCGGGAGTGGAGAACCGAGTATAACGACTCTGCTCTGCCAGGGGAAGGTTTCCCGTGCAAAAGTGTTAAACAGCCCTGCTGGCTTTGCTTTGCCCAGGGTCATCTCTGCTCCACCGCAAAAGAAGGTCTTCACCCAAAGCTCATCCAAAGGGTTTATTGGGAGGGAAGAATCCAGGAGAGTGACTGCCCTCTGTCACAGTGGCAGAGGGTAATCGGGTAGCACTAACAGGCATAAACTGAACAGACACAGGGTTTATATAGGGCTTCCAGGATTGGTCAGATTTCAATGTTGAGCTCAGAAGGGTTAGAGCTCCTGCTCCAGGATTGGTTAGTTTTCTGCACAGGGTTAGGGTCAGATTTGGCTCAGGTTTAGGGCCAAAGTGTGTTTCTTTCTCTGGTCCTTTTTCGCCTTTTGGCTCCTATTTTAGGGCCAGGATGTATTTCTTTCACTGACTCTGATTCCAGGGACAAAGTGTGTTCCTTTGGCACTGGTTTCAGGGTCAGGGTACATTCCTTTGGTTCTGGTTGCAGGGCCAAAGTATGTTTTGGCTCTGCTCAGGGTGTGTTTCTTTGACTGGTCCCCTTTCTCTACAATAACAAATCTAGGACTGGTGAGATGGGCTAATGAGTTAATGTACTGCCACCAATCCTGACAACCTCTCTTCAGTCCCTGGGAAGGAGAGAACCAGCTTCTCACGATTCTCTGACCTTCACGTGTAGGCCATGGTACTCATATACCTACACACATGTGCAGAAAATCTCTTTGAATGTGGTGTCATCTACAGACACATTTAGGTCAGGGATTACTTTCATCCATGACTTCCTCATATACCCACATACATTTTGCTAATTTATGCTACCTGGAATAAATTCAGAGGGGGTCTGATGTAGCCTAGGCTGGCCTCAAACTCACTTTGTAGCTGAGGATGGCCTGAAAAGTCTGAGCTTCCTGCCTCTGCCTCCTAAAAACCCAGATTACAGGCATTTGACACCATGCAGGGAACTATATCCCCACTGTAACATTTTTTCCTGGAATAAATAATTGTAAATTTTTGATTCATTTTATGTATATGGCTATTTTGCCGTGTGTGTGTGTGTGTGTGTGTGTGTGTGTGTGTGTGTGTGTGTACCACATACTTGTCTGATGCTCTTTGAGAGTTGGAAGAGGATGTCAGATCTCCTGAAATTGGAGTTGCAGATGGATTTTAGTCTCCATGTGGGTGCTGCAAACAGAACCCAGGTCCTCTCAAGACCCAGACTTTTTTTTTAATGGCAGTGTCTTTAATTTGTGCAACTAACTTAATGCCTGTTTTCTCTCTTCTGAACAGGTCAACTTTTCTCCATTTTTATTTGAGGTGTTTCTCTATGCTCCCATAGATGATGGGAATAGCAAAGCCAAGATTGGGAATGACATGATTTTCTTTACATTGTATAAAAAGGAACCAGTTATGTGGGAGACCCTCTCTATGCCAGGTGGTAAGTTTTTAGAGAAAGTCGTTCACTTGAGCTGGGTATCTTTCATGAGAGTTCAGTATGTACCTGTAATCCAGCTCTTTTTTGCTTGCTTGTTTTGGTCATTTTTTTCCCCAAAGACAGGATTTCTCTGTGTAGCCTTGGCTGTCCTTGAACTCACTCTGTAGACCAGGTTGGCCTCAAACTCACAGAGATCCGCCTGCGTCTGCCTCCCCAGTGCCAGCACTGCCCAGCTGCACTCTTAGTTCTTAAGAGGACCACAACTGTAAAACCACCCTGGGCCATGTAGAAGATGCTGTCTCAAAAATATTCCCTTCTGGGGCTGAGACATGGCTCAACCATTATGATTACTGGCTGCTCTTCCATCAGACCCGGTTCAAATCACAGAATCCACAGGGTGCCTCACAACTGTCTGCAACTCTAGTTCCCTGGGATCTGACATCTTCACACCATTGCACATAAAATAAATTATTTTTTAAAAACCTTCTTATGAAATTGGATCTAAAGAAATCTTATCCTGGATCAGTATAATAAATGCTTTTCACCTCAATAAAACAAATTCATCATGATCCTGATTCAGTACTTTTCCTTATGTTGCAGTTGACAAAGAGATGATGCAGAGAATAAGAGAAAAATCTATTCTGCAAGCACAGGAGAAAGCAAAAGAGGCCACAGAAGCAAAAAGTGCTGCGAAGCGGGAAGATCAGAGATACACACTAGGAGTGATGATGAAGGTGAGGGGCAGCCCTCCAGGGGGCTGAAGGAGATGATGGGGAGCCAGGAAAAACTGAGAAGTTCAGCCAGGTGTGGAGGTGCAGGCCACCCAGCTGCTCAGGACGGTGAACCAGGAGGATCAAAAGTTCAAGCTGTCAACAGCTGTGGTGGCACACGACTTTAATCAGCACACAGGAGGCAGAGGCAGGTGGATCTCTGTGAGTTTTGTCGCGTCTGCTGCGCGGCCTGTGTCTGAGAACGTGCGGAGGGTGTCGGGGATTGACAACACAGAGACTCGTTCAACGATGTAAAGAAAACTTTAAGCAGGCCCCAAAAAGGTTCAAGAAAACTTCCTAAGAAAGGCTCCCACCAGAGAAGCTTCTGCTCTCTCCTCACCCCTGGCTGGTTCTGCTCTGACCCCAGAAACTGATCTGGGTGTGGCAGAAGAGGTGGTTAGTCTTTGGACAAGGTCGAGGTCAGGGTGGTTTCTGTGGGCAGGCCTTTTCCAGGAACTTAATGCCCCCAGGCATTGTATTGTTTTTAGTAAACATTGTCTTACAGCTGCCTACTCCCAGGCAGAAGGGGAAGTGGGTCTCTGCTCAAGGTCTGGTGTTCCCACAAGTTTGAGGCCAGCCTGGTCTACAGAGTGAGTTCCAGGACAGGTTATAAAGCTACAGAGAAACACTGTCTTGAAAAAAAAAGAAGAAGCTGGTTGAAGTGGTACACCTCTTTAATCCCAGCACTCAGGAGGCAGAGACAGGAAGATCTCTGGGTTTAAGGTTAGCCTGGTCTGCATATCCGGTGAAATTCAGGACCATATAGACCTTGTCTCCCCAACTTCTGGTTCTAGATAGATGCTAATCTTCTGTCTCTGTTTAGGCAATTCTGTCCAGGTTACAAATATGTACTCTCTTTAACTCTCATTTTGGCATCTGGAAATGATTTTATAGATAAACACTGTTCCAGGAAGGACATACTGGAGGGTGCTGTGACTGGGAGTGTGTGGTCTGAGGGCCAGCAAGACAGCTGGGGACCTCGAGGGTGAGGATGTCCCCTCCTTAAACCTTTCTTCTCTGCTCTGTGTTCGAAGGAAGAAAATGAAGGCACACTTGCAGTCAAACTTTCCTTTGGGCCCCCAGCTCACAAATAAAGACACAGAGACTTATTATCAATCATGGAAGCTTGGCCTTAGCTTAGGCTTTTCCCCAACTAGCTCTTATAACTGAAATTAACTTGGCTCTTTTAATTTACATTTGGCCACGTGGCTCAGTTACCTCTGTTCTGTACTGTTTGTCCTATTTCTTCAGAGTCCCTGTGAAAATGAGTGCCTAGACTCCTCATCTTCTTCCTCTTCCTCTCTCTCCCTTGAAGTCTCGCCCATCCTCTTCTGCCTAGCTATTGGCCATTCAGCTTCTTATTAAACCAATCAGAAAGTGCCTTAGGCAGAGACCAATCTTTACTGGGTACACAAATATTCTGTTGCAACACCTACTTTTTGTTTATTTGTTTGGTTGGTATTTGGTTTTTCAAGGCAGGGTTTCTCCATGTAGTCCTGGCTGTCCTAGAACTCATTCAGTAGACCAGGCCCTCCTTGAACTCACAAAGATCCACCTGCCTCTCCCTCCCAAGCACTAGGATTAAAGGTGTGCACTATCACTGTCCAGCTCAACGCATACTTGTTATTAAATGGGGCAGATTGTTATCTTTCCGATTGTGGTGTTTCCTCTGACTTCATCGTGAGGCATATAAATACAGAGTTTACTTTTTGTCGTGCGCAGATTGCCTGGTGTTTCCAGTTGGCAGCTCTCTGAGCTGTCAGCATGCAGTGATTACTGTCTTTGGTGCCTAGTGTGTAAGCCTTAGTTAGGCAGAAGCGCTGCTCTGTTTTTCATTACTGTGACAACATTCCTAGGTAGTTGCTCAGAGGCAGAACATGAACCCCCCCCCCCCTTAGCTTGCTGGAGGCAGGAATTTAGTCCTCAGCAATGATGAAACAAGAAAAATATGTGAAGCTGGGCAACTCTATAAAGAAAAGGTATTTCCTTAACTTACAGCCTTGGAGGATGGGAGTCCAAGATGAGGTAGCCCATCAGCTTGCTGAAGGGGCAGTGTGTAAGACAGATCACATAGCAAGACAGAAAGCCCTGAGATATCTGTGGCCCCTCGGGCTTTACAACAACTGACTTTCTCAAAAACTAACTCAGGGCTCAGTGTGTAAAGGTGTTTTATGTTCAATAGAAGGAGAAAATCAACTCTGCAAGTTGTCCTCTGATTTTCACTCCTACCCCGTAGCATGCCCATGACCACATTCAAGAGAACACACACACACACACACACACACACACACACACACACACACACACACGGAATGAAAAAATACAGGCATGGTGGCACATGCCTTAAATCTCAGTACTCAGGAGGCAGAGGCAGGCAGAACTCTGAGTTCAGGACCAGCCTGGTCTACATGGTAAATTCCAGGCCAGTCAGAGACCATATGAGAGAGAGAGAGAGAGAGAGAGAGAGAGAGAGAGAGAGAGAGAGAGAGAGAGAGAGAGAGAGAGAGAGAGAGAGAGAGAGAGAGAGAGAGAGAGAGAGAGAGAGAGAGAGAGAGAGAGAGAGAGAGAGAGAGAGAGAGAGAGAGAGAGAGAGAGAGAGAGAGAGAGAGAGAGAGAGAGAGAGAGAGAGAGAGAGAGAGAGAGAGAGAGAGAGAGAGGAGAACCAGGATGGTAGCATAAAACCAGTCCTCTGGAGGTTGCTTGATTTTGAGGTTAATCTTGGCTTCTTAACACTATTTTTTTTAAAAAAAGGGAAGGACTCAAAGCACCTACTGGAGTCAGGTCATCTGGTCACTCATGTTTTGTTTCAGTGCTGGGGAATCAAAGCCAGGTTGTCCCAAGTGCTAGGCAAACACTCAGCTAACGGAGCTGCATCACCAGCTCCTTGGCCACTGACCTGTGAACTGTCCCACCATTTCATGTCACCCCCAGGACATCCTCCTACATGCACACCCTTGGGAGGTGAAGTGTAGGGGAAATGAGGGGCCGCCCACGTGGTGCCCTTCAGTTATCCGGAGAGTGCCAGTCACACAGGTGCGCAGAGTCGACTGTGGGATCCACTGCCTCAGTGCAGATTAAAACCTGGTGCGGTGGCGCTTGGCTCCTCTTATCCCAAGGTGCAGACACTCACACTACACACGCTCATCGCAGTGCACAGCTGTTGCTTTCTAAATGCTCTAAAGGACTTGCTAATTACAATTTTTACAGATTGAAGAAGAAGAGAGGAAAAAAATAGAAGATATGAAGGAAAATGAACGGAAAAAAGCAACTAGAGAATTGGAAGCATGGAAAGAATGTCAAAGACAAGCTGAAGAGCAAAAAAGAATCCCAAGGAAAGAGAAATGCCAGCGGGGAAGGCAAGCTGAGGAGAGGGGAGCACTAAAGCCCCCCAGTCTGCCCAGGAAGGCCCCGCCCACTCGGCTCCCTGAAAGAGGTACGGTACCTCCTGTTCTTTTCTCTTCCTTTTTTTTTAGACAATATTTTTGCAGGCATAGGCCATGCTCTGGTATATTAAGAACAAGCAATACAACACAAAGATGAGAGATGAAAGACCTTTCCTGAGGGGTTTTGCAGTATGGTCTGGGCATCCAGGAATGTGTGATACTTTGGCCTCAACTGCCAATGTTTGCATTACAGGCATTCACCATTATGCCTGGCTCACTGGCCACATGGTAGTCATTTTGGACATTCCATAAATACCTAGTGTAGAGAGACACTGAAAGCAGCAAAACACAAGAGTAGACACTGGGAACTTACTAGGTGGAGGATGGGTTAGAGGAGAGTAGCCACACACCTGGTATAATGATGGAGTCAGAGAACAAGAAAGACAACTTGATTTTAGGCATACACCACCATGCCTCAAGCAAGTTTGTTTTTGTTTTTTTCCTCAATTCTGGGGACCAAATCCAGGGCCTTATCCTTTTCTATTCAAGCTTATAGACCCTGAGCTAAACCCAACACACACACACACACACACACACACACACACACACACACACACCTTTTTTAAATTGAGACAAATTTTAAATTGCGTGCCCTACATAACTGAAAATGTCCCTATCTTTCCTTCCTCCCTCCCTCCTTCCTTTCCTTTATTTTTATTTTTTCAAGATAGGGTTTCTCTGTATAAAAATCTTTTTAAAAATGATTTGTGGAGCCTGTGGTGGTGGCGGTGGCACACACCCTCAGTCATAGCACTTGGGAGGCAGAGGCAGGTGGGTCTCTGTGAGTTCGAGGCCATTTCTCCAAATCCATCTTGTTTTATTTGTATGTAGTCATTTTCTCTCCTGTATATTAGTCTGAGTCTTTTTGTCTTGAAATCCTTTTCCCACTTGTTTTTATGTTTAATCATTTCTTTATTGTTTTATATACTAATAGAGTATAGAGTATCTTTCTCTTCTTTTTTTAAATAAACTTTATTTAAATTAGAGGCAATCTTATTTTATATATCAATCCCAGTTCCCTCTCCCTCCCATCCTCCCATGTCTCCCACAACCCCTCCATCCCATCCCCTATCCACTCCCCAGGGAGAGTGAGGCTTTCTATGAGAGATCATCAAAATCTGTCAAGTCATTTGGGGCAGGGCCTAGGCCCTCCCCCATGTATCTAGGCTAAGAGAGTATCCCTCCGTGGGAAATGGGCTCCCAGAGGCCATTCATGCACTAGAGATCCCCGCCTGTTTTAGTGTTTGCCTGAGTCTCTGTGTCCTACTTAGGTATTTAGTGTTTCTAAGTGACAGCTGTCCTTCCTTGTCTTTTAGATGACATCCCAGTACATGGCTTGGTTGTCGTGGATTCTGCCCAGCACCTTTACAAGAAGGTCTGCCTGTAGTTAGCATAGTTGCTGCTTTCTGTCTCATCTTCTCTCGGAAGTGAATAGAGACACTGCTGTGGGCGAAGGCATTGGAGGAGGCAGAGCAGGATGGCTTTGCTGGTGTGCCTCCCCCAGAGTGGATATGAACTAGACAGAGGCTCAACAGTGAACCCCAGAGAAGTAGTGGGTCATTGATTGGAGAATAGACCAGCAGCCATGTTAATGCAGAGTATCCTATTCCTTGTTGCAGGACACATCCTTCACTTATTTTTGTTATTGTTGTGTGTGTGTGGCATGGGTGAGAGGTCAGAGAACAAATTTGTAGAGCTGGTTCTATCCCTTGGATTTTTTTTTTTTTTGAGATGTGGCTTCACTAACCCTCGGTAGCCTGGAACTCTCTCTATAGAACAGTCTAGCCTTGAACTCACAGAGATGAGCCTGCTTCTGCCCCTGACAGCTGATCTGACAGCCACCCAGTTCCTCCGACTTTTACGTGGTCCAGCTGCCATGCTTGTTCAGCAGCCGCTTTGCCTTCTGACCTGTCTCACTGGCCCTGTCTGTGCCATGCTTTATCTTGTCATTTACTTATTAATCTTTGTTATTTATTTGCTATTTGTTACTAATTTTAGAATTAGCTTTGGTGCATAGTTATTTGGATTTTCGAGACAGGGTTTCTCTGTGGCTTTGGAGGCTGTCCTGGAACTAGCTCTTGTAGACCATGTTGGTCTCGAACTCACAGAGATCCACCTGCCTCTGCCTCCCGAGTGCTGGGATTGAAGACCTGTGCCACCACTGCCCGGCGATGTATAGTTATCTTAAAAGTCAATTTGTTAGTTAGAAATGGGAAATAAATGACTTATTCATTGCCATTGCTTCTGAAGGGAAAAATTGGGAAAACATATTTTCTGAGAAGTTAAAGGAAGACAGCATTCCTGCACCTCGATCTGCTGGGAGCATTCAAATCAGCTTTACCCCTCGAGTATTCCCAACAGCTCTCCGGGAATCCCAAGTGGCAGAAGAGGAGGAGGTAGGCACACTTAGCTCCAGTTAAGCGTCACCACTTCAGTTAGCATCGCCACCGGTGAAATGCCTTCGTAAATTCATCTACGGAAATTAGCACTGGGCTGGTTTCGGTGGCACTGCACACCTCTAATCCCAGCACCAGGAAGCAGAAACAGGTTGGTCTCCTGAGTTCACACTAGCTTGATCTACATAGTGAGTTCCAGGACAGCCAGGACTGTGTAAAGAGAGCCTGTCTCAAAAAAAGAAAAGAGAAAAGAAATTAGGTTTTGGATATCTTTGTTTTGTGTTGTCTGTTTTGTTTTAGTGGTTTGTTTGTTTGTTGTTTGAGACAGTATCTCACTGTGTAGCTCAGGTTGGCCTGAGGCTCACTGTTAACCAAAGTTGGACTTGAACTTGTGAATCTCTCACTTCAGCCTGGTACTACCATGTTGTATGATTTTAAATGGTGCTGGTGACTGAACCCATAGTACATGCTACCAGGGCTAGAGTGTAAGACTGTCTAAGCCAGGTGTGTTTAATCCTGTGTTCAGGCAGATCTCTCTGAGTTCAAGGCCAGCCTGGTCTACAAAGTGAATTTCAGGACAGCCAGGGCTGTTACACAGAGAAACCCTGTCTTAAAAAAACAAAAATAATAAATAGGGTTGGAGAGCTGGCTTAGTAGTTAAGAGCACTGTCTGCTCCTCTAGAGGACCCAGGTTCAATTTTCAGCTCACAATGGTTTGTAGCTCCAGCTCCAGGAGACTTGATATCATCACACAGACATTTTTGCAGGCAAAATACCAAAGCACACACATACTAATAAACTTTGTTTTGTTTTGTTTGAGACAGATGTAGCCCTGGCTGGCCTCGAACTTACAGAGATCCACCTGCTTCTGCCTCCAAGAGCTGGGATTAAAGACATTAACCACCATGTCTAGCCTACACACACACACACACACACACACACACACACACACACACACACACACGTGTGTCTGTGTGTGTGTATGTGTGTGTATATATATGTGTGTGTGTATATATATATATATATATATATATATATATATATATATATATACTGTTTTTTGAGACAAGTTTCTTTGTGTAACAGTCCTGGCTGTCCTGAAATTCACTTTGTAGACCAGGCTGGCCTCAAACAGAGTTCCGCCTGCTTTTGCCTCCCGAGTGCTGGTATTAAAGGCATACACCACCACCGCCCTCACATATTTTTTATTTTATTTTATTTATTTACTTTTGAGACAGGGTCTCACTGTGCAGCCTCGAGTGTGATATGTAAAGCAGGTTGACCTTGAGTTCAGAAATTGACCTTGCTCTATCTCCATGACTGGCTTTTTTTCCTCTTGATGTTATAAAATACTCTGTCAAAAGCAACCTAAGGGAGAAAGGGTTTATGCCAGCCTACAGTACAAGGTATGGTCTACCATGGTAGGGAGGTCCGCTGAAGTGACTGCTCAGTGAGTAAGAACATGTAGTATTCCTACAGCTCTCTCCATGCACACGGTCCAGGATCCCCTGTCCAGGAATGGCTTCCCCCACAGTTGAAATGAGTTTCTTCCCAGTAGATAATGTAATCAGGATAATAAACACACACAGGAGGCATGCTAGAGGCCCTTTCTCCAGGGTGATTGCTAGATAGATACTCAGGTTGACTGCTGTGGCCAGTGTAGCTGATGTCCCTCACCACAGCCAATTCTCATTGTAGTGGCTGCATAAACAAGCGGAGGCCCGCAGAGCCCTGAGCACTGATCTTCCTGAATTCTGTGACTTGAAGGAAGAAGAGAAGAACCCAGACTGGTTGAAAGAAAAGGGGAAGTGAGTTGTTGGAGTGCTCTGCATTCTACAGTAGGCTCATCACATTCCAGGCATCAGGCATAGGTTGACCGTGTGTGTGTGTGTGTGTGTGTGTGTGTGTGTGTGTGTGTGTGTGTGTGTGTGTGTGTGTGTGTGTGTGTATGCATTGCTGGTAGTTTTATGTCTACTTGACATAAGCTTGAGTCATTTGGGAAGAAGGAACCTCCATTGAAAAAGTGCCCCCACCAGATTGGTGGCTGGACAGATCTGTGGTGCATTTTCTTGATTGATGACTGACGTGGAATGCTCAGCTTACCGTATGCACTGCTACCCCTGGACAGGTGGTTCTGGGTACAATAAGAAAGCCTGAGCAAGCCATGAAAAGCAAGCCAGGCCAGGAGGTGGCGCATACCTTTAATGCCTGCACTGGAAGCACTCGGGAGGCAGACGCAGGCGGATCTCTGGGAGTTCGAGGCCAGCCTGGTCTACAAATAGAGTTCTAGAAGAGGCTCCAAAACTACACAGAGAAACCCTGTCTCAAAAAACAAAAAAGCAAGCCAGGAGGCGTGGATCCTCCATGGCCTCTACATTAGTTCCTGCCTCCAAGTTCCTCCTTGAGTTTCTGCCCTGACTTCCTGGATGATGGACTGCAAACTGGCTGATGAAATTAACCCTTTCCACCCCCAAGTTACTTTAGCTCTGGTGTTTACCACAGCAACAAAACCCAAACTAGGATAGGTAGGTCAAGATCCATGTTTAATAAGTCTAATGAAAGAGTTAAATGCAGTACAATGCCTGAGAAATGTGGTTGGGTAGGTGGAGTGCTTGCCTGGAACACACAAAGTCCCGGGTTCCATCCTTGTAACTCTACACTCTGGGTGTGATTGACACCTGTAATCCCAGCAATTGGGAGGTAAAGGCAGGAGGATTGGTTTAAGGTCAGTTTGGGCTATTCATGGAATTGGAGGCCATCCTTAGAGAAAGGACCCTTTAAAAAAAAAAACAGAACAACAACAACAAACCCAGGTGTGCTGGCACAGTTTTTTAAAGCCACCAATCAGGAGACAGAGGCAGGTGGCTGTCTGTGAATTTGAGGCCACTTAGTCTACACAGTGAATTCTAGGCCAGCCAGGGCTACAGAGGGAGACTAGGAGATGGGAAATTGTGTTTTTTGTTTTCTTTCTTTCTTTCTTTTTTTTTTTTTTTTTTTTTTTTTTTTTTTGGTTTTTCGAGACAGGGTTTCTCTGTAGCTTTGCAGGCTGTCCTGGAACTCGCTCTGTAGACCAGGTCTCAGACTCACAGAGATCTGCCTGTCTCTGCCTCCCGATTGCTGGGAATAATGGTATGTGCCACCAATGCCTGTTTATTCTGTTTTCTTTTTCCTTCTGTAGTGCTGGTAATGACCAGCAGAGCCTTGCCCATGCCAGGGGCATTGATTGCCCTACCACCAAGATGCACCTCAGCATCATACTCCCTGCACCAAGTTTTATAGAAAAGTCGAGAGTGAGGGGAAGGGTGTGACAGAAAGGAGTAAAAATATGCAAAGCAGCTTGTGGCTTGAGAACAGGACCAGGCCGACGAGACCTCAAGGTCCTTGCCAGGAGGCTTCTTTTTTCTTTCTTTCTTTTTCTTAACTGAGTCTTGCTCTGGTACTTGACTTGACACCTAGCAGTAGATGCACAGCCCAGTCTTTCAGATGTCCTCCTGCGTGCAACTGTGGGATGTGGGTTTTACGAAAGGGTAAAAGTGGCCAGGCCATTCACAAGAACAGCTGTTAAAGAACTATGTCACCTCACAAGTAGATTGTTAGCAAAACTAAGAACTGTTTGCATTTTTCTTTACCTAGCATTTTAATGCTATGTCTTAATTTTAAACAGAAAAGCTGCCTTAAAATGACATATATGGGTCTGGAGAAATCCTTAGCAGTTAAGAGCAATGGCTGCTTTTGCTAAGGATCCAGGTTTGGTTACTAACACTTGGCAACTCCTAGCTGTCTGTAACTCAAGTTCTAGGGGATCTAAATCCCTCTTCTGGCTTCTTCAGGCACCAGGCACATAGGTGGTATACATACAAACCTACACAGGGCAGTACACTCATGCAAAAATGAAATATAAAAGAATACATACAGGACTAGGGAGATTCTGTGCGATCCTGAGGACATGAATTCAATCCAGGTAAAAAGCTAGGGCTGTGGTGCATGCTTTGAATCCCAGTCCTGGGAAGGCAGAGTGGATCTGTGGGTCTTATTGGCCAGTCATCCTAACCTGGTCAGGAGCACCAGATCCCAGTGAGGTGAGGCAGGGTGAGGGGTCCATTCAGGTACACTAGGCCAGTCTCAAATGAAAGGTGAGGTCTCCCCATGTAGCCCTGGATGCACTGGAACTCCTTATGTAGGCTACACTGGTCTTCAATTCACAACAATCCTCCTGCCTCAGAATCCTCAGTGTCAGAATTACTGGCACGTACCATCATACCTCTGGAGAATTTGTTTTTTATTTTGTTTTACATAAAAATATTATCCTTGAGCTGGCATATCAACACTCCTCGCACTCCAGCCTTCACACTCGTCATGAGATGAAACCATCGGCTCCCCTGCTTCTTGGGTTCTGGGGCTTGAGCTAGAACCACCTACACCAGTGCTTTCTTAGTATCTAGTGGGCAGATGGAGCTCAGCACTCCTCATAGTTGCTTGATCCAATTGCTCACAGTGCACACCTCTTTCTACCCATCTGTATGGCCATGTGCTGCTTGGTCTAAGGGAGGTGGCACTAAGTGGCTTTTGTTTTTGAAAGCTGTAGGTGTGCACTTATGCAAACTAAGATGGCTATGCTACCACTCGGTGATAGACTCTTTGAGGATCAGTATGCATTCCATTGTTGGCTAAAATGCCCTGTGTCTCACTGTATGCCCCATAGGTTACTTTTTCTCTGGAGGAGGACCCTATGAGAAAAAGATGGTCCTGATGTTGCACTTGCTGACATGCGACTTGTTATATAGTCCAGCTGGCCTTGAACTTGTAGAAGTACTCTTGCTTCTGCCTCCCAAGTTCTGGGATTACAGGTCTTTAGCACCATGTCCATGTTATTTTTTAAAATATGCAGAATGCTAATTTCTCCCATCTTCATTCTGAATGATAATTTGAAGGGGCATGTGTCTCTTCACTAAGGTGTATGGAAGCTGACTGTCTGGCTTGTGTACTCTGTCTGTCTGTCCGTCTATCCAGTAGATTTTTTTTGGTATTGGGGATTGAATCAAGGGCCTCACTCATCTAGACAAAAGCTAAAACACTAAGCTATGCCTTATCCCTAGCCATTTCTCCATTTTTATTTATTATTTCAGTTATTGTTGGTTTGTTTGGACATGGGGCTCACATGTACAGTCTGGAGAACTTGCTATATAGCCCACTAGAGCCTCAACTCTAGATCCTTCTTTCTCCACCTCAAGTGATGGGATTACAGCTCTTACTTCTTTATTTTGAGACAAGGGTCTCACTAAGTTGCCCAAGCTGACCTTCAGCTTGTTCCATAGGCCAAGTAAAGCTTGGTCTTGCAGTCCTTGTACCTCAGTCTGTCAAGCAGCTGGGATTACAGGTCTGCACCACCAGGCTGGCTGATGTGGGCTCTTTTATAAAGGTGTGTTGACACATGCGCCAAGCTCAGAGTAGCTCTGCTGTGTCATGAAATGCTGGTCCCATTTCCTGTCCCTCTCCTGTTCAAACGGCACCAGCTTTACTGTAACTAGCTTCTCCCATAAAAATAAGCAGCAGCATTTGCTGTGTGCTTTCCTTATTCACATCCAGCAGGGGGAGAAGTTTTCCAACTTTCACTCTTCAACTGGAGACCCAAACCACCAGCTTCATTCTGGCCAGTGTAAGCCCCTTTCCCATCCCTAAATAAATCACTGAATCACAAAGATAGACATGCACTTGCTGTGCTAAGCCACTGATGGCTGCCTTTGGGTAGGGGGAGCCACCCTATTCAAGGCACATGCTTGGTGTATGTGGAGATGGAGCTGGTGCAGCAGGAAGTCTCGACCAGACAGGGAGGAAATAGGGCAGCCATCTATCTGGCTGCCAAGTAGGGTAGATGTCATTTCTCCACGTCTGCTTCAATGTTAAATTGGCTTTTTCTTTTTGTCTCATTAGCAAATTGTTTGCAACAGAAAACTATTTGGCAGCGGTTGATGCATACAATTTAGCCATACGATTAAACAGTAAGATTCCATTATTGTATTTGAATCGGGCTGCTTGCCACCTCAAACTAAAAAACTTACACAAGGCCATCGAGGACTCTTCGAAGGTATGTATGGTCCTCTGATGGATGTGTGTTTGTTTATGTATTTCTTCATTTTAAAACATGATGCTTTAAAATTGTCCTGGAGAGCCAGGTGTGGTGGCCCCTCAAGAGGCTAAATGAAGATCATTGAGTTCAAGGCCAGTGTGGGTTATACAGCAAGTTCCAAGTCAGGCAAGGTTACACAATGAGACTCTGTCTTAACAGATCAAAATAAGGCCGGGCGGCGGTGGCGGTGGTGGTGGTGGTGCACACCTTTAATCCCAGCACTGGCAACACACAGGAGGCAGAGGCAGGTGGATCTCTGTAAGTTCGAGGCCAGCTTTGTCTACAGAGCGAGTGCCAGAACAGGCTCCAAAGCGACAGAGAAACCCTGTTTTGGAAAACAAAACAAAACAAAAAGATCAAAATAAAGTAAGTAAACAAACTGGTACAGCACATCTACTAAAATAGGAAAGTTACAGAGAAGATTATCATGGCCCCTGTGCAAGGATGACATGCAATTTATGAAGCATTTCATGATTTTTCTCTTTGAATGTGCTGGACTACTAAAACAATAAACTACTGATGTCTACAAAAACAAAATTGTTATCCTTTAGTGGAACCTAGCTTGTTCAAGGTCTACACAGATAGGTCAGACCTTAGTATTCAGGGGATGGGAGTAGTGCAGTGAAGGCATTGCTAGGCCTTCTTTATTGGTTTAAAAGCTGCTCTAGGACAGCAGTCCTCAAGCTGTGAGTTGCAACTGCCACAGGAGTCATGTATCAGCCATCCTGCATATCAGATATTTACATTATGATTCATAACAGTAGCAAAATTGCAGTTATCAAGTAGCAATAAAATAATTTTATGGTTGGAGGTTACCACAGCATGAGGAACTGTACTAAAGGGTCACAGCACTAGGAAGGCTGAGAACCACTGGGCTAGGACTTAGCACTTATCTTAGTAGTAGAGCATCTGTTTACCAGTGTGAGGTGCTGGGTTCTGTACTCAGTGCCCTCCCCCAGAAGTTAAATGCTAAGCCCCTCGGCCTGCTCTACCATTGAGTCTGTGTCTGGTCCTCCTTTTCCTTTCTATCTGTTCTGCATGGAGGATAACCTGCTATAGCCGTGCTTTCTGTTTCCAAAGAGTGAGCTAAGTAAGTATGTAGTGAGCAATATGGAAAGAACACCCAGCAGATAGCAGATAGTAAAACATCATCATGTCAGGTGCTGACAACATCCGGCAGCAGCGATGGGGAAGTCCTACTGGGGTAGTCATCCTGGGGGTCTGATAGAGAGGTTTCCAGGCAGAACATAGAGTTTGCTTCATGAAAGAGCTTCTGGCTCCTCCTTCCCACTGCAGGCATTTTTATACTGTATGATAAACAATGGTAACCTCTGCTGGGAATGGTTCACCTTCCAGCTGTTCTCAGGGTGCCGTGGTTACAATAGCAGCCTTGGCTCTTAGCTATTTTCCTTTCTCCCTGTTACAAGGAACCAGAGGGCAGCTTGATGCAGGACATAGAGTTTTGGAAGATTTTGAAATGAACATGCTTGAGTCAGCTTGAAATAAGCACAAATAGTACTGACATTTTACCAATATAACCTATATTTTAGGTTTAGATTGCCTAAGCTAAAGTAGAACAGACCTTGAATTTGCCATTCAATGCCTTAGCCTCCCTAGTAGCTAGAATTATAGGCATGTGCCACCATTTTTTGTATTATTTATTTATTTTATTTCTTGTTTTTGTTTTTCGAGACAGGGTTTCTCTGTATTGTTTTGGATGCTGTCCTGGAACTCGCTCTGTAGACCAGGCTCCCTAGTGCTGGGATTAAAGGCATGTAAACCTGGCATATTTATTTTTTGAGACAGAGCCTCAGGTAGCCTAGACTGGCCTGGAACACAGAGAAAAATGACCTTGCACTCCTGATCCTCCCAAGTGCTGGGATTGGAGGCCTGTGACCACACCCAGTTTAGCAATACCCCAGGCATAGGAATTATAGGTATAAACCATTATGTCTTCTGATATCTGCCTTAAAGCTAGAATTTAGAATTTTCGCTGTTTTTGCTCAGACTTAATTTTATACACACAGTATATGTGTGGATGTGTGTACAGGTATGTGTAGTGGCAAGAGGTCGGTGTTGGTGTTCTTCAGGTACTGTTCCCCTTATTTTATTAAGGATTTATTTATTTGTTGGTTTTTTGAGACAGGGTTTCTCTGTGGCTTTGGAGGCTGTCCTGGAACTAGCTCTTGGAGACCAGGCTGGTCTTGAACTAACAGATATTCACCTGCCTCTGCCTCCTGAGTGCGGGGACTAAAGGTGTGCGCCACTACCGCCCAGCAGGATTTATTTTATTTTTTTAAGGATTTATTTTTAATTATGTGTATGTTTTTGTTTCTGGTGGGGGGCTATTTGCACATGAATGTAGTTGACCCTGGAATCTAGAGGACACTGGATCCCCTGGAACTGAAGTTATAGACAGTAGTGAGCTGCCTAATATGAGTGCTAGAAACTGAACTCAGGTCATCTGGAAGAACAGCAAGTACTCTTAGCCTCTAAGCCATCTTCCTAGCCTCCCACTTGCATTTGCGTGTGTATGTGTGTTTTAGATTAATTAAATTGTAATTACATCATTTCCCCATTCCTCCCTTCAGTTCCTCCCATGTCCACCCCCCATTCCCCGAACTCCCACCCCATCCTCTGCGTCTGCTTTCCCAGCACTGCCTCAGCATGTTCTGCCATGCCTGGAGGTGGGTGTTGAGGTTTGAACACAGGTCTTCATGCTTACAGAGCAAGCACTTTACACATTGAGCATCTCCCTAACCACTACTTATTTATATTGTTTGAAAGGCACTAGAATTATTGACACCACCTGTTTCTGACAATGCCAGTGCAAGAATGAAGGCACATGTCCGACGAGGTACAGCATTCTGTCAACTAGAATTGTATGTAGAAGGTAAGAGATTGATGGGGCATGGCATAGCTGTTGGTAGAGTTAGAGCCTGGAATGTACAAGGCCGTGTTAGATCCTTGCTACCATATAAATTGTGTGTGGTGGCACACACCTGTAATGCCAGCAGTTGGGAGGTGGAGGCAGGAGATCAGAAGTTCAACGTTGTCTTCAGTTACCTATCAAGTTCATGTTTGCTGAGACCCTGTTTCAAAAACAAAAAGTTATCAGGTGGTGGTGGTGGATGCCTTTAATCCCAGCACTTGGGAGGCAGAGGTGGATCTCTGTGAGTTTGAGGCTAGACTGGTCTACAGAGTGAGTCCCAGGACAGCCAGGGCTCTTACACAGAGAAACCCTGTCTCAAAAAACAAGAACAAACAAGACGAAACAAAAAGTTTGTGTAGATAACGTAGGTACTTATGAAATACTTGCTTTGTTGGTTATCACTGATGTGTCAATACAGGCTTGCAAGATTATGAAGCTGCACTTAAGATCGACCCAGCCAACACAGTTGTACAGAATGATGCAGAGAAGATTCGGAATATAATTCAAGGGACAGCACTGAAGTCTCATGACTAGAGACAACTAGGTACAGGAGTCACTGTTAGTACTCTATCACTGTAAAGAGCAAAGTGCCAGAGATCCTTTGGAAAGGCAGTGCCAGAGGAATCATTTCCATATCTCACTACCTTTGATCTCCCAGCATTGGGAGGCAGAGGCAGGTGGGCTCTGTGAGTTTGCAGCCAGCCTGCCCTACATGCCCAGCTCCAGGCCAGCCGGAGCTACACAGGGAGATCCTGTTTCAAAGCAAAGAACTAAACACAGAGAATGGGCTGGCCTAATTCTTGATCTTAGCGCAGGACTTGGACTTTGATGTTGCTGTCCTGAACTCTCCTTGTTCTTGTAATTAAGCTGTTGGGGTTTCCAGGATACTACTGAGGAATCAACAGAACTTGTACATTAAAGATTATACTTATAAAGTTTTTATTATATTAAATGTAGTATTTCATTCTGAGTGATTGGTTTTGGTATGCTATATATATACACACACACACACACAAGTTTTAGTCATTTACAGATATAAAAATCATAGTTTTTAGACTGTTTGTTGTTTGAGGTTAGACCAACTCTGGGTCCGATGGGCAGAAAGATGTAGAATTCCAGGACAGCCTGGGCTGCATAGTGAGACTATCTCAAAAAAAAGTGAAGAAAGAAACAATAGCAAAAACCAAACAAACAGGGCTGGAGAGAGATGGCTCAGTGGTTAAGGACACTGTCTGGAGCTGGATGGTGGTGGCGTACCCCGTTAATCCCAGCACTCAGGAGGCAGAGGCAGGCGGATCTTGGTGACTTTGAGGCCAATCTGGCCTACAAAGTGAGTTCCAGGATAGCCAGGAACCCTGTCTCAAAAAAACAAAACAAAAAGAACACTGCTCTCCAGAGCTCCTGAGTTCAATTCCCAACAACCACATGGTGGCTCACAATCATCTGTAATGATATCTGTTGCCCTCTTCTGGCATGCAGGCAGAACACTGTATATATAATAAATAAATCTTAAAAAAAAAAAAGTCGGGTAGTGGTGATACTCGACTTTAATCCCAGCTCTTGGGAGGCAGAGGCAGGAGAATATCTCTGATTTTCAGGTCAGCCTGGTCTACAGAGTGAGTCCCAGGACAGCCAGGGCTGTTACACAGAGAAACCCTGTCTCGAAAAACAAGACACATAACAAAACAACAATTTTGTGTACGGATGTTTTACCTGCATGAATGTGCTCCACTGGTGTATGCGGTATCTGCAGAGGCCAGAATGCATCAGATATTTTGCAATGGAGTCACAGACAGTTGTGCACTGTTATATGGGTGCTGGGAATTGAACCCGGGACCTCTGGAAGAGCAATCAGTGTTCTTAGCCACTGAATCATATCTCTTAAGTCCCAAAACCTTAAAAAACCAAAACCAAAAACCAAACAACTAAGCGGCAAGAGAGGTGGCTTAGTAGTTTTGCAGCTTTTTGCCAGGCGGTGGTGGCTCACAACTTTAGTCCCAGCACTTGGGAGGCAGAGGCAGGCAGATCTCTGTGAGTTCGAGGCCAGCCTGGTCTATAAGAGCTAGTCCAGGACAGTCTCCAAAGCCACAGAGGAACCCTGTCTCAAAAAACAAACAGAATGTTTGCAGCTTTTCAAGTTCAATTTCCAACTCTAATACTGGGTATCTCATAACCAGTTGGAACAATAGTTTCAGAGGATCTGATGCCTTCCTTTGTTTGGTCTCTCTTGAGCACAAACTCACTTGGTACACACACACAATAAAAATAAAAATAAATCTTAAAAATTAATCTCAACATAAGTTTAGACAAATTTAGTTTGCAGATTTTGTTGTTTTGAGACAGGGTCTTGGTTTGTAGCTCAGGCTGGCCTGAACTCATAGTGGTCCTGTTTCCATCTCACCGGTACTAGGATTACATCCTAGAGCCATGTGGGACATGGTGATACTCATCTCTTAGCTTTGGAGGCTGAGGCAGAAAGGTCCCACATAAGTTTGAGGCCAAGCCTGGGCAGTGTTGAGAGACTCTGTCTCAGAAACAAACAAGCAAAAACACCCAAAAGTGGGAAAAATGAAAGTAAAAAAGTGTATTGCTATATCTGACTAGTTTATTTATTTGTATTTATTTATTTTTTCGATACAGGGTTTCTTTGTGGCTTTGGAGCCTGTCCTGGACAGCTCTTGTAGACCAGGCTGGTCTCGAACACACAGAGATCTGCCTGCCTCTGCCTCCCCAGTGCTGGGAATAAAGGAGTGCACCACCACCACCCGGATATACCTGGTGGCTTTTTCTTGTCCTTGAAACACGGTCTCACTTTGCAGTCCAGATTGGCTTAGAACTCACTATATAAATGTAGGTTGGCCTCAAACTCATGGTGATCCCCCTGCCTCAGTCTCCTTAGTACTAAGCGCCCCCATGCCCAGCTTAGTTCACAGGTCTTGATTACTTGTGGCTCTAGAATCTTGCAACACTTCACTCCAAAAGTAGAATCTGCTGGTATGATAAAGTGAGTGAGGGACCTTGGCCGATTCCGCTGCAGGCGAGGGTGACAGAGCCAGGGGACAAACATGCCAGGCAGACAGCTTAGTGAGAAGTTTTATTAGAAAGGGGAGGGGGGCCGGGCAGTGGTGGCGTACGCCTTTAATCCCAGCACTCGGGAGGCAGAGGCAGGCAGATCTCTGTGAGTTCGAGGCTGGGCTGGACCGACAGCCTCGAAAACAATACAGAGAAACCCTGTCTCGTAAAACCAAAAAAAAAAAAAAAAGGGGGGGGAGGGGGAAGGAAAGAGAAAAGAGGTAAAGAGACAGAAAGAGGAACAGCAGGAAAGACAGAGAGAGCGTGAATGTAAAGGAGCAGGATCTTCCTTTTAAAGGGGTGCTTCCGACCTGGGCTGACCATGGTACTGCCTGAGTGCATTCTGTCAGGTGACAGGCAGGCCAGCTTAATGCCTGAGTCCTTACAATGGGCAGAGGGCTGGTTTGTAGAGAGAGAAATCTGAGAGACACAGAAACAAGAGGTAATTTTCCTTGAAAGGTGAGAACAGGGAGACAAAACGGAAACAACAGGTTCTTCACACCAGGTTACTTCCACTCCCTTGCTTTGTGGGCACTAAAATGAAGACTTCCAGATCACACCAGTGGAAAGTGGCAGGTTTGGGACCAGGTCTTTCCCTCCTGACTGGTCAGGTGAATTTTCGAGTGACTGCCCTGTAGGGAAAAGGGACCAGTCAAAGAAACACACCCTGAGCAGAGCCAAAGAAACACACTTTGGCCCTGCAACCAGAACTAAAGAAATGTACGTTGATCCTGAAACTGAAAAACCTCAATACCCCCAACCCCCTTTTGAGATTCTGAAGGTTGCCTCAGTGGAAAATTCCCCAAGGTCCCTTCCCCTAGACAGGGAACAAGGTCGAATTAAAAGGAACATCTGGTCCAGAGTGCTGATGCAGGACACCGGCAGGCTGTTAAGATAAGTTTAATCTTGACCTTGTGGTTTCTCCAGGAAGGATGAGTTATGCCCGCACTTCTTACAATATCCCTATTGCTTGCCCAGATCTGCACCTGCAGTGGCTCCGCTTTTTACAATACCCCTATTGCTTAGCTTGCCAAAATTATGTATATAAAAAGAAAACTGTCCTAAAGCCTGGGGCTCTCAGCTAGCTAAAGCGGCTGGAGTGCCTGCAGACGCCTGTGTAAACAATAAACCTCTTGCAGTTTGCATCCAACTGTCTGGTTATTGAGCTCGGGATATCACGAGGCATTCAGCCTGACAACTTCAGGTCTTTCAAAACCAGTGCCAAAGAAACATGCTTTGTCCCTGGAATCAGAGTCTGTGAAAGAAATACACCCTGGCCCTAAAATTAGAGCCAAAAGGCTAAAAAGGACCAGAGAAAGAAACACATTTTGGCCCTGAAACCAGAGCCAAATCGGACCCTAGCCTTGTGCAGAAAACTAACCAATCCTCAAGCAGAGCTCTAGTCAATGTGAGCTCAGCACTAAAATCTGATCAATCCCCACCCTGAAAGCCCTATATAAACCCTGTGTCTGTTCAGCTTATGGTTGTTAGTGCTACCCGGCTGTCTTCTGCCACTCTGGCAGAGGGCAGCCACTCTCCTGGATTCTTCCCTCCCAATAAACCCCTTGGATGAGCTTTGGGTGAAGACCTTCTTTTGCTTCGGAGCAGAGGCAACCCTAGGCAGAGCAGTGCGAGCAGGGCTGTAACACTTTTTCCGGGGAAACCTTCCCCTGGTAGAGTGGAGTTGTTACACTCGGTACTCCACTCCCGGGAGCAGAGCTGAACTGTAGCAAATTCCCCCAGGAAACCTTCTCCTGCCAGAGCAAAACTGCTACACTGGGCGAACATCCCCAGCTGGAAGAGCCTGTCCTGCTGGAGCAGAGCAGATATACTGGGGAAGCCTTTCCCTGAGGCAAGGCTGTAAGCTGCTATGCTTACTGCAACCTGTGGTAGTCCTTGGCTCCCGAGCTCCAGGATACCTTTCCACCTGAGCTGTGTAACACTCAGTATTCTGTGGCTCCCGAGCTCCAGGATACCTGTCCCACCCGATCCGTCCAAAATGCCTGCACACCCAGTGAAGTTTTGGCACAGGAGCTCTGCTTTGATTTTCAGTCTGGCCTGTTGGGTTCTACAACAGAAACAGCCCACAGCAGAGGCCTCCTATAATTCTGTCTTCTTTCTTAGTCTGAAGACAGGGCCTTCACAGGACCTCCTGTATGCTAAGCAAGTGCCCTGTGACCAGGCTATGTCCCCAAGTCCCATCATTTTTCTGTAAAACTATATTATCCAAATATCAGTCATATTTCACAACACTATCTTGAGGAAAGCTTTTCTAGTAAAATTGTATTCTTGTATTGCCAAATAAGCCAGAGAATTAAAAAAATCCAGACAGCAAAGAGCGGATATTAGCCTAGCATGCCTGTCTGTTTGTTAGCAGCACTTTGCTATGAGCCTGGCCCATCTCCGGGAGCAAGTTCACACTAGCTGAGCTCAGGGGCCCCCGGTGGTGACCACTGTGAAAATCACAGGAGGGTTCTTGGCTTGGAGACCTTCCCACTCTGAGTTCTTTCTTTAATGAGTGTGTGTTCCCTCTGCTGTGAAAGGACAGCCCCCCCAGAAGACTGTGCTTTTGTATTTAGCCCTACATGTCTGGGTGCACAGAGACTAAATATGAAGCTGGATGTGGCTGTGCACACTTGGAATCCAGCCACCTGGGAGTATGAGGCAGGTGGATTGCCATGAGTGCAGAACAGCCTGGGCTACAGCTGACCCTACCTCAAATGAGAGGGGTTGGGGACAGAGATGGAGAGGCTGACTAAAGATTAAAATGTAATCACTGACTCCCTCCTAGTAAAACTCCGTCTCCAAACCTAGACTAACTTATCTGACTTTCCCATAAATCCAGAAGATCAGGGCTAAAAATCATAATGAATCTAGACCCAAACTGACATGCCACTCAGACCTTATCACAGGTGAGGAAGCGGCCACATTGCCCAAGAGGCTACTTTCAATATGTGTGCTCATGGATTGCCTCTGCTTTAATCAGTTTAGGTTTTTTGGGGGGGGGGATTGTTGGTGATTACCAGTGCAAGGAGTAAGACATAGGGCTTCATGCATGCTAGGCAGGCTGTAGGGACTCAGGTATTTTACCAACTCCGCCCCCTGACGACCAATGGAGGCACGCATAGTGACACGCCCACTTGTCTCAGGACTCAGTGCGCCTGTACAACATCCCCTTTATAAGCCACCACTCACCCCTCCCTCTCTCTCAGCTCTGCACGGGTTGGTTATCCTTCACCCCCCTTTTCCTTCCCTGTCCACCAATAAAACTCCACATGGGAATGTTGACTCATGGTTTGTGTCTCGTTTCTGGGTAAACCTAGACATTTTAACGACACAGGCATCCTACAGCTGAGTCACACCCTCAGCCTCTGACTTATGCTTACATAAAATAAGTATTTTGCTATTATGTTACCAGTTATTTTACTCTATATTGTTTTACAGAGAAAATAACTCTGAAGGGGCTGGAGAGATGGCTTAGCAGTTAAGTGCACTAGGTGTTCAAACATTCCAGAGACCCTGAGTTCAATTCCCATCAACCACATGGTGATTCACAATCACTTATAATGGGATCTAGGGCCCTCTTCTGGCATGCAGGCATACATGCAGGCAGAACACTATGTATATAATAAATCTTAAAAAAAAGAATTTTGGAGATGATGAGTGGAGTTTTGGTTGTTTTATTTTGTATTTGTGTGTGTGTAATGGATGTATATGTCCATTCATATATATGCATTTATATGTGTACCTGTATGTGGAAGCCACAAGTGGATATTGAGTGTTGGCTTCACGAGCTCTCTGCCTTATTTTTTGAAACAGGATATCTCATTAACCTGGAGTTCACTGATTTGCCTAGATAGACTAGCAGGGGATCATCACTCTGCCCACTGCCCATGCCCCAGTGGCTTACAGGCTTTTGCATGGATTCTGGTGATTGAAACTCAGGTCCTCCTGCGTGTCTTTGTGTATCTCTCTCTCTGTGTGTGTGTGTGTGTGTGTGTGTGTGTGTGTGTGTGTGTGTGTACACGTACACATAGGTACACTCAAGAGCAACCCAGGGTGGGTATGGAGGTCAAAAGACAGCTCGTAGGAGCCAGCTCTCCCCTTTCACTTGTAGGTGAGAGCACCGTACTTGATGAATCATCTCACTGGCCCATCTGTACTCATTTTGTGGGGCTAGCTTGGTAGAAGCTATGTATCCCAGGCTGGTCTTGAATTAATGGAAACCTTCCTGCCTCAAGTAAGGGGATTAGGGTTTTGGTGTGGGCCACCAAGTCCAGCTAAATGTTGATATACAGTATTTGTTATGTTTGACTTTTTGAGATAGGGCCTCACTCTGTAGTCCTGGCTGGTTAGGAACTCAGCTGGTAACACAGCTGGCCACAAATTTTCAACCCTCTTGCCTCAGGAGAATGCTGGTTTTGTGTGAGCCACTAGCTTCTATGTTCCTTTGTTTTAGTAAGTACACTTAGTAGCAAGTGCTATGATGAAAATCCCTTGCAGCTTAGTGGGGTCCACGTATTTTGGGCTTGCTAGCCAAGCACTCAGACCTACTAGGCCAAACACTCAGCCTGAGATAGTTTATTACTGAGCCCAATAGGAGTGATCATAGCTCAAAAACAATGATTCAGGTGGCCCCTAATAATATGCTCCAATGTGAAAATAGTTTGATGAAGTGTTTAGTTACTAAACAAAAAATAAATCTTGAAAAACCAAAAAACAAAACAAAACAAAAAACCCAAAATCCCCCCAAAAGTCACAAGTCTAGGTATTTTTCAGTACATTGGTGGGAATGGGCAGGTCACAATAAATCAAAACTATTGCAAATGTTAGTTGCTTAGTTGTTGGAAGCCAATGGTCAAAATGCATTCCAAAGGTTCTACCTCATAATCATAGGATGCCATGTCAGATACAGAGCTGGGATGAATGGCCAAGTAGGGGACTAGAGACAGCCCCCAAGATTGTTTCTAGATCTTAACACTCCAACTCAACCAACAGTTTTTGTTTGCTTGTTTTGTTTTTCCAGACAGGGTTTCTCTGTGGCTTTGGAGGCTGTCCTGGAACTAGCTCTTGTAGACCAGGCTGGTCTGGAACTCACAGAGATCCACCTGCCTCTGCCTCCTGAGTGCTGGGATTAAAGGCATGTGCCACCAACGCTCGGGGCTTTGAGCACTTTTTAAGATTCATTATTTTTATTTCTTTTTTTTTTTTTGAGACAGGGTTTCTCTGTATTGTTATGGAGGCTGTCCTGGAACTCTCTCTGTAGACCAGGCTGGCTTCGAACTCACAGAGATCCACCTGCCTCTGCCTCCCAAGTGCTGGGATTAAAGGCTTGTGCCACCAACGCTCAGAAAGATTTATTATTTATAATTGTGTATGTTAGTAGTACTGGTGAGAGATGATGGCGCCAGAGACCAGAGGCATGGGATTCCTGGGGAGCTGGAGTTACAGGGGCTGTCCCTTCCCCTTCTCAAATGGTGCTGGGGACCAAACAAGAGCAGCCTGGGCTCTTAACTGCTGAGTCATCCTTCTTGCCTTGAACAGTGTGTGGCAGGGCATGGTGGTTTACTACATAGAGAGTTCTAGGCTAGCTGGCTGCATGGTGAGACCCTTTTTCTAATATAAAGTCACTGTCAATAAGTTATCAGTTAGAATTTTTATTTCTTATAAGTATTTTGGAACATGTATTTATATATTTTTTATTAAAATCCTTTCATGTTCAAAAATTAGGCATTCTAGACTTAAAAACGAACATTGTCTAGCACATTTTATCTTCAGTTGTCAGGAAGACGTATTTTCAGAGAGTGTGTTGAAAGTTAGGAAAATCAATGGTCCTGGTTCTGTCGGGGCCCGTATTTAGGCTGTTGTTTTGATAAAACCCAGTTGCTCTGATGTGATTTGAGAACACTTGTTCTCTTGGAATGTACTTGCAGGGAAGGAACTGGGGCCTGGGTGAGAACGCACCATACTGGCTGGAATTGGTTTTGTACATGATCATCTGTGGTTTAGACAGTGAGGTGTTTGTGTTGAGTGTCTTGGGGTTCAACATACAGGAGAACACAGGGTTGCCAGGGTTCACACATGGAGCCGATGGTTCAGGTTTCATTTCTTCATCTGAAGTCAAAGAACTTTTCTTATCCTAAAAGGCACATAAAATCATCCTGTCACTCAGGAACAGGCTTAGACCTATCCCTCCCCCCCTTTTTTCATATCCTCTTTTCTTGGGTTGCTTGCTTGCTTCATTTTCTTTCTTTTTTTATTCTGAGACAGGATTTTATTATGTAGCTTTGGCTGGCCTGGAGCTCCCTATGTAGATCAGGCTGTTCTGAAACTCATATAGATCTGCCTGCCTTTCTAGTGCTGGGATTAAAATCTCGGGCTACCATACCTGACTCTCTCTTAGGGAAGGATCTCAGGTGGCCCAGTCTAGCCTAGAACTCCATGTGAAGCTGCAGATGTCCTTGAACTTTCTGACCATCTTGCCTTCAGCCTTCCAACCATCAGCATCATGTCATGGGCCATTACGTCTGGCTACATTTTACCTAATCTTTTAAACCCTTTGTCAGTGCAACTTAAAAAGCCCCCGATTACAGACTTGGCTGTGAAGCCACCTATTGAGGCCTCTGCCCTGAGCACCCCTGGCCTATCCAAATGTATGATGCTGTCCTTCCCTTTCATGGCTCTCCTCTTCTCTTAGTGTTTGTGCTGCAACTTACAAACCCTGAATTTGTTTCCTAGTAACTCCAGCCTTGTTTTATACTTAATGCCTGAATCTCTGTTTTCATCAGTCAAGAATCTTTCTTGCCCAGGAGATTTCTGGAGAGCACTCATGCTACTCTATCTGGTGGAGTGCCCGTGTCTACCACTGTGGCTTGATGCCCTCCCTATCGTTCCTGGTTCTTTGAAACACAGTCTTATTCTGTAGTCTAGACTGGCTTTGAACTCAAGAAACTTCTCCTGCCTCAGCCTCCTGAGTGCTGTCACTGCAGGCTTGTGCCACCATGCTTGGCTGTGAGACTCCTGTACTAGCTGCATTAACTTTTTGTTTGTTTATTTGTTTTTTATTTTTGGAGACAGGGTGTATCTGTGTAGCTTTGGAGCGTGTCCTGGAACTCACTCTGTATACCGGGCTGGTTTCGAACCCATAGAGATCTGCCTTCATCTACCTCCCGAGTGCTTGGCTGGGATTAAAGGCATGCACCACCACTGTATGGCATGGCCTAACTTTTTTTTTTTGAGACAAGGTTTCTCTGTATTGTTTTGGAGGCTGTCCTGGAACTCTCACTGTAGACCAGGCTGGCCTGCCTCTGCCTCCGGAGTGCTGGGACTAAAGGCATGCACCACCAACACCCGGCTTGGCCTAACATTTTTTATTTGATAAACCTACACAGTTAAAAATTAGGCAGTAGCAAGTGTGGTTACTACTGTGAACTAATGTTCTCTAAAGAGGAACAGGGCTTACAGAGTTAGCCACCATTCCTGGCTGCTTTCCTTATTTTAATGATAATGATAAGGCAGAGTTGGCTCTGTTGTGGCACACCCACACACTTTAATCCCAGCACCTGGGAGGCAGAGGCAGGCAGATCTCTGAGTTCAAGGCTAGCCTGGTCTACAAAGCAAGTTCCAGACAGCTAAGGAAGGCTACATAGAGTGAAACCTGTCCTGAAAAACAAAAACAAAAATTTAGGGGCTGAAGATGTGGCTTAGTTAGTAGGGTGCTTGCCTAACAAACATATGAAGAGGTCCTGGGCTCGTGTGCCACCTGAACTGGGCATGGGGGCTCACACATGTAATCCCACAGAGGATCAGAACGGTCATCTGAAGTTACAAAGGGAGACAAAGGTCATCCTGGGATACAGGAAGCTCTGTCTCAGAAAAAATATAGAAATTGGAATACTAAAAGAGTGTGGTGTAAGACAGAAACTTCCATCTAGATGTGACCCACTTAAAAATGACTAAAAACACCAACAAAACCCAAACCACAGATTTTGGGCTCACTTGAAGAAAAACTCAAGATAAACATTAAAATGCTGAATAAATGGATTTTTTAAAGAAAGGTCCCATTAATTACTTGGCCCCAAACTGCTGGCAGTTCTGCTGCTTTAGCCTCCACAGTGCTGGGATTCTAGGTCCGGGCCACCGTGCTTACTCATCCCATGGACGTTCTTTGGTTATTCCTATCCACTTCAGTTAGTGAGGAGTCCAGTTCTCATCGAATCACCTGTGCTGCTACTGACACTAAGACTTAATCACCTTCAGCTCCAGATGTGGTCATCTTTTAGCAGTCACTTCAAATAATGCAAATCACATCAGGGGACGATGCTATCTACTTCCGTCTTTTAGATCTCCATTGCAACTGGAGATGCTTATAGGTAAGCAAGTAACTACCGCTTTACCCCAGACACTGTAAAAGCAGCTTTGCTATTTGACTTTTAGCCTCTAGGAGTTCTAAGAGCAGGGTGTGTGGCATAGGCCTGTAATGGATACTTGGGAAGTAGAGGCAAAAGGTTGTCAGCTACACAGAGAATGTGAGGTCAGTCTGAAATACTCTGAGAAGCTCTGTCTTAAAAGAAACCTCCACCCAAAACTCCTCTCTCACCCAAACAAAAACAAGGGGTCAGGATATACCCCCTTGGAGGGTGCTTTCCTAATTTGTGTGAGGCTTGAGGTTCAGTTCCTGGTTACAGCAACACAAAAAGCAGGTCTACTTGTGAAACCAGTTTTTGCCTAACATCAGCTACTCGAATGGCTTCCTTTATTATTTACTCATTAGCTAGGTAAGGGACAGAGGAAAGTTAGCGATCCTCTGGTGGAGTGCACAGCGTCCCCCCTCCCCGATCCTTTTAAACAAGGCATACTACAGATGACATCAAAATGAAGGTACTAGGGCTGGAAAGTGTAGCCCTGCAGTAAAGCGGTTGCCTACCATTCACAAGGCCCTGGATGAGATCCCCACGAGTGCAAACATAAACAAAATAAAAACCATCCAGGTCAAAACCATCACCAGTTTGTCCTGAGGCGCCGCCTTTACACCTTCAGGGCAATAATTACTTAGTGGATCATGCATTTACACTTGTAAATGTAAAAGTCTGGTGACTAACCAGGTGAGTGAGTGGGAGTAGATGGTGCCTCAAACACTGTCAAAGAATTTGACTTTCAAAGGCGTCTAGCCTTCCGCCCAAACCCACCAAGTCGCATTCGATCGGTATCTCCATCTTCTAAATCTTTTCCGCAAAAGCAGCTCTTTCCTGATGGCGAAAAATCTGACGAGGGCCCAGGGTCCGGTCTTCTCACTGGATCCACCGAAAGCAGCAGCAAGGACGAAGCCAGAACGATCCGTGTCGCATAAACTGCTAGATCTGGAGAGTGGGAGTGCGGGTGGAAATCCTGCCTTCCAGTGTAGCAGGCAATCTCCATGGCAACGGGTTGCAGGCGTGGGAGCCCGGATGTTGTGGGGATCCGCGGTCGCCCCGCCCAGCTTCCGGCAGCCTCAGGGCGGCGGGCCGCACGGGTCTTCGGGAGTCGTAGTTCTTTCTCCCCGCCGAGGGCCGGCGGGAGGCCTAGGAGGAACTACAAGTCTCGGCATGCCCCGCGGCGCCGCGCCAGCCGCCGCTTCCCGGTTGCGGACGCCCGCGAGCAGGTTGTTGTTTTTATGAGGCGTCACTGGCGTCTGGAGCCCGGACTCCGCCACGGTGACAGTCGGTGCGGTCAGGCGGAGGAGGCGCTTCCTTCAGGTAGGCCCCCAGGGCGCAGGTCGGGAGGATGGGACGGCCGCGGATTGCAGCTCGTGCCTTCGGGCGCGGCGCCGGGAGGCTGTCTTTTGGCTGTCGTCTGGGTCCTCGCGCTTGGGCAACCTCGGGTGGAGGGCGCGACCTGGCGGGCGTGAGGCGCGGGCTCGCGGGATGCGACCCCCGCGAGCTCCGAGCTGGTCGCCCTGGGATTCGGGTGCGGCAGCATCCATATGCTGAGATGCCGCGTGCGTCACCCTGTGGCCGCTCTGAGGTCCCGGGTGTCAGAAATAGAAAAGTGCCAGCTTGCAGCCCAGAGATGCGCTTCTACTCTTTCCCGAAGCCGTCCTGCTCCTCTGCCCCCCCCTCCGCTTTCATCTTCTTCCCCTTGGGGCCTCCCCAGAGTTGGTCAGGCTCTCGGGGGCTTGTCCTCATTAACAGCTGTGCATATGCAGGACGCGTTTACCTTTCATTTGTCCCAACTTTGCCAGGGGCAGCGCTGGAGTTGTAGATCCCTAGCTGGTTAGGGCATTTTATTGAGGGGTGAAATGTGCACCGCCCTCCCCCACGTTTGCTTTCTTAACCCAATGGAGTTGCTTGTACCCAGAATGGGCAACCAATTAATTACTGTCAATTAGTGCTTTGCGTTTTCCAGCAAGGTCACGTAATTCTTGAAATGTCAGCATTAACTCTTCAGTCTTAAAGTCACAATCTCTCCACCTCCCCCATTGTTTTTTTGAGATAGGGTTTCTTTGTAGACTTGACTGACTTAGAACTCGTTCTGTAGGCCAGGGTGGCCTTGAATTCGGAGATAGGTTGCCTCTGACACCTGAGTTCAGGACTAAAGGTGTGTGCCACCACCACCCAGCTTTAAGATCCCAGTTTTCATAGACCTCAGATTTCTCATGGGAGTGTTTATTATGTATAGCTGGTTTGAATAGTTTACTACTCCAACAAGCTCAAGTCAGGGGAGGTTTGAGGTGAGTTAATGCTTGGAAGTGTTTTTGTTTTTTTGTGTTTTTTTTTTCCTTGCCATTTAGCTCTGGCTGTCCTGATATTACTTATAGCTCATGTATAAGAGAACCTGGGAGTTCTCTTGCCTAAGATAGCTGGTTTGAATAGTTTACTACTCCAACAAGCTCAAGTCAGGGGAGGTTTGAGGTGAGTTAATGCTTGGAAGTGTTTTTGTTTTTTTGTGTTTTTTTTTTCCTTGCCATTTAGCTCTGGCTGTCCTGATATTACTTATAGCTCATGTATAAGAGAACCTGGGAGTTCTCTTGCCTAAGCTTGCTAAGCACTGTGATCATAGTTGAGTCCCACCAAGCCCTGCTGTAAAGCCTGTTTTAACCCCATTACACTAAAGTTGGACTTCGAGTCAAGGGTGGCACCCCAGACATTTGAAATATGAAGCAGGAGGATGTCATGTTTGGTTACAACCTGGGCAATATAGTGAGACCATATCCCAAATAAAAAGGTCTGGGAATGTGGATTTATTTATTTTACTGTACAGTGCTTGTTTAATGTATGTGAGACCCTGGGTTCAATCATCAGGATGAGCAAAAGTAAACCCTAGAATCTGTTTTGTGCTCTAAACCGAAGAACAAGCAATTCTATTTATATTGGAAATAGAGTCCAAGTGATATTTAGTTTGAAAGTTAATATCTAGCATGTGAAACTAAGCTATGTTTTTTCTGTATTTTCTGTAGCAGGGGAAATGCTACCATTTTTTTCCTATGGCATTTTTTTTTAAGATTTATTTTTGTGCCAGGCATTGGTGGTGCTTGCCTTTATGCCTAGAACTCGGAGGCAGAGGCAGGCAAATCTCTTGAGTTTGGAGGCAAGCCTGGTCTACAGAGTTAGTTCCAGCTAACACAGAGAAACTCTGTCCCCAAAACAAAATAAAACAAAAGATATTTTTGTGTATTTTGCCTGCAAGTTTGTAAGGGTAGCTTGTGCGTGCAATGCTAGGCCATCTGGTGTGAGTGTTGGGAACTGAACTTGTAACATTTGCTCTTAAGCATCTCTTCAGCCCTGGAATCTTTAAAGACTGTTTCATATAGCCCCGGCCAGCTAAAATTAGCCATGTAGCCTGGGGGTGTGGGAAGTCAAGACAAGTCTCTCTGTGTACTCCTTGGGTCCTGGAACTCACTCTGTAGACCACGCTGTCCTTGAACTCACAGAGATCTACCCCCCTCTGCCTTCAAGTGCTGGTATTAAGGTGTGTGTCACCATACCCATCTGTTTTGGGTTTTAGACAATGTTTTACTCTGTCCAAGGACTGGGGCTTGATGCAGTTTTCCTGCCTGAAACTCCTGAGTGCAGCTGTAAGCCAGCTTGAGCTCTTCATAAAATAAATTATCTGTGAAGCCTTTGTTGCTTTTTAGTCTGTCTTGGGAGCATTCCTCCACATTTCAGTTTCTTTTCAGTATCTTGTCTTTAGTTGTGTGTTTTGTGTCTTGTGGGTGTTGGGAATCAACCCCAGGTCCTCTGTAAGAAGAGTCAGTGCTTTTAACCACAGAACTCTCTCCAGCCTGTCTTGTGTTGGTTTAACTGTGAATAGGCTTTGGGTCTGTTCATAGGGTATAAGAAACATTTGTACTAGATTAATGTGACTGAGCTACCAAATTCCGCATCTTTATTGTCTAAGTGAAATTGTATTTTAAATATTTAATTTTATTTTAAATTATTTGAATATGAACTGTAAAATCCCACAAGTTGTTTGGAAAAATATCAAGAAGTTAGCCTTCCTGGCCGCCAATGCCCCTTCTCTAAAGGTCTTTACTCCTAGTAACAATCAAGTTTGACTGGATTAAGGCAGGTAAATAGGCTGGTTTCAGTAATTACCATTTGTCTTATGCAGTTAAACAGGACCAAACCACCTTCTAGTTTGAGTTCAGAGATGGAGGTTAGTCCTTAAGAATTGCATACAACTAATATATTTTGGAATTTTTTTTGTTTCATTTGAGTTTTTAGGAAGGGTATTAACTGTGTGAAAGCTGTTGAGTCCGTAGGAGTTGAGTCAGTAGGATTTTCTGTGGAATTCTGTAACATGAGTTGCAGGTTTTCCTCTTTGATTATATGATAATACAATCTGGTTTTCCTTCTTACTTGAATTCATTTTGCCACTGAGCATCAGAGAGCCTTGCAGAGGAAAACAGTGTTGAACAAGTAACTGAGCTCCCAAGTCTTTCCATTGATAAGTTGGAAGCAACAGCTGTGTGCATGCAAGGGGGATTTGTGAAGATGGTGTTGGATATGACAATGAAATCTAGATGATTGACAAATTTATCTCTTTATAACATTATTGACCTTTGAAAGTGACATGTGAGGGCTGGAGAGAGATGGCTCAGTGGTTAAGAGCACTGACTGCTCTTCCAGAGGGCCCAGGTTCAACTCCAAGCTTCCACATATCAGCTCACAGTTGTCTGTAGTTCCAGTTCCAGGGGATCTGACACCTTCACACCAATGCACATAGAATAAAGTTAATAAATGAAAAAAAAAGTGACATGTGAAACTTAGCCTACATTAGTAGTTGGATGACAATGCCATGCATATGTTTCCGTGCAGGGCTTCATTTGTCCTCTTGGTAGAGCTGGGTAGGCAGCATGTCATAGTGTGATGGCATGCTTCCCTTCCTCACTGTGACTTTGCTCTTCTGTACTAAAAGACCTGGGGTTGTAAAACAGTTCCTCTGTGGCTGGGGCCTTCATGTTTGTCTTGTTCCCACATTTAGAAGTGTTAGAGGTCCTTAGTTTGGTTTCATAGGAAGTGGCTTCTTTGTAATGTTGCCCACCCTGGTGAGCAGCAAGACTACACTGAGTCCGAAATCCTCCAGATGTGAGAACCCTGGGTGGGATGGGGATGCCTCCTCCTGGGAAAGTCAGCTATTGCCATTGGCATCAGATTCTGAGGTTGACCTCAGTAGGCTGACATAGAGCATTAATGTAAAGCAGTGTTTAGGAATTTCTAAGTTCTCCGGGAGGTGGTAGCTCACGCCTTCAATCCCAGCACTCGGGAGGCAGAGGCAGGTGGATTTCTGTGAGTTCAAAGCCAGCCTGGTCTACAAGAGCTAGTTCCAGGACAGCCTCCAAAGCAACAGAGAAACCCTGTCTCAAAAAACAAAACAAAACAAAAACCCAAAAACAAAAAACCTAAAAACAGAAGTTTCTAAGTTCATTTGAAAGGCTGTATCAGAGAGATACAGGTATGTGAATGTAAATAGTTGTGTAAATGTATTGTGGATGTCATAGGACAGATCAGGTGTATCCTCATCTTGCACTAGTGCTACCAGATGACAGTGGATGCTTTTCTCCCCTGTAATAAGATAGGGACACCAACAAATGACAACAAGAATGCATATATAAAATCCTTGTATATTAGCTTTTCTTTCCAAACAGAGAAACTAAGAAAATTAATTTTTTTTTAAATTTTGATTACTTAGAACTAAAAAAAGTGTGTGTGTGTGTGTGTGTGTGTGTGTGTGAGAGAGAGAGAGAGAGAGAGAGAGAGAACACTATTGAGATAGGAAACAAAGTCAGAACCAGATTTGTAAAACGATGAAGCGATGAAGCCATCTCTGGACTCAGTGCTGTGTAGCCTGTCCATCTTAGGTATTTGTTAACTTAAAAGGGGAGGGGAGTATTTTTTTATTTTTATTTTTACTGTGTGTGTTCCTGTGTCTGGGTATGTGTAGGGTGAATTTAGGTACCCATGGTGTTAGATCTCCCAAAAACTAGAGCACCAGCATTTTTTTTTTTGGTGAGTGCTGAGTACTGAATTTGGGACCTGAAAGAAAAGTACTGAGCAGTCTCTCCAGCCTCATTTATTAGTGCTTTTGGGTTTTTTCAAAATTGAGCTGTAACAAAGCTGAACAGTCAGGCTGATTTTTAACCCTGTAAATAGCTAATGAAAGGAGGACCTCTCTCCTATGGGTATCTTAATTTCCTCTCAGTGTTTGAATCGTTCTCAAGTTTTAAAAGAAACTTGTGGCTTTAGTGAGGCAAAAGGACTGTTTACTTCAGGTACCTGAGAGTAGGTTTGGCTTCCTGATTTGCTGGGTTGCATCATAAAAGGGAACTTACAAAGTAATGGCGTGTTGCCTCACTTCTCTTGCAGAATCGATGTTCTAGATGCATTTAGTGTATGTAGCAGTAGTATATGGATGGAGTGAATTTATTCCTCTGTATATTTTAAAAATATTTTAATTGATTTTGTTTTTAGAGATAGAGCTTTGTGTAGCTCAGGTTAGCTTCCAGCTGCTCTACATAGACGAGACTGCCCTTAAACTTTTTAAAAAAGGGTTCTTTAACACACACACACACACACACACACACACACACACACACACACACACACAGGCTGTATTTTATATGCATTGGTGTTTTGCCTGCATGTGTGTCTGTGTGAGGGTGTCAGATCCCTTGGAACTGGAGTTACAGTAGTGAGCTTCCATATGGATGCTGAGAATTAAACTGAGATCCTCTGGAAGAACAGCCAGTGCTCTTAACCACGGAGCCATCTCTCCAGCCCCAAAGACGGTTTCTACTCTGTAGCCAGGCTGACCTGGAGCTCATGGGTGATCGTACTGCCCCCATGCTTTCCTGAGTGCTGGTCTTATAGTGTGCCCTCCATGCTTGCCTTGCATTATTTTTAGTGACAGTGTTTTCCTACTTATTTCAGCAAGGACAGAGTGAGTCTGCTTATTGCAGAGAAGTGTCTTTGTACTCACTGACAGGAGTGATATAACCAGAGACTACAGAGGACCTTATATCCTGTACTGTGTTTACTCAATTCACTAGAACTCCAGTAGTTGACATTTTAAGGTAGCATGTTAATTTCCTTGACATGTTGATTTCTTTAACTTTTCAAGGAGAAACTGCTCTTCTAGGAGATGATGGATTTGTGCCTATCTTTCACTGTGCTTAAAACTGGTTTTATTGTTTTTAGACAGATTGTCACCATGTAACTCCTGCCTAGAACTTGCCACATAAACCAGCCTGGCCTCAACAATTCAGTGGTTCACCTGCTTGCTGGGATTAAGGGCACACACTACTACCCCACACCTTTAATTGTGTTGTATATGTGTCGTATTTACTTGCTGTGAAGAGACACTATAACCACCACAACTTAAAACCAGAAGAGATAATTGGTGCCCACAGTGCCAGAGGATTAGAGTCCATGAGCATCATCGTGGGGAGCGTGGCATCAAGCAAGCAGGCACCGTGCTGGAGAAGTAGCTGCGAGTTTACATCTAGGCAGAAAGAACAAGCACTAACTGGGAATGGTTCCACCAACTGGGGACCAATATTAAAATATAGTACTTCCAAACCACCACTGTAGTCTGTGGCTATGTGCTTGGGAGTGCAGACATCCTTGGAGGCTAGAGGAGGTGAATTCCTGTGAAGCTGGAGTTGCAGTGTGGTCTCTTAACCAATGAGCCATCTTTCCTTACCAGCCCCTTTTGTTACAGCCTAGGCTAGCCTTAGCCAACATGTAGCCTTAATTGTCTTGGAACTCATTTTCTCTCCCCTCCCTCCCTCCCTCCCTCCCTCCCTCCCTCCCTCCCTCCCTCCCTCCCTCCCTTTCTCCCTTCCACCCTCCCTCCCTACTACTGGGCTGTACCTCAGTTCTATTAACTGCTTGCCTAGCATGTATAAAGAAGGCCTTAGTTAACTCCCAGACTATGAGTGTGATGATGAAAACACCCTCCATTTTCTTTATTGTCCCTTCTTTCCTGTTTTTGGGTTTTTGAGTTAGGGTCTCAGGCCACAACTCAAGCTGGTCTCATAATCTCTTCTCCATACTGGTTGAGCAGCAGAGCTGGGTAACAGGCCCAGCCAGTACCATGTTTGGCTGTTTTTTTTTTGTTGTTGTTTTTTGTTTGTTTGTTTGGTTTGATTTTCTGAGACAGGATTTCTCTGTGTAGCCCTGGCTGTCCTGAAACTCACTCTGTAGGCTGGACTGGCCTTGGACTCACAGAGATTTGTCTACCTCTGCCTAATAAGTGCTGGAACTAAGGGTGTGTGCCAAGCATTGAATGTTTCAAAGTAAGGAAGACTAGGTTCTGCTGTGCTATTAGGCTGGCCTTGAGTCTAGGCTCAAACACTGGATGGGAATATAACATACATGCCATTATATCCTTTTTTTTTCTCAGTAATATAATTAAGCCAATTCAGTTTTACTCAATCTGCTTTCAAACCCATGCAGTAATTGTATCAAATAAATTAAGAAAATGAAATGCAGCTGGGCATTGGTGGCACACGCCTTTAATCCCAGCACTTGGGAGGCAGAGGCAGACAGATCTTTGTGAGTTCGAGGCCAGCCTGGTCTACAGAGCAAGTTCCAGGACAGCCTCCAAAACAATACAGAGAAACTGTCTCGAAAAACAAACAAACAAAAAAAGTGAAATGTCCAGCTGGGACTGGTGACATGTCATGTTATCCCAGTACTTGGGAAATGAAGAAAGGGAGAATTTGAGGTTGAGGTCTGCCTGGGTTATAGAGCAAGGCTCTGTCTCCAAGATAAAACAGACACAAAAGATGGAGAGAACTCAGTCAGGAAAATATTTGTCAGGCAAGCATGAGGACTTAAGTTCAATGTCTAGAACTCATTTCACTAGAAAGTGGCATAGTAGCACATGTTTATTGAAGGGACCATACCCTCACCCAGCCCCCTGCTTTGGCAGCCATGACAGGCTGCAGAAAATACTCAGCAAGATGTGGGCGTCTGACTCAGTAATGTGCTGAGCTTCTTGACCTTGCCTGATCTACTAGTCACTTGGAGGGCCAGAAACCCTCCTTGTGGCAAGGAACCAGTCAGAAGTTAGCTGGTGGACTCTGGATGTGTCATGCAAGCCTGGAAGTGCACCAGTCCTGAGACTGTTGGGTACCCCTAGACACTCCCCTTGTTCTACCCAATAAATTCCCTGCCTGGCGACTCCTTCAGGTTCTTCCCATCCCATCCATGTTGGACAGAGGGAGGGACCAAGTTAATATAGTTAACTCATTAAACAATAAAAGACTCTTTGCTTTTGCATTGGAATGGCTCTCTTGGTGATTTTGGGGTTGAGAGTTTGGGCACAATATTACCACTCTAGACAACTTGGCACAATTGAGGTCAGTTTTTTTTTTTTTTTTTTTTTTTTACCATTTGAGATAGAATCTCACTATGTAGCCCTGGCTATCCTGAAACTCACTCTTGTAGATCAGGCTGTGATTAAAGGTGTTCATGACTATCCCTTCCTAAGAGAGACTCTGTCCTAAAAAAACAGGGAATGATGTTCATTACTTTCCTGGCATCTGTATGTGTGTGTAGGAACACATCCAGACATGTGTACCCATGAATATCATAAGCACAAAGAATACCTATAATTAACACAGCTATCGAGGATCACAAATTCTAGGCTACCTTAGTTTATATAGTAAGTTCTAGGCCATTAATGTCTGTATAGTGAGACTTCTCTCAAACCACCTCCCACCAAAAAATTTGTTTTGAGTACCCAAACTAAATTGGATTGAACCATGCGCCAGGTGCATTTGAAGCAGTTGTTCTACCACTAAATCACATTATACTCTCTAAACCCTATTTATGTTAGCCTGTAAAGCAATATATGAAATTAAAAAATAATTTATTTAAATTTATTTATGTGCATTGGTGTGAAGGTGTCAGATTCCCTGGAACTGGAGTTACAGACAGTTATGAACTGCCATGTGGGTGCTGGGAATTGAACTAGGGTCCTCTAGAAGATCAGTCAGTGCTTTTGACTGCTGAGCTAACTCTCCAGCCCAGCAATATATGGAAATTTTAAAGAGGAGGAGCTAGGGGGCTGGAGAGATGGCTCAGTGGTTAAGAACACTGGCTGCTCTTGCAGAGGACCAAGTTTTAATTCCTGGCACCCACATGGCAGCTCACAATCACCTGTACCTTCATTTCCAGGGGGTCTGATGCCCTCTTCTGACCTCCATGCACCAGCCACACATGTAGCAAACAGATTTACATGCAGGCAGAACAATCATATACACACCAAAAATAAATAAATAACTTTTTTTGTTTTTGTTTTTTTCGAGACAGGGTTTCTCTATTGTTTTGGAGGCTGTCCTGGAACTCCACCTGCCTCTGCCTCTCGAGTGCTGGGATTAAAGGCGTACCCAATGCATGGCAAATAACATTTTTTTAAAAAGAGGAGGCACTTGGATTGCTCAGTGGTTGAGAACTCTTGTTGCTAATGGAGAGGACCCAGGTTTGATTCCCAGTGCCCACATGGTGGTTTATAACCATTTGTAACTCAGTTCTAGGAGATCCAACCTCCATGGACACCAAGCCTGCATGTGAGACATATACATATGTGCAGGCAAGACACACACACACACACACACACACACACACACACACACACACACACACACACACACACTCTTAAAGAGAATTTTCAGAAGGAAAAAGAAACCTCACAAAACTACTCAGGCTGATCTTGAACTTAAACTTATAGCTCAGTCTGGCCTTAAACGTCCTGCTCCTCCCACAGCTTCCTGGATAGCTGGAGCTAAAAACCTGTGCTTCGAGTCAGAGTCTGGGCAGTGAAGCAGGTGGGATCTTCGTGGACGGCCCAGCAGCACTTGGCTTTTACCTACCTCAGCCTGTGGGCTGCTTGGAATCACAGAACTGTGAGATAACAGTGCCCGCATTCTTTTCCCTCATGTCTAATTCTACAAGATAAGGAAATGGAAACCCTGCCTTCTATATAGTAAAATGTAGCTTCTTAGGAACGATGTGCTGGGATACCATCATACCAGGTAACTGTTGTAGTTAATGAGGAAAGTTTAGCCTTGTGTTACTCTTTTTATTTCTTTTTCCAGACTGGGTCTCAGTGTGTTGCTCTTGTTCTCCTGGAAATCACTCTGTAGACCAGGCTGACCTGGAAGTCAGAGATCTGCCTGTCTCTGCCTTTTTGAGTGCTGGGGTTAAAGGTGTGGGTCACTATCACCTGGCTAGCACAAGACAGTTCTTAATGAAGGATAATGCTTAGAAGGAATGTCTCCTACCCTTGAAGCTCTCAGAAAACCAGCAGAATTTATGGAGGCTGATGGTTAAGGAAGCCTGTCTGCCTCCCACCCTTCTGTCTTCCCTCTTTCTTCCCCTCCCTCCCCCTTTTGGAGTACCTTACTGTCTATCCTAGGCTGACTTACAGTTGGTAGGCTTCCCACCTCAGCTTTCCTAGTGCTGCCTCCTGGGATTTAAGAGTGCCACGCCTGGCTGTCCAGGAGTCTTGGGAAGGTCATTGCAAACTAGCTATTCCTGGAGCAGAACAGAGGGCGGGGCAACTTCTGACTCGGAAAGGAGTGTCTTGTATACCACGTTGGCCTGGAGCGTACTGTGTAGCCAAGAGTGACCTTGAACATCTGGTGTTCTGTCTCCACCTCAAGTGCTAGGCTTACAGGTGGAGGCCAGCTTGCTTAGTTCACACGGTGCTGGAAATCAACTCCAGCTAGATATGCTTCTAGCTGAGCTGTATCCTAGCCCCTAGATGCAGCTTTGTTGGAACCACAGTCTTCAGGTTGGATCTGACACTTTCCCTGTAGTGCCAGAAGCTAGTTAGTGGATTGGATTCTCAAAGTATGGCATGGTGGTGCAAGCCAGTAATTCTAGCATTCTGGAGACAGAAGTAGGGGAATTGAGAGTTTAAGACTAGCCTGTGCTAATTAGAGTAGGGTGAAAGTATGAAAGCTTGTTCCTAACTAGCTCTTAAAACTTACAGTAACCTGTTTATATTAACCTACAGTCTACCATGTGGCTTGTTACCTCTCTATATTATCTGTGTCTCCCTGGTGAATACCCCGTCTCTTCTTCCCAGAGTTCCTATCTCTTATTGGAAGTCCTGCCTATTCTCTCCTAATTAGCCATTAAACCAATCGGAAGGTGCCTTGGCTGAAATACATCTTCACAGTGTACAAAAAGATTATCCCATAACAGATTCCAGGCATTCTTTGCCCTTCAGATCTGACTTCTGTTGATTGCAGCAGCGCAGCTTTGCAAGGTGGCCTTGACTCAGGAGGGGGTTCCCAGGAGCAGTTTTGTTTATTCTTACAAGTGTGGAAAACTTGTGGGGGTTGTCTAGTTTCACTTGGAGGTTTTATGCTGTGTCATGTAGAGCTTTTTTTTTTTTTTTTTTTTTTTTTTTTTGGTTTTCTGAGACAGGGTTTCTCTGTATTGTTTTGGAGGCTGTCCTGGAACTCAGCCTGTAGACGAGGCTGGCCTCAAACTCAAGAGATCTGCCTGCCTCTGCTTCCTCAGTGCTGGGATTAAAGGCATGTGCCACCAACACCAGGCGTCATGCAGAGCTTTTACAGACATTAAAAAAATGTCCCAGGCTGGAGAGATGGCTCAGAGGTTTAGAGCACTGGCTGCTCTTCCAGAGGTCCTGAGTTCAATTCCAGAAACCACAATCATCTATAATGAGATCTGGTGCCCTCTTCTGGCGTGCAGGCAGACCACTGTACACGTAATAAATAAATAATAAATAAATCTTAAATAAAAATAAAAAATTCGTCACATGTTTTACTAAAGTTCTTGTATTTATAGACTTGAAAAATGTCTGAAAATTCCAGCGACAGTGATTCATCATGTGGTTGGACTGTCATCAATCATGAGGTATGTTCTCTGATACATTGTTAGCAGTGACAGAACTACTTTATGGAGGTCAGTGTTTTTTACATGTAAGCCATGGGTTCCTCTGTGTATAGTTTGGGTGTTTTCCCAAGCATATTAAACTTGGCTGCTAAAATACCATTCATTGAGCTACTTACAGCCCTAGTATTTCTCAACAATAACAAAACCTTTGAGATGGGGCTTTAAGAAGTTGTCCTAGGTGACTTTGGAATCTGTACGGGGCTCAGGCTGATCATCATGAACTTGGGATCTGTCTGTCAGCCTCAAGAGCCTGGGATGAAAGGCCTGTGCCAGCACACCGAGGGTTTGAGGTATTTTTTGTTTGGTTGTTTTTTGTTTTGGTGGTTTTGAGAAATTAGTCTCACTGTGTAGCTTTGGATGGCCAGGATTCTAGATGTGTGCTAGTATGGCTGGCTTTTGTTTCATCTTTAAAAAAGTCTCGCTCTGTCATGTAGGCTGGCCTGAAACTCAAGGCGGCCTTTCTGCGTCCCAGGTGGATTAAAGGCATGAACCATATCCAGTCTCTCTCTAAATGTGAATTTCAGGATTTACTAAGAAAAAGTATATATGTATATATTTAGATTTACATGTGTGGAGGACAACAGTTGTTCATAATCAAGAGGGACAGCTTCCCTAGAGAGTAGCATCTAGGATTTTGGATACCCTGCTGAACACTGCAGTCCAGCATTTTCTGCATTATTCCAAGCGATGTTCCTTTACTTTTTGTTTGTTTGTTTGTTTGTTTTTCAATACAAACGTTTCTCTGAGTAGTCCTAGCTGTTCTGGAACTCACTTTGTAGACCAGGCTGGCCTCGAACATCACACTCCTGGTACCAGTTTCTTAGGATTTCTTTTGCTGTAAAGAGACACTGACCACGGCAACTCTTATAAAGGAAAACATTTAATTGGGCTGACTTACAGTTTTAGAGGTTTAGTCTATTATTGTCATGGTGGGAAGCATGGCAGTGTGCAGGCAGACATGGTGCTGGAGATGGAGCTGAGAGTCCTACATCTTGATCGGCTGGCAGCAGAAGGAATCTGTGTGCTGGTCATAGCTTGAGCATTTGAGTCCTCAAAGCCCTTCCCCACAGTGACACTTCCTTCAACAAGGCCACACCTACTCCAACATCTCCTAATTGTGCTACTCCCTATGTTCCAAGCTTTCATGGGGGCTAAGACCTATGCAAACCACCATATTCTACTCCCTGACCCCATAGGCTTGTAACCATAATGCAAAATGCATTCAGTCCATGTTTAAAAGTCCAAAGAAGGGGGGCTGGAGAGATGGCTCAGCGATTGGGAGCATGACTTCTCTTCCAGAGGTCCCAGGTTCAATTCTCAGCACCCACATGGCAACTCACAGCTGTCTGTGACTCCAGTTCCAAGGGACCTGACTCCCATGGCAAACATGAATGCATATTAAAAAAAAATCCAAAGAGATGCCCCTGCCTTCCATATGCTGGGATTAAAGGCATGTGTTACCACTGAGGACTTCCCTTAACTTTGAGGTGTTGGCTTTATTATTTGTCAGGCTCTGTTCTTTACAACTACATTCTTATATAAATTCTAAGACCTTTGCAGTACATTCTTTTTATTCTCTTTTTTGGGGGGGAAGGAGGGCAGATTATTGTGTAATTTAGGATAGCCTCTAAATTACCACACAGCCCAGGCTTGACCTCCAACTTCTGATCCTCCTGCCTTGATTTCTAAGCACTGGAATTAGAGTACCCAGTTGTCAGTGTCCTCTTTTTTTTTTTTAATGTGTGGTATTTTGCCTGCATGTATGTATGTCTTTGTACCATGTATGTACAGTGCCCTTGGAGGCCAGGAGATGATGTCAGTTTCTCTGGGACTGGAAATACAGAAATTCGAGCCACCATGTAGAAGCTGGGAACTGAACCTGGGTCTCTGGAAGAGCGGCCAGTGTGCTAAACTGCTGAGCTATCTCTCCAGCCCCATCAGCCTTTATTTTGTGTTACTGTTTTTGAAGACAGGTTCTAGTTGTGGCTGATGTGAAGCTAACAGCGTAGTCAAGGCTGCATTGACTGTGGTCACAAAGCCAGTTTTGTAATGAGAAATGATGCGCATACAGTGAATTGTGTAACTAGAATGTTACAAGCATTGATTTGTTTATACTGGTGATTGTTTTCAGTATAGAAGTCATAAGAACAGAAACCATAGATAGCATCAGTCCAGTCTCACTTTTTCAGACTTGAGTAGTCTCATCAAGTTTGAGTGTAAAGTATCTGTACAATGGGTCTGGAGAGATGGCTCAGGAGTTAACAGTACTTGTGGTTCTGTTTGTTTTTAGGATTTTATGCCCTCTCTTCTATAAATCCTTCTAAGTCCTTCTCTTGCTTGCTAAGGTCTCTTGGACATATTTTATCTTTCTTTTCATTACTCTGATTTAGTCCAAACCTCCATCCCATGCAGTCTGCACACTGGATCTAACCTACCTGAGCCTCCATTTTGCTGCCAGTGCAGATATCCTTTAAAATTTTTTTATTCATATATATTTGTGCAGACCATGTGCATACAGTGCCTGAGAATGCTAGAACAGGGTGTTGGTTCTCCTGGGGCTGGAGTTGCAATTGTGAGCCACTCTGTGGGTTCTGGGTAGCAAACCTGGGTCATCTGGAAGAACAGCAGGTACTCTTAATTCCCGAGACATCTCTCCAGACCCATAGTACAGATACTTGGCTTTTAGTCTCTGAGCCATCTCTCTAGAACCATGGGAAGATTTTCTGTCCAAGTAGCTTTATTCAAAAGACAAATCCAACAGACAACTTTTAATTTGTTACCAAATGTAAAAATTAACCTTCTGTTATGTTCTTTCTGTTTGTATTTACCTGACATGGTCTTGAAGCTTATGACTCCATTCTGCAGTTTCCCTCCGGCAGGCCTGTATGAACTGAGTTGAACAAAACCAATCAGGATAGGTGATGTTTATAGTGTGGTAGCATTAGAGACTTTCTTTATATCATCAAATCAATCCAACACCTAAATTAATAGTTACCACTCTCCCCTAGGGTTCTGATGTAGAGATCATGAATTCTGCCACAGCCAGTGACAGCTGTGAACTGACTCTAGAATGTTCCTCATTAGAGCAAGAGGAACTGCAAGTTCTTCATGTGGGGCCTGGAGGTAGTGGTAAGTTAAGTTCCCATTTCTTTTCCTGGGACTGAGGGTGTATCATCCTTGATTGCCATTGGAATGGTCTTATCCTAGAATGTTCATTGGGCTTGTGGGAAGCCTGAAACCTGTCAGCAGGTATCAGTATCAGAATAGTTAGAAGGCTGCTGATACCTGAGAGTCATTAATGAGTTACATTCTTGTGTGAAATTGTCCCCTCACACTTTTAGTAATTGAAATCTGTTGACAAGAGCAGAGTGATTAATGATATGTAGGCCACACAAGTAAAGTGTTTTCAAAGAAATAACGCTATTGATCTTGGTTTTATACCAGAAAGCAGTGCAAACAGCATGTCATTGGTGGAAGAGACTAGGTTGTCATCAGTGGAAGAAACCAAGTCGGCAGTTGAGGTAAACTTTTATTTTGTTCTGTGGATGTTTGATAAGTACTGTTCTCCTGTTTATGGCTAAGTATTCTGTTGCTACCTAAATTACAAGAAAATTTAGTGGAAAAAAATCAGTCAGTTTTAAGGTTAAAGTTAACTTCTGCTGGGTTTCAGAATAGGACAATAAATAAGCAAGTATGTTCCCTAGGTTACTCTCACAGACCCAATTGTGACTGTTCTGGTTCTTTTTTTTTTTTTTTTTTTTTTTTTTTTTTTTGGTTTTTCAAGACAGGGTTTCTTTGTGTAGCTTTGGAGCCTGTCCTAGAACTTGCTCTGTAGACCAGCCTGTCCTTGAGCTCACAGAGATCTGCCTGCCTCTGCCTCCTGAGTGCTGGGATTAAGGGTGGGCACTACCACCACCCAACTAAAGAACTATTCTTTTAATCTATATTGTGATTGTTTTTGGAAATTGATTTCATTCTTGAATTACATATTCAGATTTTACTGAGTGAATATCTTAAAATGAAAGTTAACTTTTAACATTTCATAACAAGTTAAATATTGTCTTAAAAATTGGAGTTGTCTTTGTTTGTTTGTTTGTTTTTATTTTTCGAGACAGGGTTTCTCTGTAGCTTTGGAGGCTGTCCTGGAACTAGCTCTTGTAGACCAGGCTGGTCTCGAACTCACAGAGATCTGCCTGCCTCTGCCTCTCGAGTGCTGGGATTAAAGTCGAGCACCACTACCGCCTGGCTGGAGTTGTCTTTTGAATAAAGCCACTTGGCTAGATAATCTTTCTCTAGTATTTTAGTTCTTTGGTGCTGAGATTGGGTGACATAAAAAAAAAAATTCCTTTCTGGAAGGGCCTGAAGAGAGATGGCTTAGTGGTTAAGAGTGTCTGTTATTTAATCATGAGGACTTGGGTTCAGATTTCACCACACATGGAATAAATAAACTGGGTGTCCCACAAACACATCTGATGCCCTCTTGTGGTCTGTGTGCACACATAGACATGTGCATACACTTAAGCAGATACACACCCTCTCCACATGTAAATAAATAAATCTTTAGCGTTGAGATCCTTCAGCAGTCGGAAGGAACTTGCTGTCAAGTCTTACCTGAGTTCAGTTCCCAGGACTCACATGGTGGGCGAGAATTAACTCTGGCAAGATGTTCTCTGACTGCCACATGCCTGGCCCCCAAGGAAAAGTTATTAAAAACAATTTGATTTTGGAGGCTGGAAAGTCCAAGATGAAGGTGCTAATAACTGGCTTTGTGTGTGATGATTGCTTCTTGCTTTAGGATGGTACCTTTTGCCACATTCTCTATAGGGAACAAATGCCATGTTTTTGGATGACTGGAAGGGAATGGCCAGATGACAGACACCGTGCTTTGTGCTCTTCAAACAGCATTTTCCTCATCTCCTCAGAGCTGCTCAGATTTTAATTGTTTTTGTTTTGTTTTGGAGGCAGGGTCTTTCTATGTAGCCTGGCTGGCCTGGAACTCAGTTATGTAGAACAGGGTGGCCTCCAACTCACAGAGCTCCACTTACTTGCCTGGGTTTAAAGGTGTGCACCAGCCTAAGTTGTAATGAATTAGAGGGCGTATTCAGACTCTAGTGCATGGCATAGCTGTTGAACTGGACAAGTTTAAACAGTCTGTCACTTGCTCCATGGTTGTAGCATAGAGCCTATGAAGAACTTGTGAAGTGAGGGAATTGTTGGGGTCCTGTGGTTATGGAAGGAGCTGAAAAGTCTCTTCAACTTTTGACACTCAGTGGGTGGAGACAGGAGTCTCATCTAATTCTTAGCATTATGGATGGCTTTCAGGTCCCAAACTAAAATGGGTTTGCATAATATTTCACTGTTGGATAGAAATCATTTCTTTAAGGGCTAGGGGAGGTGTTCAGGGGTAGACTGAAGCATAGTGTGTGCAAGGCCCTGGGCTCCATCCCCAGCATTGAAAAGCAAAGGGAAGGGGAGAAGGATCAAAAACTAGGTGCCTTATATTTTGAACTCACAAGAAAATTTAAGATTCAAAATTGCTGATCTTACTGCCCATAAAATCTGGTTCCTTAGGTGGAGGAGGCAACTTCCCCTGAAGACAATGCATATTTCGGAACTACTAGTGATGATTCTGATATTGTTACACTTGAACCACCTAAGCTGGAAGAAATGGGGAACCAGGAAGTTATTATAAAAGAAGCGCCCAGCTCCGAAGACTTTAACATGGGTTCTTCCTCCAGTAGCCAGTACACCTTCTGCCAGCCAGAATCCGGTAGGAGCTGTTGCTGCAGCAAACTTCTGAGATATGATTTAATGACTTGTTTTCTAGCTCCAGCTCTCAAAATTATTTCTCTGAAATGCAAGAGAACTCTTGGTAAAGCTTTTTCTTTCTTTCTTTTTTTTCTTCGAGACAGGGTTTCTCTGTGTAGCTTTGGAGTGTATCCTGGCACTTACTCTGTGGCCCAGGTTGGCCTCAGACTCACAGAGATCCACCTGCCTCTGCCTCCCGAGTGCTGGGATTAAAGGCGTGTGCCTCCAATGCCCGGTAAAGTTTGTTACAGTGTCTGCCTGGCCTTAATGGCTCAGTGTTCTTTCTTTGATACGTTACTGTGGGAGGGGGTGGACAGGGGAATTGTACCCAGATGCTACACATTCTAGGTAAACTCAAGTCCTCAAAAGATGCATTTGGCTTTTGATATTTGATTGAATGAGGGAAGGAGGGAGGCAGAGAGAGAGAGAGAGAGAGAGAGATAGAATAGATAGAAAGAAAGGAAGAAAGAAAGAAAAAGAAAAAAGAAAGGTCTAGCTCTGTAACTCTGGCTGTTTTTATACTCACTGTATAGCTCAGGCTGGTCTCAGTTTTGGCAGCAATTGTTCTACAGGCATGTGCTACAATTCCCAGCTTCCACAATTCTTTTTTTTTGTTTTGTTTTTGTTTTTGTTTTTTGTTTTTGTTTTTTTTGTTTTTTTTTCAAGACAGGGTTTCTCTGCATAGCCCTGGTTGCCTTGGAACTCACTGTAAACCAGGATGGCCTCAAATTCAGATCTATTTGCCTCTGCCTCCCCATTTTTTTTTTATTGATTATGTAATAGTGTTCTGCCTACATGCCAGAAGAGGGCACCAGATCTCATTACAGATGGTTGTGAGTCACCTTGTGGGTGCTGGAAATTGAACTCAGGACCTCTAGAAGAACAGCTGGTGCTCTTAACCTCTGAGCCATCTCTCCAGCCCCTACTTCCACAATTCTTTTTTTTTTTTAATTATTTATGTGCACTGTGTTTTTGCCTGCATGTATGTTTGTATGAGGGTGTTGGATACCCTGGAACTAGAGTTATAGACGGTTGTGAGCTGTCATGTGGGTGCTGGGGATTGAACCGAGGTCCTCTGGAAGAGCAGACAGTGCTCTTAGCCACTGAGCTATCTTTCCAGCCCCATACTTCCACAATTCATAACCTTATTAACTTCAGTTTTCTGAATATGTAGTATCTTTCAGTGTGACACAAAATGTGTAGACATAAAGTTCCTGGAAAATGTTAAAAGAGAAGCCTGTAATTAACTCAGTTATTAATTTTTTTTGAGACAGGGTTTCTGTGTTTCTTTGGAGGTTGTCCTGGAACTAGCTCTTGTAGAACAGGCTGATCTCAAACTCACAGAGATCCACCTGCTTCTGCCTCCAGAGTGCTGGGATTAAAAGCATGTGCCACCAATGCCCAACATGCAGTTATTAAGTAATCTACAGTGATAATTTAGAATTGCTGTTTTAAACAGTTGCTATTTTGATGAAAAGCCAAGAATATAATCTAGTTCCGATACACTCCTTAATTTTTCCAGTCTTTTAGCACTGTGTACGTTTGGTAGTCAGAATCAAACAATGACATTTCTCATTCCAATTTAAGGTAATATCATGCCACATTGTGTTTCTTGCCTTTTTTGTTGGTTTGTTGTGGGATAGGATCTCACTCTCAAGTCCACCCTGTCTGTCCTGGACCTCACGGTGTACTCTTAGCTAGTCTTGAATTTGTGACAGTCTTCCAGCCTCAGTTGGGATTATGGTACAAAGTAACCACACCCTCTGTCTCCACATAACAATATCTGACACTGTGTGCTGTGAAAATTGTTAGGGAATGGTGATAAAGAGAAGCCTGAGCCAGTGGTGGTGGCACATGCCTTTAATCCCAGTATTTGGGAGGCAGAGGCAGGCGAATGTCTGTGAGTTCAAGGCCAGCCTGGTCCTGGTCGACAGAGTAAGTTCCAGGACAGCCAAGGCTACACATAGAAATTCTATCTGAAAAAACAAAACAAAAACCTGAGCCTAGCAGTGTTGGTGCAAGCTTTTAATCCCAGTACTTGAGAGCAGGGGTAGGTGGATCTTTGAGTTGGAGGATATAGAGTAAGTTTGGTGTATAGCGTAAGTTCCAGGACAGGCTCCAAAGCTGCAGAGAGAAACCTTGTCTCAAAAAAAGAAAAAAACAAAAAACAAAAAACAGAGAGAGTCTGTGTGTGTTCAGAGCATATAATTTTTTTCTGAATACTTTTAATCCATCCTTTGTTGAGCCCAAGACATACATGGCTATGACTATTTACAGGTTAGTCCAGTTGACCTTAGAATTCAGCCAATATCCAGGGGTAAGGGATCTGAGAGGCCTTCCTCCCACTCTCAGAGTTCTCGGGTTCCTCCAGCTCAGCAACGCAGCACTTGATTGGAGTATTTGTTGAATTTTAGAATTCTATCATGTTCACATACTTTCCCTGATTTCTTCCTTTCTTTATTTCTTAATTTCTTTCTTTCTTTTTCTCTTTCTTCCTTCCTTTCTTTCTTTCATTGTTTTCTGCCTCTGGCTTAAGATGCATGGACTCAAGTAGGGTATAGCCTAAGGGCTCCGGTGACAGAACACTCTACATTGTCGATGGGAACTTGCACCTTCTAAGCCCAGGTTTCTGATTTGATTTCCTCTCAAAAGATCTGAGAATGTTTCAGAATTAGTTAACAGAATTATTAAGGTTATTTTCTCCCTTTATGTTCATTTTTGTTGTTTGTTTATTTGAGACACGGTCTCACAGTGTATTTCTGACAGGCCTGGAATTTGCTATGGACCAGGTCAGCCTCAAACTCAGAGGTTGGCTTGTGTCTGTCACTTGAGTGCTGGGATCAAATGTGTGTGCCACCATGCCCAGTTTAAGCATTTTTAAAAACCCATTGTAATCCTTCCCCTCAAAATTGCTTCTATAAAGAAAATGTTTAGAAAAGATAAATCTTGGGCTACAGTGAAAATGCTGTACAGCCAGGAACCATTGGATGATTTAATCTCCTCAGTTACTTAGTTCTGTTCTCTCCCATTCTGTTTTTCCTTACAGCTTTTCAGCTTCATGTTTTTGTATGATTCTAATAGGTACACCGCCTTCCATTGTTTAAAAAAACTAGTGGCTCCCGTTGGCCAGCCTTCTTAGAAGGCAAAGGTGGTAGCTGTAGAGAAGTTCATGTTGTGCATGTTTCTGAAGAGACAGTCATTGGATTGTAATCTCACATAGATAACAGTGTTAACTGATGAAAGCTGTATTTTCAGTTTTTTCCTTTATTAGCTACAATAAAGTTTTATACATTTTTTCCTGTTTGTTCACAAAAGAAAGGTGGTGGGAGAAGCTGTGGAAGATTCCTGAATGCATAAGGGGATGGGATGATCAGCTGAAACTCCGTGTTCCTAGCCAGCTCGCTCTCCAAGGTGGCGTGACTGATGCTGAGGGGCTTCTCAGCTGGGGCTAGTCACATGTACTATTTCGAGGCTGAGTGCTTGATCCTAGAGCTCCCATAAACAGGCTGGCTGAGCTTACTGCATGCCTTCGCATCCCTTGCTGCTTGGATTGTGGGCCCAGATAGTACCACTGTTACATGTATGAGTTTAAGATGCAAGCATTAGGTAGTTAATCCCTTAATAGCTATAGGGTGGGTTGTTCATATATGTTAATATATGAAGATGTGGAGACATTTTTAGGACTTTTGGAGAATGTGAGTCTGCCAGAAAGTGACTTTAGTGCCCTAGCTATGATCTGGATGCCTTTATATTAAGTCTTCCTCTCTCTTTTTATCTAAGAAATGTACCTCACAGCCAAGGCAATGTCATCTTGGAAAACCCAGTAATCAATAATAATCAGACCTGTGCTGGGCCTGAGGGTCATGACACAGTGATCCTCTCGGTGGCCCCCCATGTCACTAAGCATTAGGCTATGTGATGGTGTCTCTTTGTTGTCATGTGAACGGGAACTAAATCCTCCACACTTGGTCGTTAGAAAGCATTGCCTGACGTAGACCCAGCTTTCCTGCAGCATGAACAGCCTGTTTTCTGAAAGGCTGGCATTTTTGGTGCATGAGTGTGTGCTGTTTTGGAGCTCAGTGTTAAATTCAAGTCCACTTCTTATGGCCTATAGAGATCAGTACTAAGGGTTCTTGTCAGTCATCTGTGGAAATACAGAGTGGAGCTAAGTGACATGAAAAAGCTGCAGTAGTATTTTCAGGGGAGTGTTCCTGGAGTGGAGTTTTTGTGTGGTTTTCTTTCCCCGGTTTGTCCTCTCCATGAAGCAGTAGCACCAGATTGGGCCTTAGCATCGGGGAGAGCTGTTGTGTCACTTCCTCATGCTGACATATTTACTAGAGGGTGAAATCAACAACCTTCTGGTAAGAGTGGCAGTCGGAGGGAAGGGCTCACCTGACTTCAGGAACCCGTGTTGAACTGTGGTGCTTTGGACCTGCATGGTGGGGTAGGGACCTATTTATTGTACCAGACCAGGAAGTTCTTACATACTTCCTGTCCCTTCACATAGTTGTGAAATTGAAAAGACAGGCTTCTTTTTTTTACTTAACCAGAATGTTTGTTTCTGTGTGTAAGACTGAACTACACTACCAGAATGAGTAACTGTTTTAGATCATAAGGTAAGGAAGAACAGAGCTTTGAGATGAAAGGGAGGAGGAGCCTGTCAGGCACAGGCAGGGGTAACCCCTGTTAGACTACAGTCAGTCTGTGTTTGGTTTGCTGTTGGTAAATGAGCAGTGTGTTCTTGTTTGTTTCTCTTTTTGGCTTTTCATGTTAGAAGCGGGGCATGTAAAGCTAGCATTGATTATTACAAATCATAATTTACTGGGAAGCCTTTTCGGAGAATATTTACCTAAATATCAACATTTTTCTTTTTAAAATAGTTTTCTCATCTCAGCCTAGTGATGAGGAATCCAGTAGCGATGACACCAGCCACGAGCCCAGCCCTGCCCCGAGAAGGCGCCGCAACAGGAAGAAGACTGTTTCAATCTCAGAGTCTGAGGAGCCACCACTTGCCGAGCCAGAAGATGAACCCTCTAAGGAGCCTAGTAAACGCCACTTTAGTGGTGGCCTTAACAAGTGTGTTATCCTGGCTTTGGTGATTGCTGTCAGCATGGGATTTGGACATTTCTATGGTAAGTTCTAGAACACCTTGTGTAGGCACTTGCATGCAGCAGCAAGACAAAGTGCACACAGAAGAAAGGTCAGTGTTGGTTACTGTGGCCTCTCTGTATAGCTAGCTATTTTCCTCAGGTGGGTAGAGGACTGCTGAAGCTTAGGAGTTTGATGTTAGCCTAGGCAACATAGCCAGACCCTGACCCAAGACAAGATCAGGCTGCTCTCCAACCTGTGATCTTCCTACATCAGACTTTCAAGTGTGAGTAAGGACTATTCTTAGCATACATATTTGTGGATTTTTTGTTTTGTTTCCTTGTTTTGGATTTCGAGACAGGGTTTCTCTGTATTGTTTTGGAGGCTGTCTTGGAACTCGCTCTGTAGACCAGGCTTGGTCTCGAACAAACAGAGATCCACCTGCCTCTGCCTCCCAAGTGCTGAGATTAAAGGCGTGTGCCACCAATGCCCGGCTTTGTTTTGTTTTCTAAGTAAGAAGATTGGAAGATTAAAAATCTAAAGTGGGGGAGTTAGGGCTGACGAGATGTCTCAGTGGTTAAGAGCATAGCTAATGACTATTCCAGAAATCCAGGTTCAGTCTCCAGCACTCAACTCACATGGTGGCTGTTTCATAACCATCTATAATCCCAGTTACAAAGAATCACCCACTTCTGATCTTTTAGGGCACTGTGTACACATAGTGCACAGACATACATGCAGGCAAAGCACTCATAAAAAAAATGTGAAGATGGGGGCTGGAGAGATGGCTCAGTGATTAAGAGTACTGGCTGCTCTTCCAGAGGACCTGGGTTCAATTCCTAGCACCCACATGGCACTTCACAACTGTCTGTAACTTCAGTTCCAGGGGACTCAACATCAGTGCAATTAAAACTAAAAACAAAACAGGCAAAACAAAACAAAAAAATCCTGAAGATGGCTGGGCAGCAGTGGTACAGACCTTTAATCCCAGCACTTGGAGGCAGAAGCAGGCAGATCTCTGAATATGAGGCCAGCCTGGTCCACAGAGTGAGTCCAGGACAGGTTACAAAGCTACAGAGAAACCCTGTCTCAGAAAAAAAAAAAAAGAAAGAAAGAAAAAGCCAAGAAACAGAACTGAAGATGCTGGGAGTATTGTTGCATGCTTTTAATCCCAGACATAGGCAGAGGATTTTGAGTTAGAGGCCAGTGTGATTCACAAGTTCCATTCCAGGCTAGCCAGCTATTTAGACCCTGTCTAAAATAAAATAAAAATCTGAAGTTGGATGTAGTATATATGGTAATCATGTAGGAGACCTATGCATGAGAGTCTCAATTTAAGAAGACCTTGGGCTCATGGTAAACTGAATCTTGGGGCAGATTGTTATAATTTGTTGCATAGTATTTAAATTCCAGTTACTTTGTGGTAGGCAGGGTGTACTTTACCTCTATAATCCCAGTCCTTGAGAGACTGATGAGGCAAGAGAGTTGCCAAGAGTTCCAGAACAGCATTGAATAGCGTGTGATACTATCTCAAAAAAGAAAAGTAGAAAACATTGCATTTGAAATGTTCAGTAATTAGTACTTATTCTTTCTACTTTGAGGAGCCTTCTTTTGTTAGTATTTGTTGTACAAATCTTTATACAGCTGGTCTATAATAAACTATTTTGTTAGGGAAATGATTTCTAAATAGTGCATGTATATGAGTATCTTTTTCTAGACACTCAGCATGAATTATAGCTTTAATTCCTCATTCTAAACAAGTCATACAGATGTTGGCAAACTGTCATTGCATAGCCCTTCCACAGTAAATCCTAGATATTCCTTGAGGTTGGATGCAGTAGTCGTTCTGTGACATCCATTGCTGCCTTCCTGTTTCTATGAGTTTGAGGCCAACCTGATCCGCAGATGGAGTTCCAGGCAGTCAAGACTACACAAAAAAACCCTGCTTGAAAAACCAAAAGAAAGAAAGAAAAAAAAACTCATTGATGATTCTTTTTAAGTCCTATAATTTTTTGGGAATCTTTAACCACTGTATGTACTATGGCATATGTCAGAAGGCATCTCCAGAGTTTTCTTTTATCCTTTATGTGGGTTCTGGGAATTGAACTCAGGTCTCTGGGCTTATGCTACAACCATCCTTCCCTGACATCTTGCCAGCACAAGGTCTGCATTTGTACAGATTGAGAACTAAGCATTCCCATTCTGTTCTTTGGACGTTGCAGGCTAGTTCAGTTTATTTATTTATTTTTTGTTTTGTTTTGATGCAGGGTATTACTACATAACCCAGGCTGAGCTCTGACTCGTGGTCTCAGATACCTGAGTCCTGGGATTACAGATCTTTACTGCCACATCTGCCTAGTGGAGTATAGTGTACTTCAGAAATAAATGTCTCACATCTCATCAAGTTCACAGCTCTTTTTGTTGTTGTTGTCTGAGACAAGTTCTCTCTAGCTAGCCCCTGCTGCCCTGGACTTCACTGTGTAGCTCTGGCTGGCCTAGAGTTTATTATGTAGACCCAGCTGGTCTCAGACTCACAGAGCTGCATTTGCCTCTACCAACCGCATGCTGGACTAAAGGTCTGTGCCACCATGCCTGACAACTTGACAAATCTTAGTTTACCTATATAAACTACTTTTAGGTTTACTAATTTTCCTGGTCTACATAATCTGCAGTTAACTTTCCATTTTGATAGTTCTTTCCAACAACATGTTCTTTCATAGTTGTGATAAAAGTATTTGTTAGAGAGCATGATATTGAAATAAAATGATGGGGCAGTCCGTGTTTGGTAAAGTCAGAGTCGTTGAACTGTATTTTCTCTGTTTAGCCTGAGGTGGTCTTTGGCTGATGGGAAGGCCTGCTGAGATGTGTTCTGATGCACACTTGCCTCTGTGAAGGGTGAAGCAAATGAGTCAGTGTTTCTATGTGTGTTTTTGCCTCCCTACAGGCAAACATGAAGGAAGCAAGGGAAAAGGTCTAAAATCATTTTTCTTACTAAAGGCCAAGAGTTGGACATTAACTTTAATGTTAATACAGACTGCACTAAAATCTCACAATTTGCATGACTTTGGAATATTTTTTTTTTAGAAAGTATAGTTCTTTTAAAGCCAAGATATGTTTCCTTGTTTGCTAGCTTTAACAAAATTAACACATTATCTTCCTTCCTATACATATTCGTATTAGCCTTTTACAGCATGAGAACCTTGGATGATGCAGTATGTGAGTGCACACAGTAAATCTGAGCCCTGACCCCAGTGGTTTTTCATTCAGCATCCTCACTTGCAGGACAGGACTTCATCCTGTGCTGGGCAATGAGCTCCATACTAAGAACCATTCTCCAATATCTCTCCAGAAGCAGCCACCTGCTATAAACAGTATTCAGCGCTCCATAAAAGTGTGGGATTTCCTGTCTGTACTAGAAGAGAAAGCAAAGGATAGTATACAGTGTGCTCTAGCTGTTTGACATGATTCAGATTCTAAAAGTACATCTGAGTTTTAGGAAAGAAAAATAGCAAAGATAAAAATCTGCATGAATGCTAACATCAAAATACAAGCTTGAAGTGCTTATCTATCTTTGGTCTTCTCTCTCCACACTCAGGAGATGGAGGTATTGACAGCTGTCCAGCTCTTCTGAGGTTCTGACTGTAACTAGATGGGAAGCTACACAACACAAATAGGCATTGAAGTCCATGACTGCATGAGCTTACTGAGTCACCCTTGAATGGGCTTTTAGTAAGCTTATGATGTAGAACATTCCAGCAACTGAAACTCTAATAATCCCTTTTGGAACAGTAACAAAGACTGCCTACATTATAGGAAAAAAAAGGTGCTTTTAAAGGGGACAATATGGGATGTTAACTGTGGTAAAGTTTGGTTTATTGAGCAACTAAAAACAGTAAAAAAGGTCAGCTGTAGCTGTCGTGAGTTTTATAATCCATATATTAGTGCTGAAGGCCTTTGGGTGTTAGACTGAAGAGGGAATGAGGTTAGTACAGTGAGGTTTCCAACCTGGATTTATGCATTGGTAGTCTGTCAGAGTTTAGGAAGTGTGCTAGCTGCTTCCCATTACAAGTAGAGGGTTTCCCAGGGGGAGAGTCCTGCTAGACAATGTTGTGCTAGACCCTCTATCACTGAGCCGAATCCCCACTCCTATATTGAGTGATGTTTAAAAGTGGATTTCAAGATCTGTAGAAAGAGTTAAAATGGATTGTTACTCCTGTATTTAAACCCCTGCTGCATGTATTGCTATATATGTTAGCTACCAGATGTGCTTTTTGGTTTAGTGGTATATCTTCTTGTGCATGTAGGAGGAGCATGCAAGCAACAGCCTGTCTTGGCAAAAGAACATTTTGAATTTAAGGTCAAATACAGCCCCTGCCCTATTGCAGAATTCTTAAAGGAGTTGACTTTGAGGACCAGCAAAATGGTTCAGTTGGTAAAGATGCTTACTTCAAATTGATGACCAGAGTTTGATCCCTGAAAGCCATGAAGTAAAGGAGGGAGCCAGCTCCTACAGGTTGTCCTACCCTACACATTAGTGATGGCATGCATGCGCCTCCCTTCCCCCACCAAAAGTGTATTTTTTAAAAAGTAATCTCAGCCTTTAAGAAGTAGAGGGAGGAGAATCAGGAGTTCAAGATCGTCTTCAGCTAAATAAGGAGTAGATGCCATCTTAGATGAATTAAGACCCTGTTTCAAAAAGAAAAAATTATGGATATTTGTAGTTAGACATTTCCTGTGCCATAATTTAGTATCTAATAGGCAAATTATTAAGAAACATACCTTTTTATTTTTCTTTGACTCTTGATCTATAGGAAAAGAAATCTACTGATGACTTATTTCTCTCTTTAGAGAGGTTTGAAACACTTCAGAGATCCCCGTGAAAAGCTGAGCTGAGCACCTTCAGTTTAGCAAGATGAGAATTTTTGTTGTTGTTGTTGTGATTGTTAAAAATGGACTGTGCTTTTCTTTGGAAGGGTAGTGAGCTGCTTAAATGTTCCTGTGTGCGTGCTGAATGAGTTAACACACATTACTAATCTGCTTGACCTGAGCTTTAGAACCCACTGTCACTGATGAGTGACACCCTGAGGTGGCTAGTGTAGACTGAGTGCTTCGTGCAGTTTTGAGTAGTGGCAGTCGTGCTTACCTAACTGTTTTTCCTTTCAGGCACAATTCAGATTCAGAAGCGCCAGCAGTTAGTCAGAACAGTCCACAGAGATGAGCTCACTGATATGAAGGACTACCTCTCACGATGCCAGCAGGAACAAGAGTCTTTCCTAGATTCTAAGGTGTGTATTAATTAAACATTGAGAAATAACAGTGTTGTAGAGATAATTGTTTGAGCTAGGTGTGGGGTGTGCGCACACTATAACTCTGAACTAGAACATGAGGACTGAGTAGTATAGATCAGGCCAAGTTCAAGACTAGCTTGGCCTCAGGAAGCCAAGAAGGAAAAGAGTGTAGAAGCCAGCATTTGAACTGCTTAGATGTAGTTACAGCAAAGATCGGTCAGTAAATAATAGGGACGAGTGAGATGGCTCAGCAGATAATGGAACTTGTTACCAAGCCTGACCGCAGGCCCTGCTCCTCACTTGGTAAAAGGAGAGAACAGATTCCCCACAGCCACAAGTGGTCCTCTGACCTCCACATGCATACCTACAGACAGAATTTAGAACACACAAATAAATATAAAAAAATTAAAAATAACGATGATAATGTTGTTTAGTACTCTTTTTTTTTTTTTTTTTGGTTTTATGAGACAGGGTTTCTCTGTATTGTTTTGGAGGCTGTCGTACCAGCCTGGCCTCGAACTCACAGAGATCCGCCTGCCTCTGCCTCCTGAGTGCTGGGATTAAAGGCATGTGCCACCACCGCCAGGCGTTGTTTAGTACTTTTATACCTGTTAAATTGGTGTACATTATGTAACTTCTCTTGGCACTCATGTGAGTGAAGTAAGTAATCTGATTCTTTTTATAAATTGATCTGCAAGGCTAGCAGATCTAATTGGATTCCAAGTATCTAACTTCAAAGATCCCCTCCCCCCACCCCAACACACACACAAGGTTTCTCTGTAGCTGTGTGGAGCCTGACCTGGAATTCACTCTGTAGACCAGGATGGCCTGGAACTCACAGAGATTGCCTGCCTCTGCCTCCCCAGTGCTGGAGGCACATGCCAACACTGCCTGGCTTCAAAGATCTTTTAAAATTTGTGTGTATGCATGCTTTGCGTGCGTGGTACAAATGTAGAGATCAGAAAACAACTTCAGGAGTCAGTCTCTGCAATCCATCAGCTACTAGGGAATCCAATATCTAATTCAGGTCATCAGGCCTGGCAGCTGAGCCATCTTACAAACTATAGTTTTAAATCTTATCTTTTTTTTCCCTTGAAGAGCTAGTGAAACAACCGTTTCAGTTAAGTTTACTTGAATTTGGGGATGTAGTTAATTATGTTACCAGGATTCAGACTGTCCTCTGTGTACAGTACAGAGATGTTTCCAGGAGACTCTGGAAGGCATGTACCACCATACCATCCTGCCTTCTGAATATTTTTTAAGCCACATTGGTACTGAGTCTGGGGCTATGCAGATACCAATGGGCTGATTTTGTGTTTACTCATAGAAGACAAATGCAGATAACTGTAAAATGTCTTAGTTGTTGACTATGGCAGCCTGCACCTTTGCCCTGGCACTTGGGAGGCATATCTCTGGGTTTGAGGCCAGCCTGGTACATACTGATTTCCAGGACAGCCAGGGCTATCTAAAGAGTTCCTGTCTCAAAATAAGTAAATAAACAGAAAAATCTTGATTCTCTAGGCACCTTTTCAGGGAAGGATGGAAGGGCTTCCCTCATTTTTCCAGTTTACAAATATGTGTAATCTGATAGTGTGTCTATATGCAGCACTGAGCATTGAATCTGGGGCCTTGGGTTTGCTAGTAAGTACTCAGCCCTTTAGTTATTCGAAACGACTGGAGTTCTGTCTAGCTTGTCCTTGTTTGAATTCTCCCTCCTCATCAGTGTTCTTGATTTGACAGAGCTGCCTGCCACACATTTCCTCCCATGAGACACTTGTGGTTTCCTTTTTATTTTTGAGAACGAGAAGCTTCTTAAATATATGACAAATGGCATTGAGCATTTTTTCCCCAATTTCTAATACTGTTAAAACACACCCAGAGGATTTGTGTGTATGCTCATATACATACACACATGTATGTGGGTAATAAAGGTTATGGTTGTTACATGATAAAGATTTAGATTAAACTTTGCAAGCACTTGACATTTTTCTTCTCTTTAAAAAAAACCCATCTAGTCACTGAAAGAAAACCTTGAGAGGTGTTGGACTATTACCCATGCAGAGGAGATCACCTTTGACACTCAGAAGAAGAATCTTGCTGCAGAAAACCAATATTTAAGAATCTCTCTGGAGAAGGAAGAGAAAGCCCTGTCTTCACTGCAGGAAGAGTTACAGCGACTGAGGGAGCAGATTAGATTGTTGGAGGATAAAGGCACAAGTACCCAGTTAGTTAAGGAGAACCAGGCTCTTCAGCAGTGTTTAGAAGCGGAGAAACAGAAAACAAACAGTTTCCTGAATGAAAGGGAGACTCTGTTAGAGGAAGCAAAGATGTTGAAGAGGGACCTGGAGAGAGAGCGGCTCACAGCGATGGCTCTGCGGGCAGAACTTGAGCAGTTAGGCCCTTGCCAGGCACAGGATCATGCGGATTCTCCCCGTGTGCAGACTGAAGAGAAGGAAGTCGTGCTGTTACAGCAGAGACTTGCTGAGTTGGAGCAGAAGCTAACCTTTGAGCAGCAGCGCTCTGACTTGTGGGAAAGACTGTATGTTGAGGCGAAGGATCAAAATGGAAAGTTGGAGACTGAAGGGAGGAAGAGAGGAAGCCGAGGAAACCCCAGGGCTAAGAGCAAGTCAAAGGAGACATTTCTGGGGACAGTTAAGGAAACATTTGATGCTATGAAGAATTCTACCAAGGAGTTTGTGAGACATCATAAAGAAAAAATCAAGCAGGCGAAAGAAGCTGTGAAGGAAAATCTGAAGAAGTTCTCAGATTCAGTGAAATCCACTTTTCGACATTTCAAAGATACCACTAAGAATATCTTTGATGAAAAGGGCAGTAAGAGATTCGGGCCTTCAAAAGAAGCAGCCACTGAAAAGCCAAGAACAGCTTATGGTTATTCTTCATACTCCCTGCACGAGACACTGAACCAAAAGCAGAATTGCAGAGGCCCTTCTGCACAGAGCAAGGGCGGGAGAGAAAAGCCCAGCCACACAGAAGAAAGTAGAAAAGATGCAAATTCAGATACGTACAAGGCCAAGTTTGACTGCAGGGACACCCACTCCACCAGAAGGGTTTTTTCGGACATGTTTGAATGTGCTGGACAAGAACCTGGTAGCTCTGTTAACGCAGCGAGTCCCGTCAGGATAAATGATTTCAGACAGCTGATTCAGTGGTACTTACTGAACGAACTGGACACTTTCCACCACTGGAGAGAACTAGATCAGTTCATCAGCCCGTTTTTCCCAAATGGCGTCTTTAGACACGACCAGAAGCTCTTCACCGACTTTGTTGATGCCGTGAAAGGTTACCTTAAGGGAATAAAGGAGTATCAAGTGAAGGATGACAATTTGGAGAAGTTGGATCGATACATATATAGACATTTTGGGCACATTTTCGCCCTTCCGTTCGGACCCAGGTCGGTTTACATAAAACCATGTTACTATAATAGTTTCTAACAGTGGTACATTGCATAGTGGTTTTTTGTTTTGTTTTGTTTTTTAGCACTTTGAGCTTCTTAGAAGGTTACTATTTGTAAGAGGCAAGCTTATTGTCACTGAAATTCAGAATAAATTGAAAGACAGTTTTAAAATTTAACTATTGCAAACTGAAAAAAAATCCATGTATTATAATCACTTAGGCTTGAACAAATGATTGAATTTCTACCTTAAAAATTAGTTCGGAATATATTAACTTATTTGAGTCAATTTGGTTTCTTTCAGTTTAGTTTGTATAATTAAGTGAAATTATTGCCCTTTAATCTTTGCCTTAGGAAGCTAGAAACAAACATTTTAATGTGCAGTTCAGGTCATGTGGACCTGCCACACGTGTAATCATTGTTGGTTTTATGTGACAGTTTAGGAGTAGCACTAATTGAAGGGTTACTATATAGCGAAGGATGATGGGTGTTCAGGAGCCACAATGCCCCATAATGTTCTTCAAAACTGTATCTATTGTCCTTCAGCTTTTTATTCTGTAACTGCAAATGTGTGGTTTTTACCTTTGAGAGTCACGTAGTTCCATCTTTATGAATAAATGCAGTGTGCCTATAAAGTAATGAGGCTGGTTTCTGATGTCTTTAGTTCCTGAAGCAGGTGTCTAGTGCTGTAATGAACAGGGTTAGGAGACTGCTTTGAGGAAACATGAACAACCCCTTGCTTTTTAGGAGTTGGGTGTGCACCAGTGGCATGAAGATATAGTGGCCTCAGGCAGTCTGGAGATGGTTGGAAAAGCTTCATGATTGAAATGACCTTGCATCTAAATGTGTTTTGAAACTAGCTTTTGGAAGAGAAGTGAGAGAGTACATTGGTAGGGGAAGGCATCTCACTGGAATGGAAGGTCATTTGCAAAGGTGTGGAGAGATGAAGACATGCTTCTTTACAGAAACAGGTGGGCTGGGGTGGGGGATGAATCAGAAAGGTCTCCGTTTAGTCCTCAGAGATGGAGACTTTCTGAAGGATTTTGTCATGGGGTGGGATTGTGCCTAGCCTTTTAGATGACTGGCATCATCCAGGAGAATTGAGTGGCAAGCTGTGATGCCAACTGTGGCGGTCTGCACTTGAGAAGCTGTTGAAACAGTTCTATCTTGTTTAAGGGTGGTAGAAAGGGAGTGATTTGCATGCATCTGGAATGACTTCATACATATCTTCCTATGTATTGATATTACTCAGAGACCACCAGAAGAAGGTACAAGCAGAGGATCCTGAAGTGAATTGGTTTAGGGGGTACCTGTTGACCCTAATTCGGAGAGGATGGGTTAGTTGCCCAGCAATCTCTACTCAGACTCACTCCAAAGTCAGTCCCCATTGGAAGATCTAATGTAGGACATGACACCAGCATCTGTCCCAGTTAGAGAAGGCTAAGCAAGAAAAGACTGCAGAGTGACAGCACAGGAATCCAGAGATGTGCGTCAGTGCTTGGAGCTGAGGGCTGCAGAGTAGTTGTCAGGGTCTTTGTGTGAAGCAGTGGAGGAGCCTGCTGGCAGAGTGTGAGGAAAGTTGGAGGCCACTTGCTTTGCAAGACGCGTGTGTGTGTGTGTGTGTGTGTGTGTGTATTTCAGATGAGGGATAAAGCCAATGGAGATGACTTTTTTCAAAACTGGAATAAACTGGAAACATCTCATTATTTTATTGTCATATTCCTGTTCCTGGTCATTTGTTTGGTTTCCCCTTCCAGCCAGTACAAGTGTAAACCTATTTTTTTCTTGTTAAAAAGTAGTGATTCCCCTTTCCTGGTATTATAATAGAATTATATTTATATTTTATTTTTTGGCAGTGTTCAGATAGTAGATTAATGGAGAAAAACATTAAGTTAGTTTTACTTTTAGAAAACTGAACTCTAACGTAGATAAAAAAATGTGTTTGCTACTTTCAGTCGACCCGATAAAAAGCAACAACGTATGGTAAATATTGAAAACTCCAGGCACCGAAAGCAAGAGCAGAAGCACCTTCATCCACAGCCTTATAAAAGGGAAGGTAAATGGCAAAAAACCAGTCGCGCTAACGGAAGACACACGGCAAACCTTGAGATAGAATTGGGGCGGTTACCTTTTGACCCTAAATACTGACTCATGATTAAGTTAGGAGATGCGGATGCTTTCTGCTTTGTTTGGTGTTGAAATTAAGATGAAATCCCCAAGACAACTGTCTTTTCATTTCTCAAAGACTGGTTTGATGGCTTTCTATTGTGCAAAGGCAAAGCTTGCTAACTTGTATTTCCCCGTAGCTTAGGTTTGTTTAAAAAATTTTTTTTTAATTTTCTGCTCTGGAAAAAAAAAATAAAATGGTAGTTTTATTAAGGAAGTCAGGCATGGAACCATCTGCATGAAACAGGGCTTGAGTAGCTGAGCTCAGGAAGCTGAGCTCGTGCAGGGCAGTAAGTGCCATCTTGAGGTGTGTAGTATGGCTTGAGCGAGCGAGCTGGGGACTCCCCTCTAACATGTTCTACTCTCACGCTTTTGTCTCTCTGGGGGATCAAGAGCCCATTGGCTTGTGAAGAGCTTGCTGATTTGTTCTTGTGAACGCTCTTGCACACCTGACGCTATGGAAGAACAATAAACTGCACCGTGAGGAAAACGAAAGGTCTCTTTCAAATCTGGCGTCGCTTTTTGTTTCTCAGAATGCCTCAGTGCAGGACATGGTACAGCTGTTCCCAGTGGCTTCCTCTTCATTTCACAAATCACCTGAAGTTTCCCTCAGTCATGCCAACTTCTCTGCAGATGTCCTCACAGTTCAGTTCCCTCCTGTGTTGACTCTGCTGGTTATCCTTCGTTCGTAGACATGTACGTGACTTCCAATTCGACCCTCTGGCCAATGAGTATGGAAGAAAGTAGCAGTCCTCTCATAGCTCCCCGAAGTGAGGAAGGCATAGATTTCCTGCAAGTAAATAAAGACATGTTTGCCAAGTGTGGTTTCAAAGAATTGTAGAGTTGCCAATTAAAATTCCTCCTTTGTGATTTTTTTCTTCATGAATTCATGTAAGATTTCTCAGGAAAGAAGTGACTTGTGGTAGCTAAACATATATAGTGAGTTACAGAAGTGGGACTGAGCTTTACTGAGAAAGAACAACTGTGGAACATGTGGGTTGCAATCACTAAATTTAGTCAACTTTATTGAATTAAGAAACCACTGGGGGGCCGGGTGGTGGTGGCCCACGACTTTAATTCCAGCACTTGAGAGGCAGAGGCCAGCCTGGTCTACAAAGCTGCACAGAGAAACCCTGGGGGGTGGGCAGAGGAGGTGGCTCAGTTTTCAAGTGGTTGCTGACCAGGCATGAGGATCTACACCCACACAGACAGCTGGGCATGGTAGCTGGGGGCGGTGGCACAGCATGTGTCTTTAGCCCTACTTGGGAGGCAGAGGTAGATGGATTTCCATGAGTTCCAGGACAGCCAGGGCTACACAGTGAGACCTTGTCTCAAAAATAAGTAATCAGGCATGGCACATACCTGTAGTCCTAACACTGGGTCACTGGGCAGAGATAGAGGAGTCTGGAGGCTGCTGGCAAGCCATAGTAGTTATGCTCCAGGGAGAGACCAGGCTCAGAAAATGAGGTGGAGAGGGACAGGAGGCGGCATCAACTTGAACGTCTGGCCTTTGCACACGTGTGTATACAGGAACATGAATACACACTGAAGAAACAAGACAGGGCAGCAATGCAGCACATTTGGTGAGTTTGTGTCTTTAAAGAATTGAGGGAACACCTGCCCTGAATGTGGGTGGCACATTCCTGTGGGCTCTGGTCCAATCTGAATAAAGAAAAGGGGAGAGCAAACTGAACCAGGACACCCCCCTTTTCGGTTTTTTGAGACAGGGTTTCTCTGTGGCTTTGGAGGCTGTCCTGGAACTAGCTGTTATAGACCAGGCTGGTCTTGAACTCACAAAGATCCGCCTGCCTCTGCCTCCTGAGTGCTGGGACTAAAGGCGTGTGCTACCACTGCTTGGCCACATACCCCTTTTAAAATGCTGTTCCATAGACCAGGCAGGCTGACATTCCTCCCTGCAGCTGCAGCTGGTAAGTTGTTCCCACCCAGCACCATGGCTCCCACCACAATGGGACAGTGTCCCGAACCTGATCCAGAAAATATTCTGTCTCCTTAAGTTGGTATTTGTCAGATGATTGGTCATGGCCATTAGAGGAGTAACTCATACAGTGGAGGGAAGGGATCGGTGAAGCGAATTGTTGTTAAAATGCCGAGTTGACTATTTCAAGTGGACGTACCTTCTCCAGAACACTGAAGGTGACCAGGTGAGTGGGGAGTGATGCATTGCTTCGGAACTCTTGTCGTAACCAGCTTAAGGGATTTAGGTAGAACACATCTGCTTCATCAAGATACTGAGCTTTTCCAGTCAAGTCCGGGGGACACTGGAGAAACCTCATGGACAGTGGGCAGTGGACATGGCTGTGTAGAAAGGTCAAAATAGTTAAGCACCCCCACGCTTCCGTATTGTTTCAGGTTGACTTGACTTGGGGGACCTCAGGCAGAGCTGCCTTCCTTACCTGTAGTAAGGAGTGGAATGGCAAGGCATCATGATGAACACTGAAGCGGAAGCTGGGTCAGGACCTCTGGGGCAGACGTGCTGAATGTGATGCATGACATCCAGAGTGCCTCTCTGATGAACGAGGCCAGTGTAGAGGGCCAGCAGCGTGTTTGACAAAAGCAGGAAACTCAGAGCTGCCTTCCGCCATGCCTTCAGGTGGGCTAGTGAGTATCCTGCATGGAGACGGGTGGAAGGAAGTGGAACACGACAGTCTTGCTTTTCTGTTATCAGCAAATCCATTTGTATGTAATTGTCCATGCCAACAGTATAAGCCATGGTATTGTGTGTCAAATAGTGGTCAGCTTCTCCGAGCACTCACCACCATTGTACTCTCAGGCAGGGACTAACCTTTTCTAGGGACTCAAAGGTGTGATGTTTGGGGGTAATGGCTGTCCAGTCTTAACTTCGCAGACAATACAGTCTGAGGGCATCTGACATCCTAAGATTTACAAGGGGATTTCTGAAATTTGAATGATGCCAAGGACAGTTGGAAGGACATAGTTACATGGCTAACCTGGACTAAGACCCATGGTTTCCTTATAGGGAGCAGCACTGCGTGTTCGGTTATACCCAGTTAAATCCCACCACCCATAGGTCTTTTTAGTTGCATGTAATATGGTGCAGTTCTCACAAACATCACTCCAAGTGTCTACTTTGTTCCTATTGCCTGCCCTAAACATGATGCTTCTGAGTGTGGTGCTGGGAGGTAGCTAAGCTTGCCTGGCTTCCATCTCATACATAAGGTACAAACCACTCTGTATGTTCGCTCTTTGTGTGTTTTGTGTTTTGAGATGGGGTTTTACTATGTAGCCCAGCCTGGCCTCAAACTGAAGATCCTCATGCCTCAACCTCTCAAGTACTAGAATTACAGTCATGCCCTACCATACCAACACATGTCCTAGTAAGCTTACTATTTGAAGGCTGTAGGTTTTGGTGTGTGGTATGACAATCAGCATTCTCCAGCACTAACTACCAGGATGTTCACACAGTGGAAAGGGTGGGAAAAGCCCAAGCCTTCACTTAGTAATTCCATCTCCTGTGCTGAACAGTGGCAAGAATTCTTAAAAAAAACAAAGGTCACTGGGCAGCAGCAGCACAGGCCTTTAATCCCAGCACTCCCGAGGCAGAGGCAGAGGCAGGCTGATCTCTGAGTTCGAGGCTAGACCTGAGCAAGTTCTAGGATGGCCAGGACTTTTCATAGATAAATCCTGTCTCAACAAAACAAACACCCCCAAGGACAAGGAAAAATGCCCAGTACTTCTCTAGTATGTTCTGCCATGCAGAAATACATGTTAACATTTATATTTTTGACATTGCTGGGAAGGCTGTTAGTTCTGGTGTTTATGTGAGAAAAGGAAGTGTAGTTTATTAGCTGGGGAACTAGTGTGGGAAGGACAGGGCTGACCTGTGTCTAAATCTGAGTCACCACCACAGGCATGCGTACAGAAGTTTAGACTGCTGCTCTGTTAAGGAAATCAAGCTGTGTTTTCACTGACTACGAAATCAATACTAAATCCTACAAGAAAGATCTTGTAGTGGAATTGTAAACATCAGACACCAAAATTAAGAGACTACACAGTGTGTGAGGTAGCACATAGCAGTAATCCCAGCTAATAGGAGCCTAGGCAAGAGGTGTGCCAGTTCAAGGGTAGCCTGGGCAACTTAGCGACATCTTTAAGTTGAAGCAGTTGCTTCCAGGGATGAGGACTGGTATGCAACTTTGGTTTCTTTTGCTTCTTCTTCTTACAAGTGTTGTTTTTTTCCCCTTGAGACAGGATCTGGCCGTGCATGTAACCCAGCCTGCCTTAACCTGTAATCCTCTGGACTCGGCTGCTAGACTGCTGGAGTGCAGACAGGTGCCAGTGTCCCTGGCTTGTTGGCTTTAGAACACAGAGTCCATCTTGAAGCAGATGAGTAATGTTGATAGGCAGATCTGAACTCAGAACCAGTGCTCTGTCGGTGGGAAGCAAGGTCTCTACTGGCCAGGAGTAAACCAGTCAACACCTAATACTTGCTGGTAGCACATCAACACAGTGCATCTCAGCATTTCTACCTCGACTACTGATAAGAACCTAGGATACAGGGCACACTATACGGAACTCGTTATCCAGACATTGTCTTAAAGGACTAAGAGGCGTTCTGGCTAGGTTATGTGCCTATAGAGGGCAAAAGCCTTGCTGTTTTACCATCTCTTGAATCTGTCCTGGCTTTTGACTTGCTGTGATCCAGAGACTAGTGGAAGGATCTGCAGATTTCAGGTCCAGGCCTCTTCCCCTCCCACTCTTCCTTTGGAACTCTGAAAACAGCATGTGAGAGGCTCCACCTGACCTGCTGGGTAGTGAGTGACAGGACTCGGGAGCTGATGGCCTATAGCTAGCCTGGTCCCACTCATCTAGAGCCCAGTGCTTTGTCTGGTCAGTGTGAGTGAGCACGGCTGACATGTGGCTTATGAAAATAAATGGCATTAAAAGTCACTGATTACGCAGCAGTGGCGGACAGTTACCTTGCATATGAAATCAGGTTAAAATAGGTCACAAGAACAGAATTGAGGCTTAGATTTGAAGTGTTTAGGAAAGACTTGAAAATTCTAAGGGAAGTTGTGCACGGTACAGCAAGCCTGGCATCCTATCACTGGTGGGGATGGATGATATAGTGAGATTACTACATGTATGTTTTAGGCCAGCCAGACTGTCTTATCCCCTATCCCTGACCAAAAAAAAAAAAAAAAAAAAAAAAAAAGTGGACTGGCAGTTGGATCCTTGTTTTATCTTATGTAAAATAGGAGAAAAGGGGCTGGAGAGGTGGCTTAGTGGTTAAGAGTATTGACTGCTCTTCCAGAGGACCTGAGTTCAATTCCCAGCACCCATATGGTGGCTCACAACCATCCATAATGAGATCTGGTGCCCTCTCCTGGCCTATGGGTAAAACACTGTATATAGTAAGTAAATAAATCTTTAAAAAAATAGGAGAAAAGACATTTAGAAGCCAGGCAAGGTGGCTCACATGTGTAATCTCAGCACTTGGTAGGCTGAGGCAAGAGGATGGCCCTGAGTCCACGGCCAACTGAATAATGAGGTCTGGGCCAGCCCTGCCAGCATAATCAGACAACAAACACCCACAGACGATTAGATCACAAAAAGAAAGCACTACAGCCACGGTTTGTGATTAGCAAAGTTGTCACTTAGCCTAACTGGAAATAAACACTGTCTCTTAGTGTTTACACTGTTTGGGAGGGTCTTGCTGTCAAAGCCCAGGCTGCTCTTGACTAGTGGCAGACCCCGCCTTTTCCTCTCCAGCAGGGATTATAGCAATGCTGCCATGCCTGGCTTATTTTAAGTGTATTCTGTATTAAACAAAACACTTACCACAGAACACCATGCAAAATGGTAAAACTGGATAGATAAACCTGAATTCTTTGTGGCCCAACATGCTACAATAAAGGATATTAAGGCAAAACATTAATTTTATACAAGTCTGAGAAATTAATGTATTTAAAATGACATAAACATGATCTATTTATTTATCAAATATCTGAGATTGAATTCCTTTAAAAAAATAACTTTTCCTTTCTTTCTTGGTTTTTCCAGACAGGGTTTCTCTGTGTAGCTTTGGAGCCTGTCCTGGAATTCTCTCTGTAGACCAGGCTGGCCTTGAACTCAGAGGTCAGCCTGCCTCTGCCTCCCACGTGCTGGGATTAAAGGTGTGTGCCACCACTGCCCAACAAGATAATCGTTTTTTCAATCATAGTTTATGCTAGCCTCAAACTCTTCACACTTCTGCTTTAGTCTGTGTTGTGGCACTGCTGACATCACACTATACCAGGCTTCCGACTCAGGAATCATAACCTTTTTTAAATAGAATGTGACTATGGCTAAATAATAATGTCAGAGTGAAATCATAATGCACAATTACACTTAGAAAAAATTATATTACCAATTCAACTAAGTACTACTACTCAAATTTGCAATAGGGATACATTCATTAAAAAATATTTTAAGGGGCTAGCGAGATGGCTCAGTGGTTAAGAGCACTGAATGCTCTTCCAGAGGACCCAGGTTCAATTCCCAGCAACCACATGGCAGCTCACAACTGTCTGTAACTACAAGTCTGACACCCTTACACAGACATACAAACCCGAAAAACACCAATGCAAATAAAAATAAGTTAAAAAATATTTTATAACGTTTGTGTGTTGGGAATGGGGCACTCATTCTGTAGGGGGCATTCGGAGGTCAGAGGACCAAGGACTGTGCGAGTCAGTTTTCTTCTACCATGTAGATCCTGGTGACACAGGTTAGGACGTCAGGCATGGTGGTAGGAGCCTCTACTTGCTGAACCATCTCACCAGTTCCTCATTTTTGTTTCACAGACATATGTATGAATAAGTAATTGTCACTGTCTGAACACCACATAATTACTACTACTTTCATCTGACATACTCTTACTGCTATATCCTAAGAAAGTAAAAACCTGCTTCTGAATAGTTTCATCTTTTAGGAACATTTAAACATTCACCTGCTTGCATACAAAAGCCTTACCTGTACACCAGCAGTGTCCACAGCACGGTCAGCAGTAGTATGTGCAGCCTCCTTGGGGCCAGGAAGCAGCCGTGAATGAAGAAGGGTAAGTGGGTTCCCAGGACAACTGGAAACCCTTGACTGAAGTACCAGTGCCATGGATGGGAGCCATAAAAGGTCCCCAAATTCTGCAGCACATTAAATTTCAAGAAGTTAAATTGGACCAGTGTCCACTGGTATAAGTGAAAGGGGGGAAAAAGAAATGGGTTAATGTTAGAACCTGATCTTGGACTTTAAGTATTTGACAGAATCATGATATTAAATAGGAATTTAAAAACCAGGCAGCAGACTTACATTAATAATCCTGATTAATGTTACAAATTCTTGTTGATAACTTGTCTCATCCGTCCACCCCCACCCCATACACACAGGGTTTTCTGTGTATCCCTGGCTATCCTAGAACCTGCTCTGTAGACAAGGTTTGTCTCAAATCCAGAGATCCACCTGCCTCTGCATCCTAGAGTGCTAGGATTAAACTGTGCTAGTACCACCCCATGAATGATTTGTTTTTCTAAGTACTTGATGTATCTTTTGTTAATCTGTAAAATGCTAGGTTTTAAGATTTAAGGTGAAGCTGGGTGGTGGTGGCGGTGCATGCCTTTCAACCCAGCACTCGGGAGGCAGAGGCAGGTGAATCTGTGAGATCAAGACCAGCCTGGTCTACAAGAGCTAGTTCACGGACAGCCTCCAAAGCTACAGAGAAACCCTGTCTCAAAACCCACAAAAACGGTGAATCTCATACATATCTTGGTACTGCAAGTTTTATATCCAATTAGAAGGTAGTTTTTAAAATTGATTTTTTAAATTGTGTGTTATGTGTGTGGGTGCACAGTTATTCTTGGAGGTAAGAAGATATCAGATTCCTTGGAGCAGGAATTAGAGGCAGTGTGAGCAGTTCTTCTGTGGGTTCTGGGGCTCCAGCTTCGGTCCTCTGCAAAGCAGTATTTGCTCCTCACTGATGAGCCATCTTTCCAGGTCCAACAGGATTTTAAAAATCAGTTGGGCCAGCTGGGTAGTGGTGGCACACACCTGTAATCCCAGCACTGGGGAGGCAGAGGTAGGCAGGTCTCTGAGTTTGAGGCCAGCCTGGCCTACAGAGTGAGTTCTAGGACAGCTAGGACTGCACAAAGAAACCCTGTCTCAACCCCTGCTCCAGAGACAAAAAGAGAGTGTATTCCATAAAGCTGCCCTCTCACCTCCAGACATCCTCCCCGACATGCATACAAATAAAGAAGTAAATGGGGAGCTCGCTCTGTAGACCAGGCTGTGCTGGAACTCACAGAGTAGATCCACCTCTGTGAACTGCTGAGATTAAGGGCATGGGCTACCATCACCTAGCTAAGAAATGAATTCTTTAAAAAAAAAATTAGGCTGTTTTGCTTTAGACAGTGTTTCATGATGCAGTCCTGATTGGCCTTGAACTTGAGGTGTTTTTCCTGCCTCCTCCTGAGTGCTAGAATTAGAGACATAAGCCACTGCATCCTGCTTTAAAAGTGACCTAGAAGAGGGCATGTGTGGCGCTCATGTTAACAGTTTCTCTAGTGCCTTACGCTGCCTGGTACAGTAAAATGCTCTCAGATACAGTGACGGCAACAGTTAACACTCTGGTAAGTATCTTAAACGCTTGCTCACTCATAGCCAGAACTGCTGTGAGCACTCTGCAAGCAGCACCTCACAGGACCAACCTTTGCTTAGGTGATCCAAGCCACAGTAATGTCCAGATAAGGCATGGCAGGAAAGTGAGATCTGCCAAGGTCTCACAGCTCATAACCTTCTAGGCTGCAATCAGAGCTGTAACTCAGTACCATGTGAGCCTTTCAGGGCTGAATATAAAGCAGTGAACAGCTACTGCCCACCTTTAGGGGGCCTGTATTGCAAACCAGATGATTGATGGACAGAGTTATTTTGGTGACAGGATTTCTGAATGACTAAGGGTCAAAGTCATTAAACATCAAACCACAGCAGAAGACACCAAAGAATACACCAGTGTAATTAAATGGATTCCATTATAACTATAAAAAAGATTTGCCTCTATTCTAAAACGTTAATGGGTCTGTTTGTGTTCTGAGATGGATGGGGTCTCTTGTAGCCTAAGTTGGCATCTACCTCCCTATACAACTGGGGATAATGTTGACTGCCTGATCCTCCTGCCTCCTCAGTGTGGGATTTCTGGAGTGTACCCCCACACCAGGCATATGTCATCACACCCAGACTGAAATACAACAGCATTAGAAGTCCAGCTTGAGGTTTCAGAGCAGTAAATGATTAAAAATAGCCTTTAGCTTAACCTTATTTTTACTTACTTGGCCAAAAAAGATACGATCAATTATCAGAGACAAACTGAAGGTTATAAATCTGAAAAACAAAGTAGAATGGTTACTCACATTTGAGCCTGCTGGATTCCAGGCCAATGCCTTGTACAAACGCCTCTTTAGTAAAAAATGCTTTACAAGTTCACCAACTATGGCTTCATACACTTTGAAAGATCTTTCTTTCTCTGGTGATAAGATGCACTTAAACAAACAAAAAAAAAACCTACTATTTTATCTATTCTTGGATAATCAACCTGCCAACATAAAAGTATAAAAAAGTATTATTTCAAAGTTCCCGGGGCTTAAAAAGTTTCTAATGTAATTGGCTCCAAGTACGTTACAAGAGATCAGCTTCCCAGACCAGCTGCTGGCAGCTTCTAAGGCTGCACTGTCTTTCTGCGTGTGTGCTGCATGCAGTTCATTCATTACAATGCTGTGTGTGCAGCTGTGTCTGTCACGCTGCTTTTGTTCTGTTTTAGGACACTCTCCATTTTTAGTTATTTAGAACACTGTAGCTACAGACAATGTCATAGTTTCCATCAGTTGTCAACTTGTCACATCTGAGAGAACCACAATTGGGGAATTGTCTCCATCAGACTGTCCTGCAGCACATCTGTGTGGCATTTTCCTAACTGTTAGCTGTTGTTGTAGTGCCCAGCCCACTGTGGGTGGAGCCATCCTTGGGCCCATAGGCCTAGGCTATGTAAGAAAGGTCGCTGAGCAAGCCCCAGGAAGCAAGCTTGGTGTTCCTCCACGTTTCCTTTCTGCAGTTTTTCCAGTCTGCCTTGGCTTCCCTGGGTGGTGGACTGGCAAGCTGTAATCAAAACTCTCTTCCCCAAGTTGTTTTTGGTCATTGTTTATCACAGAAAGCTAACAAAGAGACACGGCCATATAATTTTGTTTTGTTTGTCTTACTTTTTGAGACAAGGTGGCTATCCTGGAACTCACTCTGTAGACCAGGCTGGCCCCAAACTCAGAGATCCATCTGCCTCTGCCTTCTGAGTGCTGGGATTAAAGGTGTGTGCCACCAGGCTGGGCCAAATCATACAAACATAAGTGTCCACAATATATAGTTTTGTTGAGTAGACAAACTGCTAGTATAAGCATTCAGTTGTTGGGGCTGGAGAGATGGCTCAGAGGTTAAAGAGCAGTGGCTGCTCTTCCAGAGGTCCTGAGTTCAATTCCCAGCAACCACATGGTGGCTCACAACCATCTGTAATGAGATCTGGTGCCCTCTTCTGGCCTGCAGACGTACATGGAGGCAGGATGTTGTATTCATAATAAATCTTTAAAAAAAAAAAAAAGCATTCAGTTGTTAAAGTATTTTGTTTTCCAATATGGTGATATCATTTTACAGTGGGCAGGCAGTGTTGAGAACTGCAGGCTTAGAGGATGGCTGTGATTTTGTTAGGTAAGAAAATGAGTTGGAGAAACTAAAAACATAGAGAGTAAGCAGGACACAACCCAACATAAGACTAACTTGTCTCTTTTCTACCTTGTGATTTCTTGTTGGGGTTGTAGGTCATGAATGCATCTTTTAGCTTTTACATAATTACCTTTTTTGTTTGCTAATTGTCTAACTTCATTCCAGTGTGATTATAGAGGCTAGTTTGTATGACTTCTCTTAAAATGAATTATGTTCCAAGGCCTTGTGCATGGTAGAGAGGCCCTGAGTCACTGAGTACAGCTGAGCATGTTTTTGTTTTGTTTTGAGCCCGGGTCTTACTATGCAGCCCCGGCTGCCTAGAACTCGTAAGAGATCCACCTTCCTCTGCCTCCTGAGCAGTGGGGTTAAAGATGTGTGCCCCCATGGGGCTAGAGAGATGGTTCAGAGGTTAAGAGCACTGGCTGCTCTCCCAAAGGTCCTGAGTCCAATTCCCAGCAACCACATGGTGGTTCATGACCATCTATAATGACATCTGGTGCCATCTTCTGATGTGCAGGCATACATGGAAGCAGAATGTAATATACATAATAAATAAATAAAATCTTTTAAAAAAAGATGCATGCCACCACACCCTGCAAGATGAATACCTTTATACTTAGTGGCCATCTGAATATTTTGGATTTATTTATGTTTATGAGTGTTGTGTGTGCATGTATGTATGTGTATCATGTATGTGGCTTGTGCCCTCAGAGGTTAAAATGGGAGTTGGATCCCCTGGAACTTAAGTTGTGGACAGTTGTGAGTCACCATGTGGGTGCTGGGAACTGAACCGGGGTCCTCTGCAGGAGCAACAGGTGTTTTTAAACCACTGAGACTCCCACTCCCAAATTGGATATATTTTTTAAGTAGCTGATAGGGTCTTTTATCATATGTTTCCACTACCATTTTCTTATCGTTTTCCATGTTTCGTGTCCTCTCTGGAAATGAGGTTTGATTGATCACATGTATAGTAGAGGCCATGTGGTCTGTGGCTTGCCCTTCTCCCTCTTTACAGCGAATCTGCTTTTGTTTTGTGCAGCTCTGGGTCCACATGTAAGCAGACTATCATTGAACTCTGCTTCTATGGCAAAGGTCCTCACTACTCAAATGTATCAAGTTCTCTGTCCTGCTGGGGATGCTCTGGTCAGGAGGGGATTCCACGTGACCTGGCAGAGACACTGCTGTATTACTTTACAGCAGTGGTCCTCAACCTTCCTAACACTATTACCCTTTAGCACAGTTGCTCACGTGGGTGACCACCAACCATACAGTTATTTTTGCTGCTACTTCATAACTGTAATTTTGCTGTTGTTATGAGTCTTAATATCTGATATGCAGACTATGAGACACACAGGTTGAGAACTACTGCTTTACAGTGAAATCTGTGCTGTTTTCAGAGATTTGCTTCCAACTTATGGTTGGAAGTAGGTTCATCAGTTAGGCTTGGTAGGTCAAGGCCATTATTCCAGAAATTGGGAGACCAAGGCAGAATGGAGTCTTTGAGATCAAAGCCACCCTGGTTAACATAGCAAGTTCCAGGCTAGACAAGGCTTCAGGGTAAGTCCATCTCAAAAAACAAAACAAAACAGGCCAGGCCTAGTAGGACATGTCTTTAATTCCAGCATTCAGAAAGTAGAGGCAGACCTGGGCTACATAATGAGACCCTGTCTCAAAAAAAAAAAAATCAAAGCAAAATAAGAAACAACAAAAGTGATTTTCTGTTTGTGGACCCTACTTCCCACCAGTCTAAGTGCTTTTCTTTGCATTTTTTTCTAAACCTTAGTCATTGTATGTCATTTTTCCCTTTGAAAATCTTCAGTCTTTTGTATTCCCCCTAAAGGCCAGAGCACTGGGCGCTGGCACAATATCTGGCACTGCCCTAGAGGCCAGGCCTAGTACAGGGGTCTGTGACCCAGCTACTCCTTGCTCTGCTGGGCAAGGTACACTCACTGGCTTGGAAGATAGTTTGCATAGTCTACTGGATGCTCACATACAGTTTAGCAGTTCCCCGCTCACTAGCTTTGCTGATTTTAAATTTCTCCATGCTTCTGTTTACTACAAAAAAGAATGCTAGCATCCCTTACATCCAAGAACATCATGAGATCATATGAGCCAAATTGTTATAAGGTCCTTAATAAATATAAGAGAAAATTTTAGAAATGAAAGTTGGAATTCTAAGAAATGGACACCTTTGTTTAACCGAAATATAATACAGTTAATCAGTCTCATAAATCCAAAATGAGATGCTGGGCCAACGAAATGGCTTAGCGGGTAAAGGTGTTTGCTACAAAAGCCTGATGGCCTGAGTTCACTTCCTGGAGCCCATATAGAGAGAACCACAGCCACAAAAGTGCTCTGACCTCCACATACATCTGCCCTTCAGTGTGCACACACTAGTGTTTAAAAAACAGAAAACACAAAGTTGGAAGTTTTCTGTGACATTGCATAGAGTAATTAGCTGAAGGATGTAAAAAATCTTTCCCACAATCTGTCATTTTCAGGTTAATAGATATTATAGATGGGACCACAGCCAGACTTACCCTACAGGTAAGAGATGATGCAGGACCAGATGGAGCTTTCTCTGTTCTTGATAGAAATGTCTGAAGAGTAATGGCACCCATGGGATGAGAGCTGTGGGGCGGACTATGCAAGCCAGTGCAACCAGGAACGAGTACTTGACACTAGGAGCAAGGAAAGGCAGTTACGTTAAATTCGGAATCTGAAAGACCTTCAGTTTGGGTTCTTACATAGCTCATGCTCATTTCATACTCAAACCCTCCTGCCTCCTCCTCCTCTGTTTTGTTGGTTTTTGAGACAGGGTTTCTCTGTATAATAGTCCTGGCTATTCTGGAACTCAATTTGTAGACCAGGATGACCTCAAACTCACTGAGATCACCTGCCTCTGCCTCCCAAATGCTGGGATTAAAGGTGTGCACCATCACTGCCCGGCCAGATTCTTCTAATACTAACTGTATGTGTTATAAAATTATCTTAATACTACTCATGTGCTATAAAATCCACTCAACTTTAATGCTGCTCTCTTGACAGAAAAATAATAAACATTCTCCTAATCAGTTATGTCAAAAAAACACACAAATCCTTTAACAGGAAAATGCAGCAGGGCAGTGTGGTGCATGCCTTTAATCCCAGCACTTGGGAAGCAGACACAGATGAATCTCTGTGAGTTCAAGGCCAACCTATTTACAGAGCGAGTTCCAGGGCAGACCTTTAAGGAACTACCATTATTTATTCAGTGATGGCCTTCTGAATAAACACGACCTTGTCCTTGTGGAGCAGAGATGCAGCCTAACAGAAGAGTGCTCCAGGCCCTGGGTCTGACTCCCAGCACCATTTGCAAAAAGGTAGGTGTTTTCTTTTTTCAAAATTAAGTAAATTCTACTCACCTGAAAGACACACTTGGCTACGTGTACAGACAAGGGTATGTGTAGTTACTGATGTGTGAGCGGAGACTGAGACAGGCGGATCATGAGTTCAGGGCGAGGCTGAGAAGTTCAGTGAGTCTTCAAGTGTTGGGATTCCAGGCACGAACCACCATGCCCAGCCAATTTTTGTTTGTCATGTAGCCCAGGCTGGCTTCAAACTTGCTATCTAGAAGATGTAACCCCTGATCCTTCTGTCTCCGCCTCCCAGTGACGGCATTACAAAAGTATTCGACCACCGTGTCCAGACAGGGTCAGTGATGCTTAACCTAACCAGAGTTTCTCAAACTGAAGGTGACATACAGACGAAGTTGGTGGTGAGACCACAAATGGATAGGGCCTAGCTAGGTCTCATCATGGTAAAAGACTCTAAAGCAGGGAGGTGAAGACCTCAGGCTATAAAGCACAGCGAAACAGCCTATCCCTCCACACTGCCTTGGAGTCTACATCTAATTATCTTACATGACTGAAAAATCCTAATTCTCTTCCATGCTCAGGACCCCAAGATGTCCTCAAGACTGAGAAGTCATTTTCTGTATCTTTGTCAGTTACTGTAGCCTCCATCATATTTACAGTGACCCAAATCTAATGCAGAAACGATCTTAGTGGAACAACACCTGCCTTTAGTTCCAGCACTTGAGAGGCAAAGGCAAGCTGCTCTCAGAGTTCTAGGCCAACTGGTCTACCTGGTGAGTTTCAGGATAGCCAGGACTACAAAATGAGGCCCTGTCTTTAAAAAAAAAAAAAAAAAAAAAGCTTTAATCCCAGCACTTGGGAGGCAGAGGCAGGTGGGTCTCTGTGAGTTTGAGACCAGTCTGGTCTACAAGAGCTAGTTCCAGGACAGCCTCCAAAGTCACAGAGAAACCTTGTCTCAACCTCCCCACTCCACAAAAAGAAAGAATTTTTGTATAAGACCCAAGCCTGTCTGTCTCTCAGTACTTTTTTTTTTTTTTTTGAGGCAGGCTCTCTATTAGTGTTGGCTCTCCTGAAACTTGCTACTTAGATGAAGCTAGAACTCAAACTCAAATATCTGCCTGCCTCTACCTCCTTAAGTGCTGGGACTAAAGGCGTGTGCCAGCATGCCCAGCTTTTAGTACATCCTTTTGAAATCAGGTTTGACTCTGGTGCTTTTCCATTATGTGTAGACTAAGACCCAAGGTGTGGCGCCTGGCCTGGGCCCATCCCAGCCTCATCCTTGCTTGCTCCCCACACACGTGCCTAGCACCGGCAGCCCTCGGCTCCATGCTTCTGCTCAGACATTCCTCTCTGCTTGGTCTGGGATTTTCTCTTGCCGCTCATGACCCTCACCCATGCTGGTCAGCGGACCTGCAGGAACACTCAGCCTGCCTTGCTTTCTGATTGCTTTAGGGAACCAGAAGGCAGTCACCGTCCGAGTAAGGATTACTTATTCTCCTGGCTGACTCCTTGCCATTGCTAAAGGCTAGCTCTGCTTGTCTCCCAGGGGACCTTCAAGTAGAGCTTTACAAGGACCCCAGTGCTCCTCCCTCTAGTCCCTTGGAGCCCACTGATAATAGACTGCTACTTCAGTGAGCTTTGGTCACTAGGGATTTCCGAAGCACTGTCTACACTTTGTAACCAGCCCTTTGATTAGATTTACCACGCAGTGTGACTGTTTTCTGTTTCCTTTTGTACTCATCAAAAACTTTTGGTTCTTCTAAGTCCCATGAACACGTGGGGATCTACTGGGTATAACATGTTGATACTGAGGGTTTTTCAAAAGCATGTCTTAGAGCTTTGTCTGGACTTACTAACCGTCTTACCTGTTCATGGACCTTGAGCCTTCCAGTGGATAGTAGAAAAGGGCGGTTGCAGTGAGGGCAGTCTCCATGGTGTTCGAGAGGGTTCGGGTACAGCAGTACCACGTGAACCAAGAGCACAGCTGGCAGAAAAACTAAGAATTCAGGAGTGAGTACAGCTGCAGTAGGAAATGGGAAGCTAAGTGCTGTTTCTTGCAGAAAGCATGAGCCCAGAAGCTACGTCAAAGGGGACATGTCTGAAAAGCAGACGCAGCCAAACGCTGTTCTTAAGCGGTGCCGCGGTGCCACACAGGGCCCTGACAGCAGATTTGCATTTCTTAATGCTCACCCGGTAGTGCTTCCGGGTGCTTTTTGATGGTTTGCATCTGACTTCACTCCTCCTTTCTGTTAATGAAATACCTGACACACAGACACGGATGGTGGAGGTCATAGGTACTGACACTCCTCGATAGATCAGCCAGCCAGTGCTCCCCCACCTACCTCACAGTGGCCAGACTTGAGCATCTGTTCATGTGGCTGTGGAAATGCTGCCGTATTTCTTCTTCCTCCTCCTCCTCTTCTGTGTGTGTGTGTGTGTGTATATATACGTGCATATATATGTATATAAATATATGTGTGTATATAACTTAAACACATGTACACACATATATGTATATAAATGTGTGTATATAGCTTAAACACATATGTACACACACATATGTATGTATATAAATATATGTGTGTATATAACTTAGATAAATACATATGTATATACACATATATATGTATATAAATATATGTATGTATATAACTTAGATAAACATGTACACACATATATGTATATAAATATATGTATATAGCTTAGATAAACACATATGTACACACATGTATATAAATATATGTATGTATATAACTTAGATAAATATATATATGTACATACACACACACACACACACACACATTTTAAGGGTAAGTATTTTGCTGTAGAGTCAAGGCTGACCAGGAAGTTGCTTTGAGCAAGTTAGTCTTGAACCAGCCAGCATTTGGCCCCCACATTTCTTTTATGGGTGGTGGCAGGGCTTCACCCTTCCAGAGTGTCCAAAGAGTAAGGAAAGAGATGAGGACTCTGACAGCTTAGAGGTCCAAGCGCTTCCATAGCTGACTTCTGGGATTCAGCCTGTCCCATGTGGGGCTCAGTCAGGAGATGGCATGTGCCAGATTTTACTGTTTTTAATTATGCGAGAATTTCCAGGGGGTTTGATGGGCCAGCTGGTTTAGGAACCATGTACCCACACATCCTCTGCATGGAATGGTGTCTAAAGAGTTTGGACTTACCACCCATCGCGCCACCTCCTGCTTTCCCACTTGCTTCATGAGCGAGTAAAGTCTTACGTCAGCTACAGCAGAGAGAAGAGCTTGGGCCAGTCTGGGAATCCAGATCTTTAGTAGTTAAAAAGAAAAAGGGCTGTTAAGCACATCGTCCCAGTTCATAGTGATCTGCCATAAAACTAAAGACCTCACCATCAGCAGACAGCCAGCTTTCCATCTCCATGTTCACCCATATACTTGTTGCTGCCTCTTGCTTGCTGGATAGCCCAGCTGGCTTTGTCTTTGCTTTCCTGCCTTAGCACCCCCAAGTGTTGGGATTTACAAGTGTGAAGCAACAAACCCCACTTACCCATTTTTATATTTATGTATATCTTACAACACTGATTATCTTTTGTAATAGTTGGTATTGAACCTAGGGCCACATGCATATAGTAGGTTTTGTTTTTAAGTCAAGCATTTACAGTACTGTGTGCTGGGTATCATAGCAAGTATTTTTTTGCATGTATCAACTCGTGCCATACAACAATCGGCTGAGGCAGGAATGTCTAATACATGAAGAGACCAAAGCACAGGGAGGTTAGGTGATGTGCCTAAGACGCTAGAGCTAGTTAGCACCGATACTGGGATTCAGACCAAGGTAGGTGTGACACCACAGCCTGTGCTCTTATCAACAGAAGTTTTTAAATCCAGGGCTGGAGAGATGACTAGTGGTTAAGAGTACTTGCTGCTTTCAGAGGACGCAGGTTCAGTTCCCAGCACCCAGGTCAGGCAGCTCCCGGCTGCTTCCAGCTCCAGAACATCTGAACCTTTCTTCTGGCCTCCAGCACCAACATTCTTTTGTGTGTGCCAAGCACAGTGAAGAGTGAGTGGGGTTTTGCAGGGTGGAGCACAACCCAGGGATAATCTTGTGTCTACCTCCTCAGAGCTGAGGTCACAGGTATTTGCTGGGACACTTAGCTTCTGTCATGGGTACTGGGACCTGAACTCTGGTCTTCGTGATTGTGGAGCAAGGACTCTTAACCTTGAGCTAACTCTCCAGCCACTCACTTAATTTGTCTTTTTACATAAATTTTTATTTTATGTTTAAATATGTTGAAGAGTTCTACACCACAGTGTCTTTGGTACAGTGGGCTTTCCAGATAAGGCTGGACTTTAGCAACAAAAGCCTTTCAGAAATGAATTTTGTGATACGAGGACAATCATTCAGTTATTACCAGTGAAGTTTTGAAAAAGGAATACACCTGGATTTAACAATTTTGGTCGCTTTAAACTTACCAGTAATTGAACACTGTCTTTTCCCAAAAGATGCAGAATCTTGTAAATGCTTGCAAAGATGAGGGGGTAAGTGTAACCCCTCAGCCTCTCGGTCCATTCCCAGGTTAGATAGCCATATTTACTAATATCAAGGACCAAGAGTCAGTTAATACCGAAACAAATTAATTTATACTTCCATATATAAAGCAATATTTTCTTTTTTGACAATGAAGATTTAAAACAGTTTTTTTTTTTGTTTTGGTGATAGTAGGAATTCAGTCTCCAGCCTTGGATACGCTAGGCAAGTAATGTACCACTAAACTGCACCCTAATCCTTAAAACATGGGGTTTTATATTGAATATTGAATAGTTAGTCAACTAAAGCCTTAATTTTGTCAAGTTAGAAATGAGCATAGTGGCTCATGCCTTTAATCTCAGCACTCAGGAGGCAGAGGCAGGAGGATCACTGTGAGTTTGAGGCCAGCCTGTTCTACAGAGTGAGTTCCAGGACAGCCAGGGCTACACAGAGAAACTGTCTCCAAAAACAAAAAGCAAAGCCAGGCATGGTGGCATACATCTTCAATCCCAGCGCTCGGGAAGCAGAGGCAGCCCAATCTCTGTGAGTTAGAGGCCAGCCTGGTCTACAAGAGCTAGTTCCAGGACAGCCTCCAAAGCCACAGAGAAACCCTGTCTCGGAAAAAAAAAAAAAAAGAAGAAAAGAAACCATAAAGGATATCTGAAAACCATGTGGTGTGCAACTTCAAGAGACTGCCAGTACTCATCAGGAACAAAACTTGTCTGGACTAAGAAGCAGTTAAATATTCGCAGAGCAATGGTAAATAAGACCAGGTAAATGTTCTCTCCAAGAAGATCTGAAAAGCAAATCAAAGCAGTGATTGTGGCATTAAAGTCAGGCTCCTCTCTCAAGTGTACACCTGTGATGTCCCCAGTGCTGTCTCCTGCTGTTAAGGCCCTCATACCTCTCCACAAATGTCATCTAGCTTAGGGTGGGACTCTTGCCTGCTCGAGGTCCAGAGTGTGTTCCCTAGCAATGTATGGGAACACAAATACCTCCCACCACCAAAAAAAAAAAAAAAAAAGACACAAACCTCACGAAGGGATACCACACACACACACACACACACACACACACACACACACACACACACACACACACACACACAGACACACTGGTGATTTCCCCCCCCACACACACACCATGTTAACCACTGGTGATTCCTTTCCAAACCTCTGTTTTACATGCGAGGAAGCTAATGATCAGAAACTAAACTGCTTTGCCCAAAATGAAAACGCTGGCCCGACAGTGGTGGCAAATGCATTCAATTCCTGCACTCGGGAAGCAGAGGCAGGAGGATCTCTGTGAGTTCGAGGCCAGCCTGGTCTACTTAGTGAGAGCCAGGACAACCAGGACTGTTACAGAGAAACCCTGTCTTGAAAAATCAAACAAACACACAAACAAAAAATGCTGTTACTGACTAGGTAGTATTCAAACCCAGGCAGGCTGGCCAGCCACCTCCAAAGTTTGCTCTTTCCACGTGGGCAGGCAGCCTGCATGCTGACTACTACTTTCTGGGGCAGGGGATCAGATTTTATGTTAGAAATCTGTTATGCCATGTATGATGGTGTCATCACCACAAGGCAATGGGGAGACTGAGGCAGGAGAATTGCGGTAAGTTCTAGCACAGTCCAGATCACACAGCAAAGACACTATCCAGGGAGCTTCCGCTCGTTTCCACCGCGGTGCTCAGCCGCCAAGCTGCAGGTGCCGAGAACCGTGCATTCTGCGAAGCACCCCGCACTCACCACGACGCCGAGAGCGCTTCTCCTGCGTGCTCGCGTATAGCGTGGACTTCCTCTTCCGCAACTTCATCTCTCCGGAGCGGCTGTGGAGACTGCGTGAGGCCGGGCCATGGTCGCTGGCCTCGGCCTCCATCCCCTCCCAGCCACCTGCAGCCAGCGCGGAACTTATCTCTTACCTCCTTGCAGGCGGGTGCGCACCACTAAAATTGGGCCCTGCGAGCCGCCGTCGTGGGGCGGCCCCAGCACAGCCACAGCCGGAAACGCGGCCGGAAGCGGCTGAGTCTCTAGGTAGTGCGGGACCTCACCTCTCTTACTGGATTTCGGTCCTGGAAAAGACTAAAGTAAAGACCGGACGTTTTACTGCTCCCGGCACCTCGCCGGCCCGCCGAGGAGGCGCGTGGAGGTAACAGCGGAGGGAGGCAGTGAAGTGCTGAGATCCTGCTCCCGGGCGACCGCGGCGCACTCCCCACACGCCGTGCCCTTGCGTGGCAACGGTTTCTTCAGGGGCTTACAGTGACAGGAGAGAGACACGCCAGCGATTTGGTTCTTTTATTAAAGTTTTTTTTTTTTATGATTTACAGTGTGCTGCCTGCATGTCTGCCTGCACACCAGAAGAGGGCACCAGATCTCATCATAGAGTGGTTGCTGAGAGTTGAACTCAGGACCTCTGGAAGAGCAGCCAGTGCTCTTAACCTCTGAGCCCCATGTCAGTGAATTTTAATTATTAATCTGTTTTCCGACACCCAGGGGATTTCTCTATTCCGAATTATATACTTTCTCAATTTATTTAATTTATTTTTCTTGAGTTGATCTCACCATGTAGATTAGTAACAAAACAAAAATCTTCCTACCGGTGCCTCATGAGTGCTGGGGTTTAATGCGTGCAGCACACTCGGCCTCGTCTATTTATGTGTGTGCCTGGGAATCGCTATGTAACCAGGCTGGCCTCAGACTCACAATACCCTCATGAGAATTGGGATCAAAGTGAGCCCAGCAATCAATCATTTAAAAAAGTAGTTGGTGGGAGCTGGAGAAATGGCTCCATGGTTAAAAGCACTTGCAGAATTCCCTGGTTTGAATCCCAGTGACCACACACTGACTCCGGGCCTCCCCAGGCATGCATGCCGTTGCAGATACATACACGAAAATGAATACTCAAGCACACAAAATAAAAATAAATCTTTTAAAAATATGTTGATAGGAACATCGAGTAGATGAGTTACAGTAAGTGGAGCTGTCTGTGCTTCAGGCTGCAGATGCCCTCTGCTTACTTCTTAGTTTTTTGGTTGGCAGAAGTGGCAGGGGGTTGTTATTGCATCTCAGGATTTTACCTGATAGTTATAAAAGATATTTGGTCATGCCAGGTGGTGGTGGCTCACGCCTTCAATCCCAGCACTCGGGAGGCAGAGATAGGTGGATCTCTGTGAGTTCAAGACCAGCCTGGTCTACAAGAGCTAGTTCCTCCTCCAAAGCCACAGAGGAACCCTAACAAACAAATAAATGTTTGGTCACTTACAGATGGCTAAAGGGGGTTAAAGATAGCTCAAGGTAATTTGGCTTGGGGCCTGCAACACCATGGTTCCACGTAGACACTGAAGCCCTAATTATTCAACTTGTCTTTTAGAGTGTTTAACGAAACTGGTTTTTTGTTTTTTGGGGTTTTTTTTTGTCCTGGAAACTAAAGTTCATGAAACCCTTTGTTTTGTTTTTGTTTCTTTTCTTTTTTTTGTTTTTTGTTTTTTTTTTTAGTTAGTTTGTTTGTTTTTTTCAAGATAGTGTTTCTCTGTGTAGCTTTGGAGCATGTCCTGGAACTCACTATGTAGACCATGCAGGCCTCAAACTCTCAGAGATCCTCATGTCTCTGCCCTGAGTACTGGGATTAAAGTTGTGAGCCACCACCGCCTGGCAAACCCACTGTTCAATTGCAACCTTTAAAAAGGTGGGGGGAGGGCTGCTGAACAAACTGAGATTCAGAAGACTCAGTTTTAACAACAACAAAAACAACCAAAAACCACTACATGAGAAACAGTTTCAGATGGCCTCTGGCTTTTGTACCTTTTTTTTTTTTTTTTTTTAATTCTTTGCATTTGAACCAAAGCAAGATTGGTAAAATTGTCATTTGTGTGGTCAGCTGTATGATCTAGGAGAAACATGCCTTCCTTTCCCTGGTGTGCTTACTTTGCATTTGAGAGCTATTACAGTACAGTTAGCTGCTGCTGACTTTTGTGACTTGGAGCCTGCATTAGGAATCCATGCCACAGTCCAGAAAGTGTGTGGCTCCTTCACTCTGCTTCTCTCATTCACTAACATCTTACCAAGGTGATTAACAATCAGCACTATCTTCTAGAAGGTGCTATGTCCATTTATGAGTTTCCATTATTTTCAGTTGTTAGAACTAGAAGCAAAAATCTCTATTTTCCCAAAAAAAGGCACGCAAATGATTTGCATTTGCTATCTCCAAAAGTATAAAAAGGAACTTAACAAAGTTTTGTTGTTTTGTTTTGCTTTGCTTTTTTGACATACGGTCCTTCTATGTAGCCTTGGCTGGCTTAGAACTCACTATGTAGACCAGGCTGGCCTCAAACTCACAGATCTCTGCCCACCCCCACCCCCAACCCCATAGTGCTGGGATTAAAGGCCTGGCTCAGTAAAGTTTTACAGCCTCTTAAAATGGTTTTTGTCATGAAGCTTGCTAAAAAGTATGTTCTTTAGACAAGTTTTAAACTGAGATGATCACATTGGACTTCCCTTCAGGTATCTTTTGGAGTGAAAAGTGGTGTATGACTTTGTTTAGGCACACTGAGGGGACTAACATGGCTGTTAGTGGCATAAGCCTGTCATCCTAGCACTTGGGAGCTGAAGGGAGGATTGTAATCTCTTGAGCAGCTGCCTATCTCAAAGAACCATATTTAGCTTTGTCTCACATCACCCTCTGACCTTCGTTCCCTGTAGCTTCCTTTTTAAGGTTTTTGTTGATTTGTTTGTTTGTTTGAGACCTGTTATGGTATCCAGACTGGCCTCAAACTGGCAATGTATCTAAAGGGTAACCTTGAGCTCCCTATCCTCTTGGCTGCACCTGAGTTCTGGGAATATGGGAATGAACTACAATGCCTGGAGGAAATGCAAATTTTAATATAAAATATGATTTTAACTATTAGCAACTAAATTGCAATTTTAGAAAATATTCCATAGTGAGTCAATATGCTGTCCTGCAAACCTGTATGTATTTGTATTTATTGCTTAGTGATTCTTTTTTGTTTGGTTTTGTTTTTTTCAAGATCGGGTTTCACTGTTTGTCTGTCTAGGAACTTACTCTATAGACCAGGCTAGCCTCGAACTCAGAGATCCACCTGCCTCTGCCTCCCAAGTGTTGGGATTTAGTGATTCTTAAACATTACAAAAACATTCACAGCACAGTAAAGTAGTAATAAGTCTTGTAAAGGGCAGTTGCGGTGCTGGAGACATGGCCCAGGTTAAGAGTGATACTGGTCTTCTGAAGGACTGCAGTTCAGTTCCCTGCACCTGTGTAGACAGCTTACAACCGCTTGTAACTTCCACGCCAGGGACTCTGACACTGTCTGGCCCCTGAAGGCACTTTTTTTTTTTTTTTTTTTTTTTTTTTTTTTGGTTTTTCAAGACAGGGTTTCTCTGTATTGTTTTGGAGGCTATCCTGGAACTAGCTCTGTAGACCAGGCTGGTCTCGAACTCACAAAGATCCACCTGCCTCTGCCTCCCGAGTGCTGGGATTAAAGGTGTGCGCCACCAACGCCCGGCTCTGAAGGCACTTTTTAAAAAAGGCTCCTGTGCTAAGTGGTCCCTTCTTTGTCCCCTTTTCTCTGGAAACAGATCTGAAGAGATTTGCTGCCCGTGGAGCGTAGCCGCCCTCAGATTGTGCACTACTTGTTGCAGCGATGCTCGGGAGACTGACTCTTCCACAACTGCTTTTTGCTACCGTCCTTGGGATTGCTGGAGGAGTGTATATTTATCAGCCAATATTTGAACAATATTCCAGAGACCAGAAGGAATTAAAAGAAAAGGTGAAATTGTTGCAAGAGTCAGAAGAAAAGAGGAACTAATTCTGCGTGGAGTGAAAACGTAGGCATTGCTTACCATTTGGTCTGTTGAAATTGCACATGGACTATTACTCAAGTGAACATTAGGTACATTTTAAATAAACAAATCATGGGCTAGTTACTATTTATTTACTTATTTGTTTGTTCCTTTATTTGTTTATTTGGTTTTGGAGACAGGATTTCTCTGTATTGTTTGGAGGCTGTCCTGGAGCTCACTCTGTAAACCAGGCTGGCTTCGGGCTCAGAGATTCACTTGCCTCTGCCTCCCAAGTGCTGGGATTAGCGGTATGAGCGACCACTGCCAGGCAATGTATGTTATTTATGACATTAATTCTTTGTTAGTTTGTTTCAGGGCAAGAGCTCACTATGTAACACAGACTGGCCTCATACTCTAAGCAGTACCGCCTCAGCTTTCCAAATGCCTGGCTTGTACGGTGCTGACATTTGTTTTCTGGATAGGATCTGTCTGTGTAGCTCTGGCTGGCCTCACATGCAGTCCTGCCACAGGTGCTAGGATTATGAAGCATCACCACATCTAACTAAAATAATGCTTCATTTAAAAATATTTCTTTTTAGTTATATAGTTATGTGTGCTTCATGTGGGTTATGCACACATGAGTGCAAGTGCCTCTGGAGGCCAAGGTTGTTGAATATCCAGAGCTGGAATTACAGATGGTTGTGATCCTGGGTCCTGGGAACTTAATCTCAGTCCTATGTAGGAACGAATGTGCTCTTAACTGCTGAGCCATTTCTGCAGCCCCAAGATGTTTCACTTTAATGTTCGCTTATTTATTGGCTTTTTAATATTGTATCAGGACAGGGCAGCATTTCCTATTGCATAAATTAATTTAGTCAGTATGCTTAATTGTTTAGTGTGTACTTTTAAGATTCCCCTTTTCTAGGGCTGGAGAGATGGCTCAGCAGTTAAGAACACTGGCTGCTCTTCCAGAGGTCCTGAGTTCAATTCCCAGCACCGAGTTGGTGGCTCACAACCATCTATTAACTGTAGTCCCATGGGTCATGAGCTCTTCTGGTGTGCAGATAGATATAAATGCAGACAAAACATTCATATACATCTTTTTAAAAAGATTTCTTTATTTACTGTTTAGTGTTCTGCCTGCATGTATGCCTGCAGGCCAGAAGAGGGTTGTGAGCAGCCATGTGGTTGCTGGGAATTGAACTCAAAACCTCTGGAAGAGCACCTAGTGCTCTTAACTGTTGAGCCATCTCTCAAGGCCCCATAAATGTTGTGCCCAAGTTGCAAAGATCCCCAGAGACCACCAGGAAGACAGACCCACTAAACTGCAAAAGCAAGGTTTTAATTGTATTGATTATTCATCCGACCATGACAGGGACCCCATCTAGCAAGCTGACACAGGAGCCTCCAGAGGCACTGTAGTTCCCTGTCTGCTGCTAGGTTTTAAAGACACAAGTTACAGGATTACATCAGTAGGTACCGGTTGGTTTCTGATTGGCTGACATTTGGGAACAATTAGGAGAATTTCTCAGTCATATTTTGGCATGAAATACCTGCTTACCAATTATTTTTATTGGTCAATGCTGAGAGGGAACATTCTTGTTATTTGCAGGTGGCCTGTTGTACATAGATACCAATAGTTTTCAGAACTATATCCTGGAGACTACAGGGGAGGTTTTTGGTCCCCCCTGGAGTTTCTTTTGTGGCTAGTTCCCAGGAGCCAAGCATCTAGGAGGCTAGGTGGGTGGTGGTGGGGGGTCTTGAGTTCTTTATGTTCAGTTTTGGCTCTAGGCTCTTGGAGGCCAGAGGATATGGAGTTTCCTTGTGTCAGAGGCCTACGTGTCTTTTCTGAAGCCTGTCATGGTTACTAAAGCAGGGGGCTGAGTGAGGGTCTGGTCCCTTTATTTCTAACTTAATAGAAGTGAAGCTTTTGAGTTTAGTTTACCCCTTTCATTCCCTCCTCTTCTTATAGGTAACTCAATCCTGGGTTACTAGTGGGCAATTTTTATCTTGTGCCCTATGTAAGGGAGTTTTCTTTTTGTCTTAGCATTTCAACCAGGGAAAAGGGATGACATATTCTTTCCTGTGCTACTTCCTGCTGACTTTGGGGTGTCCTAGTCAGGTGCCAAAGCAGGGTGAAATGCTAGTCAAAAGCAAAGAGGGAATTTAGGCAGTGGAGTATTTATCAGAAGCATCTTGTTGGCAGACTCTGTTGAAGAGACTGAGAGTGTTCACATTGGCTGGACTTGTTTACATTCCCATTAATTTCAGAGCTCATAGTCTTTAGGAGCAGCCTGTAGTCAGCAACTGATGCTCGGATGCGTCTTCAGAAGTAGAAACCAGAAGTGGAAACCTGTTTGAGACATGTTTAAACTGGGAACAGAAGTTAAAACTTATATACTTAATTAGAACTCTTAGGTCCATAGTTTTAGTTATCAGGAAGGGCAGGAGTCCCAAGACAAGGGGAGATAATCCCATCCTCAGGAACAGACAGGTGGGCTAGCAAAAGCTATACTTATCTGGAGTCTTTTTGACCTGTGAGAAGTGGATCCAAGCTTTATGACTTTTGATCCTCTGAAGCCTATATGGACTTTATTATACAAAAGGACATAAAAGTTGTAGACATATTAGTATTATTAATCTGTACCAAAATCTGCATTGTAGAAGAAGCAGATATCAGGTACCTGTAAAACAGCAGGAACAGGCTCATACCTTTGAGTACTAGCAAAAACTACAGGTTTGAGTTAAAAGCTTATACATTTTTCTTCTGTCCAGAGAGTCAGGTATAGATTGGACAGAGGTGCCTTTGGCCTGATGAAAAGCCCTTTAAGTTTATATTTAGATGACAACCAAAATAAATCTGAAAACCTTGAGCTTGTGACTGAACAGCAGGTAGTCACTGTTTTATCAGCTTGTCAGAACTTTATTAAATGAGCTATTAAGCTGGCTACAGTTTGACCATTAATACTATCAGAGATCTGAGAAGGATAAATTTTATACAGTTCCTAAATCTATTAAAAATGAGAAGGTCCAGTCCATATACAGTTAGTCATACCCAAGTCTCCATTAGCAGGCAGAAGCATCAAAGAACAGCATCAGTCTTTGCCAGGCCTATAAGGTGAGAGTTTTCTTTCTCTCTGTGGAAGAGGGACATGGAAAAGACTGACCTTATTTTGTCTAGGCAAAAGGGATGCAATCAGTTTTCCAATGTCCTGTTGCTTGTCCACAGTCTGGGCCAGGTCCTGGTAGCAGGTGTGCATTGGGGCATCCTGCCCCCTAGTCAGCATTGTGTAGATGTCGAGGTGTCCTATAATCTTTGGAGACTTTGGGTCACTGTCAGGATCTGGAATTCTCTGTCTGATATTATAAGCTTTTTTAGTTAACATTTTAAATGTCATATTTTACAGCTCTCTGGAAGCATTTAAGAGTGTTGTCTAGGTAAATCTAGATATATGACTTTGTTTTCAGTTATTTGTTTTAAGCTTAACCTTTGAAAATATATATAGGGGACTGAGTAAGGTTTATCCCTTTATAAAATTTTTCTGTAGTTATTATGGCTACAATGGCATTAATGCAGGATCTGTCTAGAGAACTGGATTTAAACTGAGAGACTGTGGAGGGATGTTTTACTCAGAGCCCTCCAGTCTGATTGTAACTTGTTTTACCTTAGCAAACGGACAGGACATTTAAAGATACAGGGTAGACTTAAAACTCTCAGTGACAAGAATGTAGATCTGCTGCAGATGGAACAGGCAGGATTTTTTTCTGTAATGTGTGCCCTACCAGGCCCTGAAAAGGCATGACATTCTGCAAACAAGCCATGTATAACAGAGCCAGTATAAGAAGAAAACGGTTAGTGACCAAAATAAAAGGCAAAAAGGTAAATGAATTATGTCCAGTAGCAGAGTTTGTTGGCAGAAGCTGACTAGATTGTCCCTCTGTCTATGCTGTGGGAAGGGGGTAATTTATAGAGTATAAACATAAAAAATACCTTTTATGTCCTTAAAACCATTATCATCTGGGTGATTGTTAAATTACAAAGTTTACATAATTTTTAGAATTGAAAACCCTAATTAACAAAGTAGATTTTATTGCTTCTTAAAAGGGGGAAGGCACAAGTCAGAAATAGGAATCTCTTGTTCTTTTGACTGAGGTACACTCCCGACCCCATATCTCTTGTCAGTGATTGGCCATGTATGAAGGACTGGTAAAATGTACTTTTTTTTTTTCCTGGTACAAGTTATGTGAAAAAGTTTAAGCAAGCACATGTCTGATAGAGAACCTGTATAAAACTCAACAGTGACATCAACAAATGATCCAAGTAGAAAATGGGCAAATTCCATGAACAGACATTTTATTACTAAGGACATACAGATGGCAACATCATATTAACCCATTAAAACCTGTACCGTGGCCATTCTGCCTGAGTTGGCTGCTAGCTGCCCAAGGTGAGGCACAGTGCAGAAAGACTGTAGGCATCAGGGGTGTACTGACCTGCAGCCAGCAGCTGGGGTGATCATCTTTTATTGGAGCTGCTGTGTGCAGCCACCACAAAGGACTATTAACCCATATAATTTTTTTCTTGTGGGAGTAAAAGCACAATATTTTTCCAAATATAATGTATCTTGGACTTTTATTTTAAAGTCAAAGCTTTTAAAGTATACAGACCGGCATAATTAGGAAGGAGGGGAGGGTGAGCAGTGCTGGTGAGCACAGAGTGTCCTTGGCTGCCAGTGTAAAAAGTTTTCCCCCACATTTTTAGTCGTAATCCCAGATTCTCTGTTTCATGTCCTTTCAGTGGGTCAGGCAGGAATCTAGAGAGGAGGAGGGTGTCTGTCCCGTGTTAGGTTGCATCCCAGTCAGGTCCGTGCTGTCAGTACCGTCAAGACAGACAAACACAGCACTTAAGCAAAAGAAAGGGGCCCATCTCAAAGACTTGCAAGTTTCAGATTCATAGTCGGGAGGCAAACTCCCCAGCAGCTACTCGGATTCAGATGGTGCATTAATTAGCCGGATTTTTACCCAAATTTAGATTCAGATGGCCAAATTCCTGCCCAGACAAGAAACCAAGAAGGTGAGGCATCTCTCAGCTCCTCCAGATCTCACCTTATAGCATGTCTGCCAAGGTCTTCTTGATGTGTTTCTTACAGTCTCAGACTGTCTGCCAGTGAACCAAAAACAGAGGAATAAAAAATCACAAAAAGGTAAAATCGCATACCTGTCACAGAACTCAGGACACGGGATTTTCCTTGATTTGGTGGTGGTTTGTTTGGTTTTTGAGACAGGGTGTCTTTGTAGTTCTGAAGCCTGTTCTGGAACTAACTCTGTAGACCAGGCTGGCCTCGTCTCACAGAGATCTGCCTTCCAAGTGCTAATTTGGAGATATTTTTATGTGTTCAAAGACTTATTTTGTAGAGATGGTCCCAATGTGCTGCCCAAGCTGGCTTTAGACCCTTCAATCAAGTGATATTCCTGCCTGAGTCCCTCTCTTACATACCCACCCCCAGTGGCTGGGATGCAGGCACCTTCCACTCTGTCTAGCTACCAGTGACATCCTTTACTTTCCTTATTGAGACCCTTACTGGATGTTGCTGGAGTTTCCTAGGTAAGCATCTGTCTTACAAGTAAGTTGTGGCCTGGTCCATTGTTGCACCTATGTGCCTAAATTGCCTTACTCATTGAAAGCACCCTCAGGTGATGAATCGTCACAGTATCATCTGTCTAAACTCCAAGTCGTGGCTCCTTGGCTGCTGAAGTGGAGAATGCTGAAGGTGGATATTCCACCCGGATGATACCAGCCATCAGCAGTCACTGTGTTGTTCCGTTATATAGTTCACATACTGTTTGTCCCCCCAAAGGTCCCCAGTGTGATGGTATTGAAAAATAGTAGCTCCTTAAGAGCTAGTTCCCGAAAGAAGATGATTACCTGGCTTCCCTTGGGTTGCTTGTTCAAATAAAGCCTGTCTGAAGGTCAGAGAATGGAGCTTGCCACTAGCTAACCATAGAGGTCTGGAGGGATTTCTGTTCACACCAGATGAGAGGAAAGGGTAGAAAGATTCCATTCTGTTCAGGTCCAGCTTGGTGAGGCAGTGAGTTTATTGGGGCTACTTACAGAAGCATGGGTGGCTCCAGGAGCTGCCATCAGCAGAAGGCTCCTTAGACAGATGTGAGAAACTGACTGCACTGTGAGGCAGTCCCGGCAGACTGGAGGGTCACTGGTCGGCAGCTGGAGTTTGTAGTGGAGACCTGCATGGACAGAAGCTGAACTCAGGCTTGCCAACTTTTTCCTTGTCTTGCATGTGGAGTTCTGAAAGCACAAGGGGGCAGACTCAAAGGCCAGTGTTGAGAGCTCTGAGCCACCTTTGGATGGGTTTGGCTAATAATCTAATCCCCGGGTCAAGATCCAAACTGCTCAAAGAAAACCCTGGGCATCTCGAAGAGGCCACTGGGAGGCAGCAGAGGTTCATAGGATGCTCCTGACCCTGCCGGTCTTAGTATATTATGGCACCCCATAATTTCCCTCTTAACTGTGTGCTAACTGGCTTAACAGTTTTAGGAATCCAGGCCGACTGTAATCAGAATTAGACTGTGTTCACTTAGACTCTGCTGGCCATTGCCTCTCAGAATGGTGTTAATTTTTTTTTTTTCCTGCCTAAATCTTACTTTATGTTTCTCGCTGTCACATCCAGGAACCCTGGCAGGCTATGCCCAGTCTGTCCCCAGCGAGGATGCACAGCCAGGAAAAGGCTTCGGAGTCACCAGGGCACGCCTTGCCTCCCCCGGATCCCCCAGCAGTTTGACCTTTTCATGAATGGCACTTTGGGTCTCAAAACGAAAACCACTCCCTATGGTTCCCGCACCTTATTCAACAGGACAAGAAGACCAGTTTCGGGCCAGGCGAGGGGAGAGGTCTTTTCTTTGACTGGGGGGCCTGTGGGCAGGTGATAGGAGGCGGAGGTGGAGGCGCGCAGGGCCCGCCCCCACCGCTCTCTCCTACACGGGAAGTGATGTGGGGCCGGATGGAAAAAACCGCCAAGCACCCAAAAAAGGTCAGTCGCTTGGGGTCGCAAGCTCCGTTTGGAAGGGAGTCGGAAGAGATTGACCACCCCGGGGACGCAACACCTTGAGGACCTAGCATTGCAGGAACGCAACACGCGGGGACGGCACAGAGACAGCACCAAACCGGGTGAGCGCAGTGCGTCTTGAGCGCTGCAGGTTGAGGGCGATCGACCAGGGGACAATAAATAAATCTTTGGACGAGATGCTGGGCCCGTTAAGCTATAGGGGTTAGGGTCCAAGGTTAACCCAAGTGAAAGCTAGGTGCCAGAGTCCCCATAAGGAGGTGAGAGTAAGGTAAACTCCACCTCCCTCCTCTTTCCTTACTTGGATTTTCACTTTAAAGTCTTTAGAGCCCCGCTGCTTGCAGGCGACATTCAGAGAACCCAGCCGGTCAGCCAGGTCTTAGAGTCACCCTACTGGGAGGTAAAATTGATACTTTATACGATGACACATTTTGGTCCCTTTGCCAAAGCCGGGTCTCTGGTCCAGTAGCCGGGTACCGATTTAGAAATCTAAGTCTGAAGAGTAGGAGATCTTGAGCCGCCTCAGCAGCCCCCTGGCCTTTGCACCCTGCGGTTCCCTGGCGTGTTCTCCACTGGCTTCTCTTACAAGCCCGAGGGCTAACAGCTGTTCTCAGTTAGTTGTTGAGCCCAGCTGCGTGAGTGAGGCAGGAGACATTTTAATCATTTCTTTAAAGCTTTCTGGGGAGTGAAAACAGCACGGGAAAGGTAATCCTGACATCTGGGAGATGGACAGAGAAAGATTCAGGGTTCAAGGTCAGCCTTTGCTACATAGACACCTTGAAGCCTGTCTCCAAAAAATAAATAGCACCAGCAAAGAGAAAGGAAGCAAGGAAGGAAAGAAAGAAAGAAAGCATACAGTGATGCTGTGCACACCTGAATGAGGATTGCTTTCTGTATTTTCCCTTGTCTCCCTCCCTCTCCTCACCCCATTCCCTGCTTCCTTTCCATAGCCTGTCATAATAATTTGTGTTTATTATATATTCATATTACATATAAGATATATCACATTAACATATTAAATATATTTCTACTATAGTAATGGTAATTATATTAGATTAAATATAATATTAAATATATTAATTAAATTTAATTTTTGGTTTTGAGATGGGGGTCTCACTGTGTAGCTCTGGATGGACTGGAATACACTAGTAGGCCAGGCTGATCTTGAACTCACAGAGAGCTGCCTGCTTCTGTCTCCTGAGTCCTAGGAGCAAAGGCCTGGTCACCTTACTTTTGTTGAGCTGTGTTTCTCACTGAACCTGGAGCTCCTTGTCTGGACTGGTTGACCAGAAAGTTTCAGGGATCCTCTTCTCCAAGCCTTAGGATCACATACCTGCACCTTCACACCCCAGTGTGATTTGGGGGACCCCAAAGCAGACCTTTCTGCTTACACAGAAAGGAATCTGCCCACTGAGCCGTCTCCCCAGCCATTGCTTTGGTTTTGGTTTACTGAGACAAGGTCTCACTCTCATACCCAGGCTGGCCTTGAGCTGGTGACAATCCCACTTCAGCCTGGAAGTGCTGGCATTATTACAGCCGTGTGCCAGCATGCCCAGCAAATTGTTGGTCTGTTTGAGGTCATGAAGTTTGTGCTGATGATTTTTTTGTACACTTAGAATTATTATTGTATTGGCTGCTCCATTTCATTTTTTGATTAATTTTAAGTTAATAATGTGTGTGGTGTGGGGCAGGGCATCCAACTTTATCTCCTCAAATGTGGATATTGGATATTCACTTTTTCAAGCAGTGTTTGTTGACAAGACTCGAAAATACATCAAATATAAATGTGGAGTTTGTGTCTGGATTTGTAGACTTCTACATACCACATGCCTGTTGTTACAGTGGTGGCACCCTGTCTGGATTATTGAAGCCAAGGAGTTTTGAGATCAGGGCATGCCAGGACTCTAGCTTTACCCTTCTTTCTTACTGTTGCTCTTGGCTGTGCAGACTACCTTGTATCTCTGTGTGGAATTTAAGACCAGCTTCTCAATTCTGTCGCCTTGGCTTTAGAGCAAATGTAGACAGCAGTTTTTGGGAAGCAGACTTTTCACTTCCTTTCCTGATACCTGCCTTCCTTTTGCCTTCCCCATCTTAGTGGATAGACACTTCACTCTTGTAGAAGCTTGCACTAAACACCCTGGGATCACCCTCAGGTTTCTTCATCATTTCATGTCCCTTGCCCAACCTGAGCAAAAGTTATTGAGTTTACCTTAGTGTAACTAAATATTTTTGGTTTACAAAATTTTGAAGAGGATAGAGAAATGGCTCAGCAGTTTAGAGCACATACTGCTCTTCCTGAGGACCCAAGTTTGATTCCCAGCACCCATGTCAGGCAATTCACAACTACTTCTAACCCCAACTTCACAGAATCCAATGCCCCCTTCTGGTCTCTGCCAGTATTACACTCAAGTGCACAAATTAAACACACACACACACACACACACACACACACACACACACGTAATTAAAAATAAGTAAACTTCCCAGCACTTGGGAGGCAGAGGCCGGCGGATCTCTGTGAGTTTGAGGCCAGCCTGGTCTACAAGAGCTAGTTCCAGGACAGCCTCCAAAGCCACAGAGAAACCCCCTGTCTCAAAAAAAACAAAAACAAAAACAAAAAAACAAAAGTAAACTTCGTAATAGTTATGTTTACTGAACCAGATGGTCTAGTGCCTAAGAGTCTTGCTGCTTTTGCAGAGGACTCAGGTTCAGTTCCCAGCACCCACATGCGGCTCATTAATGGTCAGAACTTCCAGTTCCAGAGACCTGATGCCATCTTCTGGCCTCCACAAGCCCTGCACTCATGTGCTGCATGTACATACATGTATATGAACCAGTGCAATATGGAAACAAATATTTTTATTTACAGGAGAAAGCACTTACACACCAAGCTGGGAGATCAGAAGCGTGGCAGGCTTCCAAGAGAGAGAGGTTTTTTTCTTTTACTTTCCTTAAATATCTCACCTGTGTTCATACTCCTTTGGACAATATTATGGGTTCACCCCTACGTATACATGCAGGCAAAACACATACATATGAAATAAAAATAAATAAATCTTTAAAAATATTACATTTATTTAACATTTGTGTATGATACGATATTATGAAGGTCAGAGAACAACTTGTAGAAGTCGGCTCTCTTCTTCCACCATTTGGGTCCTAGGGATTTAACTCAGTTTGTACAGCTTGGAGTTGACTGCAGAGCTGCCTTGCCTACAGCTGTTTTAGGGGTGTATGTAGTTGAAACAAGGCTCCATTATGTATCCCAGGATAGTGTGGAACTCAGTGTGTAGCCCAGGCCTCAGCCTTCTGAGTTCTGGGCTTAGAGATGTGTCCCACTACATGATCACATCTGATATAATAACCATTCCCTACTGTTCCTACCCATCCCCACTATGCTCTCTAGCTGTGTTACTGCCAAAGCCGCGTACAGCACTTCCAACTTTGTTCTCGCCTCTCTATAATCTTCCCTCAACACAGAGTCACTGGTATACACACACATACATATATACATATACACTTAGTCTGCTCAGAATTCTACTTTTATCCCAAATAAGAAAGTTCTCAGCGAGGGAGGTAGTGGCACATGCCTTTAATCCCGGCACTCAGGAGGCAGAGGCAGGTAGATCACTGTGAGTTCCATGCCAGCCTGTTCTACAGAGTGGGTTCCAGGACAGCCAGGGCTGCACAGAGAAACTCTGTTAAAAAAAAAGTCATTATTATTAAGCTCTCAAACCATATGTGCTAATCCTGGGGGGTAGGGGTGGCAGAGTGCTGGCTTAGCATGGACAAGGCCTGAGTTCCATCCCGAGCAGTGTACAGATCTTGAAATTAGGCTGTGGAGGCAGGAGGATCAGAAGTTCAAGGTTATCCTTGGCTACCTAGGGAGTTCCAGGCCAATCTGCAGACCTCACAAAGGACGGAAGACCGAGTAGTAGGACCGTGTCTGCACCTCTTTCTCTCCATTGACTGAGTAGTAGGACCGTGTCTGCGCCTCTTTCTCACCGTTGCTTCCACTACCGCTCTACTCCCTCGTGACGGTGGTAGCAGGCAGCCCTCTGCTCTGGAGCTGGGAAAACTGGGCAGAGCTGTTTAGTAGTTGCTCTCCTGTCTTCTGACCTTCTATGCTAGTCTAGGGCAAAAGTGGAGTTCTTGGAAATTAAAGGAAATGGAAATTAATTTCTTCATGAATATTTCGCACTGTAACGAATGGATCCTTCTTGGCTTCTAACAGAAGTGCCAGCTGGTGGCATTTAATTATGTAACTACTTTTGGTTGTTAACCATTTGTCTGTGTGTTGGTCCATTTCCATGACTAGACTTTTCCATTCTTGGGCCTTGAACCCAGGGCCCAGCACATGCTAGGCAAGTGCTCTCCGTTCACTGAGGCATGCTCTCAGGCCATCCGTGACTGAATCCTAACAGCCTGGAGACAGTACCACTCTGGCTCACTTTGGGTCTTATTTTATAAGGAGTCAGAGGCAAAACCAAGTGCAAGACTGTGCCTGAGTGTGCACTTGAGTTACTGGGTAAAACTCCAGGACCGTCTATAACCAGTGGTTCTGAACCTTCCTGATGCTGCAACCCTTTAATACAGTTCTTCATATTGTGGTGACTCCCAACCATAAAATTATTCTCATTGCTACTTCATAACTATAATTTTGCTACTGTTATGAATTGTAATGTAAATATCCGTGTTTTCTGCTGGTCTTAGGCGATTCCTGTGAAAGGGTTGTTTGACATCTTCCCCTAAAGGGTTCCACCCCACAGATTGAGAACCACTGATCTAGTCTATATTTTTCTTTTTTCTATAATTTATTTATTTTTATTTTATGTGCATTGCTTTGCCTATATGCATGTCTGTGTGAGGAAGTCAGATCTTGGAGTTACAGACAGTTGTGAGCTGCCATATGGGTACTGGGAATTGAATCCAGGTCCTCTGGAAGAGCAGTCAGTGCTCTTAACCACTAAAGTACTCCATACTTTTCTTAGCAACCATCTTGTTATAGACCAGCATATCCTACTGCTGCCCCCTGCCTCCCACTGAATGGGGCTCCCACTGAATGAGGAATTGTGAGACTTCCCAGGGAGAATTGAGTTAATTCAGCCTATAAATTATGATAACTAATTTTATGTGTTTTATGTTAGGAATTATTTTACATAGTATGGGGTATTTATGCACACACACACATAATTCATTTCCTGAATATATTAGACTTGAAAGACAGAACAGGGCTTGCAGATTAAAGTCTGAGCCCCTGAGAGGAAAGCCCTCTTGCCCTTGTTAAGGTCTGATTGGCTCTTGAGGAAGCAGCTCCTCCCTTCGTGCATTCATTCTCTGTGCCTCACGAGATTTGCTTGGACTGTGTTTGTTCCTCAGCCTAGTGATCAGGAAATTTGAGTTGATGATCTGGCTTCCCTTAAACTGATTACCCTGAGAGCAGACACTGGAAGCCAAGATAAAAGCTTTTAGTGAACATGATGTACCGGGGGCCTTCCAGAGTGGGGACTCGGGGGGGGGGGGCATGCCCATCATTTTTCTTGTATGATTGGTTTTCAACAATACATTGTATATGTTGTCAGCTAAAATTGACTGTCTGGCCTGAAAGGGATGGGGATCTCCTTCCTCCCTTCTTCCCCTCCCTCCCTCTCCTTATTCTCTCCCTTCTTCCTCCTCCTTCCCTACTCTCTTTCTATCTAGTTGGATCTTGTGTATGCCAGGTTAGCCTGAAACTCACGGTGTAGCTGAGGATGCCCTTCAACTTCTGATTGTCTGCCTTCTGCTAGGACTATGGGTGTGTGTTACCATGCCTGTATGAAATCCTAATTTAAGGATGGGGTTCCAGATTTGCCAAATAAAAGTGATTGCATTTTTCTTCCTTTCTTAATGTTTTTCCCTTTGAGTCAGGCTCTTGCAATGTAACAAGCTAGCTCTTGATCTCCTGGACTCGAACACTTGATTGCAGTGTGCACCACCACACCTCATTCCAAAATACAAAGGTAAACAGTTCCCTTTGTACACAGGAAATGCATGTTAAAGTCCAAAGAATGACTGAGCTGTGGCTTGCTAGCTGTGTGTCTCCACACAAAATTTGTTAATGGCTCTAGAGCTAGAAGCAAGTAAGAGAAGCGCTGGCTGGTCTTCTTCTAGTCTTTCGTAGTTAAGGAGATCCCTATCAGGAGAGACTGAGTCCATCCGTGTTACATAGACTCAGGGGCAGGGCCAGAGCTAGATCTAGAACCAGTGACACAGTGCCCCTGTCAGGAAACTATATATGGGGTGAGGTGCAGTGACACTTGCTGCCCTTCAGAGGACCTGGGCTTGGTTCCCAACACCCACATTATGGCTCACAACCGTCCATAATTCCAGCCACAGCAGATCCAACGCTCTCTTTTGACCTCCTCAGGTACCAGATGTGCATGTGGTGTGACTACGTACATGCAGACAAAGCACTCACACATAAAATAAAATGTAAACATTTCAAAGAAAATCTGTGACTCCAGTTCCAGGGAATCCAATACCTCCTTCTCACTTCCACAGGCATGAATGCGGTACACAGACATACAGACACACAGGCAGGCAGAACCCCCATGCAGATAAAGTAAAAAAAAAAAATCTAAAATTTTATAAAGAAGAAAGAAAGGCAGTCCTGAAAATGAACGTGTTTTTGTCTGCCACTCAGAAAACCACACTTCAGGGCCCCTGATCTTTTTTCACAACCTGGATGGTTAATTCATATTAAGCCTTACCAGCTGCCAGGTCAAAGCATAATAAAACTGGTTGCCAAGA